TATAATATAATAAAACCTATAAATTAATAAATTAAATAAATAGGAAATATTATATACCTAAAACTATATAAAAATTATAATTTATTAAAAAACCATTAAAGAAATAATTTATTTAAAAAATTAATTTATTTATAATAATTAAACGAATTAGAGACTTAATTTATAAATTAAATATATTAAATTATTAGAAAATATATAAAATAATATTAATAATATACCTTTATAAAATATTATAAGGAATAAATTTATATAATAAATAAAAATTTTAATTTAAATAAATTATTATTAAAAAAATAATAATAAATAAATATTATATAAAATTAAGAAATTATTAAAAAAATAAATTAATAAATAAAGGATATTAATAATTAAATATTTAATGTAATGGAAAGGATACACCCCTATATATAATTAATAATATATAAGAAAATTATTTATATAAAATATAATAAAATTAATAAATAAATTTAATAAAAATAATAAATTTATAATAAAAAAATTAAAAATTACTAATAATATAAATAATAATAAAAATTAAAATATTATTAAAAATATTTAAAACTAATATTAAAATTAAATTAAAATTTAAATTAATTATATTTTTACCTATAATACTACCTATTATACCATTATATATATTAATAACCTCAATAATAATATTATATATAATTTCATTATTAATATAATTAATATAAATATTTAAAAAAATATAATTTTTAATTATAAAAAATTAAGATAACTTAAACCTAAAAATATAAATATATTAATAATAGTAAATACAATTAAATAATCTTATTAATTAAAAATTATTAATTAATTTTAAAAATATAAAAATATTTATATAAATTAAAATTAACGTAATTAATAATCTTAATTTTAATTAATTAAAATAATTATAAAAATATTTATTTAAATTAAAATTAATATAATTAATTATAAAATTAATAAAGTTAATTAAAAAAAATTTAAAATTTATAAAAAATATAAAAAGAATTATACCAATTTAATTTTATAAAAAAATTTTCTTTCTTTAAATATTATTTTTTAAGATTGGATTTAATTATATTAATTAAACAATAAAATAATATTCTTTTAATTTTTAATTATTTTATTAAATAATAATAATAAAATTATTATATAATTATTATATTATCTAAAAATAAAATATTTTATTAGGTATAATTTAAAAGATTTGTTTAGGATTTATACCAAACCAACCCTATATCTTTACAAAATAAAAATAATCTTAAAAACTAAAACCTCTTAAACCAATACAGTAACGCCTTAAAAAAAATACCTTATTAAACATAAGCGATTATATTTTTTAAATAAATATTATTTAATTATAATTAATATTTTATAAAAATTTAAAAAGATTTCTTTAATAATAATAAATAAATAAAAAACCTTTTTTAATATTAAAATAACGCTATATATTATACCAAATTAAAATAATTAATATATTAATAAAAATAAATTTTTATAAATAATTTAATAATAATATTTTATATAAAAATATAATAAATTAATTATATTAAATTTATATTATTACTATATAAACGTAATAAAATCTTAAAAAATACTATAAAATCTTTATATATATTTTTGCAAAAAAATATTTTAAAATTATTAAAATTAATAGAAATTTAACCATTAATTTCGGAAAGTTTTTAACCGATATTATAAAAATATTAACAACATTAAAATTAATTTAGGTAATACAACTATTAAAACATTAATAAATTTTAATTTTTTAGTAAAAAATATTAAAATTTGCTAAAGTATTAAAAATCTTATAATATTAATAGTATAGCAGTAAAATAGTATTAAAAATTATAATTAATAATAATAAAAAAGAAATAAAAAAAATTAATAATATAATTTTAAAAATATATTACCAAATTTAAACAATATAAATAATAATAAACCTAAATATATAATCATTTAAAAAATAATAATAATAATAGTAAAAAAATTAAATTAAATATTAAAATAATAAAAGAATTTATTAATAAGATTTTAAAAAAAATCTTAACTAATTAAAAATTTATAATAAAATAATAAAAATAATAAAATAATAAATTTATTAAAATAAAAGAAGTATTTAATAACTTATATTATAGTTTAAATAAAAAAGAATATGGTATAGTGAAATGGAAGGGAAATATTTAATAATTAATAACGGTAATAAATATAGTAGAAATTTTTACTAAAACCTAAAAATATAATTTAAACCTTAAATTTAATAAAATATAAAAAAAATTTTATTATAAATTTAATTAATCTATTAAAAAAATCTCATAAATTTATTAAAAGAATTTATAATTATATAATAATTAATAAAAAAGAAAAAAATAATGATACCATTAAAGAAACCTGATTAAAAATTTGGATAAAATAAGTTATATTACTAATCCCAATTTTAAAAAAAATTAAAATATAAATATATAAATTTAAAAAAACCTAAACCTTAATTATAATATAATTTTAATTAATAATAATATTATAAATAAATAATAAAAATATTATAATTTTTTTATAAAAAAGGAATAATAATAAGATTATATAATAAGATTACGATAATAATAATATAAATAAAATAACTTAACTTATTTCTTATTTATATAAATTAAGAAGATTTTGTTTTTTTATAAATATAATTTTAACTTTCCATTTATAATGATCTTTAACAAAAGGATATTAATAATTAAATATTTAATATAATGGAAAAAATATACTTTTATATATAATTAATGATATATAAAAGATTATTTATATAAAACGTAATAAATTTAATAAAAAAATTTATAATCAAAAATTTCAAAATTATTAATAATATAAATAATAATAAAAATTAAAATATTATTAAAAAATATTTAAAATTAATATTAAAATTAAATTAAAATTTAAATCAATTATATTTTTACTTATAATATTATTAATTATATTATTATATATAATTTTATCATTAATATAATTAATATAAATATTTAAAAAAGAATATTTTTTTTAATTTTAAAAAATTAAAAAAACTTAAATTTAAAAATATAAATATATTAATAATAGTAAACGTAATTAAATGATTTTATTAATTAAAAATTATTAATTAATCTTAAAAATATAAAAGTATTTATATAAATTGAGATTAATATAATTAATTAAAATATTTATAAAAAATATTTATTTAAATTAAAATTAATTAAAAAATTTAAGATTTATAAAAATATAAGAAAAAACTACTTTAATTTAATTTTATAAATATTTATTTTTTTAAATATTCTTTTTAAAATTAAACTTAACCATATTAATTAAACAATAAAATAATATTTTTTTAATTTTTAATTATTTTATTAAATAATAATAATTTAATAATAATACCTTATATAAAAACGTAATAAATTAATTATATTAAATTTATATTATTATTATGTAAACATAATAAAACTTTAAAAAATATTATAAAATCCTTATATATATCCCCGTAAAAATATTTTAAAATTATTAAAATTAATAAAAATTTAATTATTAATTTTAAAAAATTTTTAATTAATATTATAAAAATATTAATAGTATTAAAATTAATTTAAATGGTATAATTAACGAAATATTAATAAATATTAAAATTTATTAAAATATTAAAGATTTTATAATGTTTATAACATAATGATAAAATGGTATTAAAAAATATAATTAATAATAATAAAGAAAAAAAGAAAATAATTAATAACATAATTTTAAAAATATACTATTAAGCTTAAATAATTTAAATTATAATAAATTTAAATATATAATTATTTAAAAATAATAATAATAATAATAATAACGAAAAAATTAAATTAAATATTAAAGTAATAAAAAATTTATTAATAAAATTTTAAAAGAAATTTTAATTAATTAAAAGTTTATAATAAAATAATAAAAATAATAAAGTAATAAATTTGTTAAAATAAAAGAAATATTTAATAATTTATATAATAATTTAAATAAAAAAAAGTATGGTATAATTAAATAAAAAAAAGTATGGTATAATTAAATAAAAAAGAAACATTTAATAATTAATAACGGTAATAAATATAATAAAACCTTTTATTAAGATTTAAAAATATAATTAATTTAAAAACGTAATTTAAACTTTAAATTTAATAAAATATAAAAAAGCTTTTATTGTAAATTTAATTAATTTATTTAAAAAATCTTATAAACTTATTAAAATTTTTTATAATTATGTAATAATTAATAAAAAACAATAATATTATAAAAGAAGCTTAATTAAAAATTTTAATAAAATAAAATATATCATTAATACCAATTTTAAAAAAAATTAAAATATAAACATGTAAATTTAAAAAAAACTTAAATATTTAATTATAATAAAATTATAAATAAATAATAAAGATATTATAACTTTTTTATAAAAAAAGAGTAATAATAAGATTACGTAATAATGAAATTACGATAATAATATTATAAATAAAATAATTTATTTTTTTTATTTTTTTATTTATAATAATTTTTAGTAATTTTTTTTATTTTTAATTTTTAAAATATTTTAAATAATTATTTATATTTTTAACTTTTAATAATAAACTTTTTAATAAATATTTTAAATAAAATTTAATTATTTTTAAAATAAACTTTTCGTAAAATTTAATAAAAATATACTTAATTAAATTTAAAATTAATAAAGATATTTTTTAATATAATCGGTTTTTTTTAAATAATTACTAAGAATTATTATAAATAAAAAGTTAAAATTTTATTATAAAAAAAATAAAAAAAATAAGTTAAGTTAAGCTATTTTATCTACGTTATCGTTATCGTGATATCATCATCACGTGATCTCATCAATAATTATTTAAAATAAAATAAAAGTTTATTATAATAACTTTTTATAAACTTAAAACATTTTTAAAAATAAATTATTAATAATTCGTTAATCATTATTATAATTTTATGAAATATATAATAAAATCTTTATTTTTTTTTAAAGAAAAACCCCCGTAATAATACTTGTTTAAATTCAAGCACTCGGGCATTTAAGCATAACTTATATAAAATAAATCTAAAGCAAGTATGGCCATTTATAAATTTTGTGATAAATGCGCAACTTTAAACCTTACACGCGCAGTCTTTACACAAGATACGGATGGAAGATGGGACACGGAGACGTGGCGGCCGGTCTTGAGCGGGTTTAAATCCGAGCTTCAGAAGCGGTACAATACATGTGGCCTTTGCCGCCTCCTATTGTTGACACTAAACGCCAATACATACGGTATGTCCGATCAGGAGGAAGACTTCGAGTGGGAGGCTGCATGGGTGAACTTGTTGAAGACGAAACAGCCATCGATGAGCCGTTATATGGTCGCCACCGTGGTCTAGATGTTGATATTGATCGCATCCTCTCCTGGTTCCAATGGTGCCAGCGGGAACACAGCGATAATTGTTCGGCTGCTTTCCTCAAAACTACCCAACGGCCTGTTCCAACACTGATGATCGACGTTGTTGACAAGTGTCTCAGACCAGCTGACACGGGGGTTAAATACACTGCGCTGAGTTACGTATGGGGGCGAAACAATGAACCACAAACCCGAGAATCTACTTTACAAGAATTCTCCGAAGTAGGCGCTTTTGACCGAGTGAATCTTCCACGTACTATCGAGGACGCTATTGTCGTTACCATCGCTCTTGGCTTTCGTAACCTGTGGATCGATTCATTATGCATTGTGCAAGACCGGGAGAAGGAAAAACTCGACCTTATCAACGCAATGGACTCGATATATAGTCAAGCCGCTTTAACCCTTGTGGCTGCAACCGGAGACACTGCGCACTCGGGTTTGAGTGGCTGGTCAAGAGAGTCTCGGGAGGAAGTGCAGGAGTTAACCGCGACCGTTGCTTCAGACCTGACAATAGGGGTATCACCTCCATGTGGACATCTGATTGAGACATGTGATTGGGTACAGAGAGGGTGGACGTGAGTTTTCCAATCTCATATCTTATTTATTATCACATGCTAAGTACTTTCCGGCTTATAGTTACCAGGAAGGTGTTCTATCTAATCGCTGCTTAATATTTCTCGAAGGGCAAATCTACTTCATCTGTCAAAAAAATCTCTGGCGTGAGGATCTAGTGTGAGGACTACCGACAACTAACTTCTCAGGCTCTCCTTTCTTGGGAAGACCCGACGAAAATTGGAATTCATCTCCCCAGCGAATCCTTGAAGAGTTGATTGGATATTATTCACCACGAATTCTGACCTTCCCAAGCGATATTGCCTATGCATTCCGGGGTATCGAAAATGCGATTGGCCCTGCAATTGGTGGCACGCAGTTCTTCTTTGGGCTCACGTCTTGTGCTTTCGACGCCTCAATGTTATGGGCAAAGAAGTCTAGAAACGAGGTACTCACTCGTCGCCTAGGAGCTCCTAGCTGGACCTGGATGGGCTGGGAGGGAGCAACTTCGTATCTTGGTACATCCTATTTCACCGATGAAATAGATTGGCTCACAAACCGGACTTGGGTAGACTGGTATATCGTGGATGGTTCTGATAACCTCATATGTGTCTGGGATTCTACAAGAGACACCATCATCGACAACCGGAGCTCTGAAGGAAACTTAAACCTCCAAGACAAGCCACAACCTATTTGGCGCTACGGTCATTGTTCAGAAGAAAACCTCTTTGGCCGAAAAACGGTCCTCTGGCCTATTCAAGAGAAACCTCCTACCTTGAATTCATCTAGGGTGCCGAGAGGGTTTCCCTATCTTGCATTTGTGACTACCCATTCCAGATTCAATGCGAGAGTTGTCTACCTACAACAGAATATAACGACGACCTACATAGATATTTGCGACAAGGATGGATTGGTCTGTGGCACGTTGCGAGACTATTATCTCTCCGATATGACCTCTCCTGACGATGGTATGAAATCTGTAGAGATTATAACTATATCTTACGCAGATGAGGGTCTCACTCATTTCTTTACGGCGGGCAAAAATATTAAAGAGATATACGGGGAATTCAAAATAGAACCTCTCCCGATCATCGCTTTTAATGTGCTAGTCATCGCACCTCATACACAGAAACCAGGAATTTACGAGAGAGTTGGGTCTGGGTTCCTCCTCAAAGATTCCTTGTTCCGAGGATTAGAGCCCCCTATTTGGAAGCAGATTGTATTAGGTTAAAAAAAAATTCTTTTTTCTTTCTTCTTTTTGAGTATCCTTCTTTTAGCTCTTCCCCTTATGACCCAGGTCTCGGGAGTTGATATATAAGGAATGTCTTTTACGTCATAATACATGTTTTGGTATAGTGCTGAACTTTTGAAAAACATGTTCGTATTTCTTGGTCAAACTTTATGCATACATTTCTCACCGCCAAGGTCTGATAACCATACTTCACCTCAACATTTATAATTGTCAATTAATATATACGATGTTACACTCTGTATAACATGGATCGTAACTTAACATATTACCCCGAATCATTGCACTTCATACCACTTGTCCTGTGGTTACTTTGCAAACCCTCGTAATACTTAATTATCAACACCAAGAAAACAACCCGTTTTACGCAAGCCAACAAAGCATTACCATCCAAAACAGCCCTCAAGCGGTTCCATCGTGAACTTATGCTGTCTCACGTTCGCTCTTGGTGGCACGGACCTGGCGTCCCTTCTCAGACCAGGGGAAGTGGAAGACGGGGATGATGAAGAAGGAATTGCTGCGATAATATTAATCGTAATTCTATATTCAGGACAAACACAGTTAGGCACATACCTCGAGTCGGCAATACCGGCGAATGCATTGTACCAGGCAAGGAATGCGGCAAGCAGACCAAATCCACCGCCTGCTTGCGTCAACTTCACAGCCGAAACCGCCGCGCCATTGGACTTCGCGAATTCGGCACAGGCGAGCATAAGGAAGGCGAGGTCGAGGGTAAAGAATAGCAGGAAGAACATAACTGTAGACCTTAAGGTGCACAGAAGTAGGATAAAGGTAAATATGAACCAGCCCGTCAAGAAGAAACCAAGCACCGACGCTCTCTGGGCATCATCTGGGTAAGTGTCCAAGGCCTTGAAGCCTGGGGTCAGGGCGATAGCGTAGGAAATCCAGAAACCACCGTAGGACGATAGGGCGGTGGCACCGAAAGTGTTGCCTACGGCCATTTCCCTTTATCGCAGGTTAGCAGGTGACGATATTGAATGATGGGATTACATCATTGTACTTACCACATGCCAGCCAGCAGCTGCACGAGGCCACCATATCCGTATGCCAGCGTCAAGGCGATATTCGGTAAGGCGATGTCACGCGCGTTGACGTTGATGAGAGATAAGACGAAGGTAGTCAAGGCGAAAGCAGAGAGACCAAGGGGCGCAGGGTTGGCGAACTTGCGATGCTCGATAGGCTTGTACAAACCGGGTTGAAACTCACCACCAAAGGCAGGGAGTCTGGCGTCGGGACCAGAATGGGCGTGATAGAGCGGGTTGCCACCATAGTCGTATCGTTGGGTAGTAGATGCGCCGTTGAGGTTCGCGCCAGTGGTGGTGCCGCCACCGATTTCCTTCTCGGTGGTAGGAGCCTGGTGCAATTCAGTGGAGGCCATCGTGAGTTGGTGGGCAGTGGTGATGGAGCCTACGTAATAGATTCCGAGTTCACGATCCGCGACTAAAAAAAAAAAGGAAAAAGGGTCCTGGAGCCGGCTGGGGAACGGGGAGAACCTCAATGGTTTAAATAAAAGCATGGAAAGGTCCCAAGCGGTGGGGAATGGTCTGGGGGGATAATATAGGAGAGGTAGGTCGAGTAACTGTAGGGTTTGATAAATCTAGTCCTCATGCAGGTAGCAAAGAGAACCAAGCCATCCAGCCATCAAGCCATCCGCCATGCATCCGGTGCAGTGGGGAAACAAGGACAAGGATTATTGTTTTACGTATTTTCACTCCACCTCTTTTTCCCCTCATCAGCTTTGGAAATCATGTCTCGCATCTAAGTATTTAGTATGTACTATGGTATAATAGGTAGACAAGGGGCACTTCTTGGCTTTTGCACTTTACATTTGGGGTAAGCTACCCCAGTTGCCCAGGAAATGCCTAGAAAATGCCATCACTTAGACTAATAGCTACTAGCTACCAACAGATTGGGTTGCATTAAGATACCTTTTCTGTGTAGGTTGCAACGTTGTTGGATGAAAAGATAAATTTCACATACACAAATACACAAATTATGCATAAGCAAGCCCATATGGACTTGTTCGAGTTCAGGATGTGTCCAATCGACTTAAAGTGCAAAATATTACCTATTATAGAAACTAAAAGATTAACGTGTGTAAGGGTGTGCTGCAAAAAATGGAATAAAAGGGAAATTTTGAATGTAACACCGACCAGTGGTATTGTTTCCCGCTCCAGCGGAACTTCTAGGTATTCCCCATGCTGGTAATGCCATGCACACAGTTTTGAATCGGGTGGCTTGGCGCTAAGAAGAAAGGCTCAGCTTCTGGAAGTAATGACTGTTTAGGTCCGGACACTAATTACATATACTAATAGATTAACAGCTGGACGCGTGAACCTGGGGTTAAAGCTTAGCTTAGCAAGTCGTTGCTTGCTCGATATGTAGATCCGGACGAATGCTTTAACCTAGCATATTGAGGGTCCTCGAGAGGGTCGTGATCCCTGTTAGTCTTCTGCTACAATTCCTAGCGCCTTTTCCCTGCCGCGCCGGAGGAAAGGGACGAGTTTCCATTTGGTCCACTCCCAATCCTTTCGATTTTTATTTCCGTGAGGTAATCTGTTGAGAAAAGCCGCTTGGCTGAATAATTTAGAGATAGTCCCGGGTTACGGAGTTTATAACTATCTCGAGACTATCCCGCGATGTTAGTTTGTTTTTGGTTACAATTGTTATATGCAGACGTGATATCTTACGTCTGTCTACATAAGAAGATGAAGGAAAAGAGGGACAATGCAACTCTATGCAACCAAGCAAGTCAAAGGAGGTAACAGTAAAAGCGGGTGACTAAGAGGAGCCGCATGTTTCTCCTTGAAGATGGTTATTTCCTATCAAAGTTAAAGGTTGCCTCGTAGTTTAAATTGAAAATTACCTATCACGTATATGCAGTTTGTAGAAGAAAATATAGTAACTCGGTGAGAGGTTTGGTTATAGCTTGCAAACTTGTTATATATAACATAACTATAGTTAACTGCGACAGCAATAGTAAAATTGGCTAATCTAAATCAGTAGTTTCCCCCCTACCTATACAGATTCATGAAGTATGCTTACACGTAATGTAGTACTGGCATTATGTACATAGATACCTATATTTTATTACTTGGTCGCCAGTCGTAGGGAAGTACATATGCAGTACAATAAGCAAACAGGATAGTCATATTTAATACGTAGCTTACGATTGGCTACGTTTAATTCTTATCGTCCGAATATCCCTTTCCCGGTGCACTCGTCAGTTGCAATCATCGTAATTTCAATCCCACAATTGGTTCAGCCTTTTGCTAACGCAAGAGCCAACCTGTACAGTGTACAACGACAAAGCGCGACGCTGGCTCCGGTTCATGACTTGTGATCTCATCTTTAGTGTATAACATGTCCGCACCCGCACGACAACAACAGCCCTCCCGGCTGCTGACCCGAGTCTGGGTATTAAGATCTTAGTCCGCGCTACTGTTGTCATTGAATGAAAGGAATGACAAAGTCCTAGGTTAAGGCATTGTACCAAGAACACGTGAGCATCGGCTCACAAAGGACTAATCCCCCACAAGAGCGGGGGAAGCTAACATTTCTCCTTATCCTCCTCCACCATCGTGATCTCCAAGATTCGTCCAAGACTCACCATTGTCCTCAATAGTTAACTCTCACCGCCCCGCCGTGGTATGTCATTGGCGACTGGGAACTGTACTATACGGCCACTTGACTTAATAAGGTTGTTCCTTTGGTGCGGCTGCCACGGCGCAAGCTCAAAGAGGACCCCAAAATCATCTAGATGCAGCAAATCTACACGCCACGCGATACGAGCACTGCTTGGCCGCTCGTGGCTTGTCTTACCCCGGATTGTACCCCCACAAATCCACGGTGCCGAGGAACCTGAGGGCAACACGTCATATGCGTGCTGATTTACACATTACCGATATACCGTGGAAGTAGCTAGCTGTACATAATATTTCAAAGCCATTAAGTTATCCTAAGTTCTACAAAATAAGACTACAATTTCAAGTGAAGGGGAATTGATTAAATCTCAAGCTTACTATCCTGAGAACCCATCCGGAGTTCCCGGTTCAATGCAATATCCGGGGCATTACAGAGTAGCATCTACAGGATGTTAAAATCTAGACCCCTGTGGCCTTTTGCTCAGCTAGTCGCCGAATCAGAAAAGGGTAATTATTCCTTGCCAAGATCGACTAGCTAAGATGTCAATCAAATAAGAATACTACCACGTCCACCCAAACGGGTTAACGAGAAAACCCTTCTTATGACTGATAATATACGCCCGCTTTTTTTATGTAGAAAGTAAATGTTTAGGTGTCTAATATCGATCTACTTGTAACAGGTTACTCCATATAATAGTACTCACCCACAACGAGATGCTACCTGGCACCATCCACGTGCGTTTAAGCCTCATCTCGGCGTCAATACGGTATAACACTTGAGATCTGTGATAACAAATGTCAGTAGACATCACTAATGAAGAAAATACATGCGGCTCGATAATAGACGGATTTCCCCACAGCGGATGAGTTGCGGCACTGTTGTTCAAGAAAAATCGGAGAATCTAAACTTGCGGTGAATCCGTTGGCATATAATACGGTCGTTAATTGCCTTGTAGAGAAGAAAAGGGGTAATGTAGTCTAGGGCGCGTTCTGAACATTTCAACCCAAATAAAGGCTTACAGCATCGACTTAGGGGATTCTTAACGAATCCATGCAGCTTGAGTAGAGGCTGTAACCACCACCCTTACTGTGGAAGTAAGATACACATCACTTCTACTCCACGCGACTATATCCAGGCCACAAGTAATAGACGACGCGCTTAAGTTCCAGAGAATGCGTTAGTTTCACTATCTTTAGCTAAGGTTGACAGCAGTCGAGCCGCGTTAGGTATGTTAGGTAGGTAAATACCTGCCAACCAGGCCTACGGTAGGATGGGTCACCACCAAAAGATACCTATAGAGAACCCCACCGTACCTAGAAATCCCTCTTCCTTTATTTCCTCCCTTTTAATTACACGTGTATCTTCAATAATGACGGGCTCGGAAAATGAGGTTCATATGATGTGGAGCTTCCCCTGATCTTCCTGTTCGATATGCACTAATAAAGTGCATGTAAAACCACACATTGCATAGGTATGCACCGGACGAATACAGGGGAAAGTCTTCGTGCGGTTGTATCCCTTCAAGTAGAAATCGAGGAGGGTCTACTGACCTCACATCAATTCATAGACACATCCTCTTGATCCCTCTCAAACCCGCCGGACTCGTTTATATCCGGCATCCAACCCTTCGGCCGCTCATTACCCCGGACTGTGATACCGTATCCAACTCTCTCCACCTTCCGGACCTGCTCGATCATAATGTCCAACTTCTTGGCATAGACGCTCGGTTTTCCGCCGGCGGCCGGACATATCTGAAGCATAGAACTTACATCTTGAAGATCGTTCAAGATTGTCCGGTTGTCCGTAGAGCCTTTAGATCCCGACCCCGGCATGCTTCCGCTTAGTGCGGTGACAGCAGTTGCGAAGCGCATCATCTCGCCGGTTAAGTCAAATATGCCGAATAAGTAGTCAGGGGCCGTTAGTGCTATGTCAGCTGGGAGGGCATCTTGGGCCTGTGACGGTGAGAGGAGCTTCTGGTGTTGGAGGTAATGAGAAAACGAGATTGCTTCAACAAATTCTTCTAGACATATTAACGGATAACGGTAGCGGTTCATTCCGGTTACGTCTGACTCGATAGTAGCTAGATGTCCTGCTATCTCCTTTAGACGCTCATCGACGTCTGCTCGGATGCGAGGGGGGAGTGGCTGGTTCAGCTTGCGGACGCTAGGAAATATCTGTTAGGGGTAAATGACTTGAATATTGACAGATCTATTACCGTTGCAGTGAGAAGATTCTATGATACTGTTAGCAATTAGCAATGAGAGATGACGAAACAATTCGAATGCCCCCTAACCTACATCTTCTTACTGAGAGACGTGACATCTCGGGAAACCTTCCCAACCTTCATACGGCGGTCATGATGCTCGTCCAATTCGTCGCGAAAAGACTCAAACATGGAAGTGTACTGGTTGCGAGGCATATCCCTAGTAGCCCTATTGTCTGCCACTTTTTCCTTTCCCTGATGATCTCTCTTAATTCCACCACCCATGGCTCGACTCTGATTCTGGGGGACGACTACTTCAGACATTCTTATATTATGCCAATTCTCTAATTCCTTTGTGAAGTTCTGACAATGTCCAATTGTATATGTGCAGTGCAGGTGACGTACTGAAGTACATCTAATGGAAGTTCCACTACAATCTAAACTTCCCATATCTTTGGTTATCAATAGGTACTGAGGTACCTTAGAATTAGGCAGCTGACGGTAGCCTATGACCTATTGTTTCACCGAAGATATACCGACTCTCATTAACAAGTCATTAGGTATCCCTTCCAACCTTGAACTTGACAACAATCTTATATTTTATTATTTGTTACGAGCAACCTCTAACTTTCACATCTATTTTATTGTATGATTGCATTACTTGGTATATTTTCTCTAATTCTCGTATAGGCCATGTCCGAGCCCGATGAGCGGTTAAAACTTGTATTGGAACCATCCATCATTCAGACAGCGTTGAGCAACTCGTTCTACTCCTACAAGTGCTGGCCACTTCTTCAACTTTCCAAATTACAATTACTTAATCTACCTCTGAGTAGACTTCTTTGCCGGGGTAAAGGCATCATATCCGAAGAAGAGACCATCTGCACGTCTGTCTTGAAAAGATGGCTTCGCAAGTTGGGGCTCTCATCTCGCGGCCTCTCCCTCTCTTCGCAGCTGCGACTGTACTCCGTGCTGCCATGTTATTATACGGTCTATGGCAAGACGCCAACTCGCCACTTAAGTACACAGATATCGACTACCTAGTCTTCACAGATGCCGCACGTTTCACCTTTGCGTCTGCATCTGCGTCGCCCTATACTCGGGAGACTTACCGCTACACACCCCTGTTAGCCTGGCTCTTGTACCCGACTACATGGCCTGGTACCTTCTGGTTCTCGTTCGGCAAGGTGCTATTTGCTGCGGCTGATATTCTAGCTGGTTATTTGATTATCCGTGTGCTGCGAGGACCGGCCGTGCGCATGTCTGAAGATCGTGCTTGTAGATACGCGAGCATATGGCTGTTAAATCCCATGGTGGCTACTATTAGCACAAGGGGCAGCTCCGAGGGACTTCTCGGGGTGTTAGTTATGGCTCTGCTATGGGCGGTGCTTGAGAAGAGAGTCACGCTCGCGGGCGTACTGCTGGGGCTCGGTGTCCATTTCAAAATATATCCCTTTATTTATGCGCCGGCCATTGTATGGTGGATGGATGCTCAGCAGATGAGTAGGGGAACAGGCTCTCAGACTCGAGCAGGGAAGGATGGCCAAAGTACTACCCAACCGACAACATTATTAGGCAAATCCATGGCATTTATCACACCTGATCGCATTTTTCTTGCACTTGTTAGCTTGACTACGTTCTTAGGCTTGAACTTTGTCATGTACGCACTTTACGGGATGCCATTCCTCACCCACACGTTCCTACATCATATCAGCCGGATTGACCACCGTCACAACTTTAGTCCATACAACATCCTACTCTACCTTACCTCGGCGCACCCGAGCACTACCCTAGTCAAAGCCGAGTCGGTGGCATTTTTACCGCAGCTGATCTTGTCAACGGTTCTGATTCCTATAGCTGGGGCCAAGAAGGACCTGCCAACCACTATGTTGGCGCAGACTTTCGCCTTTGTTACCTTTAACAAGGTCTGCACGAGCCAGGTATGTTCATCTCTTAACCCTTCCATCACACTACACCAAGCCCCTACTTCATATTATAGACCTTCCTTGTGAACCCTTCAATAATACAGTCATGTGTACCACTGACACATAGTACGTATACATGGCTAATACTTCTGAGTAGTACTTTCTTTGGTATATGGTCTTCTTACCTTTATACCTACCAAACTCTTCGTTCTTCCGTAACTCACGCCTTGGCCTATTAGCCCTAGGTCTCTGGGTCGCAACTCAGGGTCTGTGGTTGCAGCAAGCCTACAACCTTGAGTTTCTCGGAATGAGCACATTTGTCCCTGGCCTCTGGACATCGTCTCTAGCCTTTTTCTTGGTAAATTGCTGGGTCTTGGGGATCATCATTGGAGATCTAGATTGCAGTCCTGAACATGAGAAGTGTAGTTAATGTTGATAATGGTAAGCGACGAGGAAGTTGATGATGCATGTATACACATTACTCTTTGTATTGATCTTGTTTTAGTAATTGGAAATGGAGGTGCATTCGGAACCGGTAATTTTTATGCTTAATTGGGTCTAGAGGATACGCTATCATATAAAATTATTATATATATAATAATACCTCGAGAGAGGAGATTTAATACTGGGTTGACTTAGACCACATACGAGAAGAAGAAAATAGATCAACTCGTTAAATCGACTGGTATTTACTACTACTTGGGCAGAGAGACGGAGAATGAGCGTAGGGTCTTAGGGTCACTCTTAGACGTTATTTCAACTTTAATATCCTAAAGTAACTATAACTCTTCTGAGCTATTAACCTAGGGAGTTCAGGTCTGATTTCTAGTGGTGTCATTAGTATCTCGCTTGCAGCTCATTTTGCCCATCGGTGTGTAATGGGAAAGTAGCAACATAAGTATAACCTTACTCGGTAACACTTCCCCCTCGTCGTATCCCTGACAAGCCACAAGCCGAACTGAATATGATATGTCAATTTTATCAGTTTACCTCCTTGGCATATTACAATTTTCCGTCCCATTATGACTCACATTAGACACCCGTCCTTGGAACATGATGATATATACTGATCAAGCTTCTAACCTAGCATATTTACCTATTCTATGATCATTACACCCGTCCGTGTGATTCACCGCATTGCTGAAACATGTGAGAAGAGACTTGGTACGTCGGTTGGTAGAGAAAGCCATTGCAATGGGTATTATTCACTTCCTGAGAGTTCAAACCTTTTCTTCCCCTCCTAGAAACCAGATAAGCATCCCCTCCACACATGCCCTCCCCTAGACTACCTTAGGTACATGAGATACCAATATCAAGCACCGCGTCGGTTGCGCAGCCTCATTACATACTTATGATCTCTATATGAGCACCATATGTACCGGTATTCCATCCTATGGACGAAAGACCGCCTTCCCTGCATCTATACATAGAGTAGGGCATCATCATATACCTCGCTAGATTATGTCAGTATGCCAGTATGCCAGCAGAAAACCACCCTCTCGTATGTGACATGATCATCTAGTCGTGAAACGGCATTATAATAACATCGAGGTTTCACACGATTGAGATACCACCCGAAAGCATGGCGTAGTTAGCTAATTTAAGGGAGAGCACCCGCGATTTTGGAAAGTCTGGGTTGATAACCAATCGACCATCCTTATTATAGCCTACCTCCCCAAAACTGTCCACCATCTCCTCGAAGCGGATATCGGGGCGCACACGATTAATCTCTGCCACAATGTCCTCGCTCCATACCCCAGAGCACCAGCCGTCCTTAATCATGAAATAGGGGTTAAGAGGCGGGATAGGCGAGTCTGAACGGAACCGGTCAGCACGGAAAACTTAACGGCAGATATAATACAGATACTTACCAAGATCAACATATCGGATCCGCAGCAGTTCTACAGACTTTAAGCGCACCAGGGCCCGGATCCCACCCAGTACAAGCTGCTCAAAAGCCGCAATAAAATGTATGTCAGTGATGCCCGAACCCGACTCGTTCCACTGGGCATTCTGCCGGCAACAATTCTTAACGGTGATATCAATAGTCTTAAGTCTCGTAGTGCGAGGATTTGAATATCTCGAGAGCACATCGAAGAACCCAAAACAGACACGACCGGTATAAGAGAAGTGCTCCAGATTACTTGCAGCTTTTGCCATTTTCTCACACCAGTGAAGTTGCTCACAAACTTTCATATAGTAAGGGGGACATGCCATTTCCCTCCTATAGTCGCACTCAAGGCAGAGATTGAGACTGGTAATTTTTGTATCGAGGCACTCAAGCGTGCTTGCCATACTAAGATAGCTCTTAGATTTGGGTTTGGCATAAGTCCCGTGCCATTCCTCCAAGTTCGGTAACGCGTGGGAGATGACTTCCCAATCCTTTGGCTGTCGGATGATGTTCCACTGGCCCTTAACAATAAGCGTTCGAATCGACGAAATTTCTGGTAAATTTCTGGTAACCCATGCGGGTCCGGCTAGATTGAATTTCACTCGTGGCGCCTTTTTCCTTTCTCCGCCCTCAAGCGTCATTACCCGCGCTTCGGGGAATTGCATGCTTACGAGATAGAATACTTCTTCGAGTGTGGAGTTGTCAGTTGGTAATGCGTATGTTGCGCTTGCGATTCCCTCGGGAGAGACGGTTGGCAGGGCAAGGGACATATCCCCCGGTGTTGCGGTATGAAATTTGGGCTGGAACACTGGAAACCATATCTCGATATGCTTTACATAGGTTCGAAGGTGAGGATGGCATACGAAAAAGGCCATAACTTCATTGCTGCAGTGTACTGTTGCTTTTAACTTAATATGTCGATAGAGCCGTTGCTGAATCAGGTCCCTCCATAAGGGACAGACGAGGGCTAGGTTAGACAACTCTTTCCTTCTCGAATGTCGCAATGCAGTACTCCAACTTCGGGCGTTCATGCTGGGGATGTTGAGAGAACTTGGTGATGTAGTGGAAACCCGGTACCCAAATATATGGTCTAGGATACATTCGTGGATCTCGGCTGGTAATTGGGCTAGGGTTAAGACAGGATTTTGTTCGATAATAACCGGAGTGGCAACTGGGCTCGAGGCCAGACTGTCGTCGGATTCAGGGCAGTACGGTTGGCAGGTTAAGCAGCGAATATCGGTTTGGCCCTGCTGAGCATTGGGGAATGGAGTGCTACTAGGACGTGTTGGAGGTACGAAATCGGTCGACTTGGGCGGCTCGAGAGGAGGGCTTGTAGGCCCAGGTGTGACGGGTGTTGATGTAGTAGTCATGATAGCGGCCAATTCGACCGTTGCGGTGCCCTCATCTTCATCCCCATCCTGGTCGACAGACATATCTCTCTGCAGATACGGTTCCCTTGGGAGATGAAGACTCTGAGAGTGAGCCTCGAATGCAGTGGCAGGGATAACGTCTCCATTATGAAAGGAAGCAGACTCCCTAGTGCCCACCATGATCATTTTTAACTATCAAAAAGATTCGGATAACTACGAGGTGGGATCGTTCATGACCTGTATTGTCGAGATTCCGCCGACTACCTAAACACCTACCTCGGGGCTCGAGTATGTTTCGGTGTGCTAAGTAGAGTTGGCGTTCAAGCGCATTCAGCGAAAGAATATCGGTGTTGTAAGAAGTGCCGATTCGAGCGAGATGGCCACGGAAATAATCAACTGAACAAAGGAGAGATTGTTAAAACACCCAATTTCGGCGCTGATAGTTTGTCTAGCTGAATAGAAGGTAGAAGGTTTATGGTAAGAGCCACGAGGAATTTTTCCTACGAGGTATGTGATCTGACTTATGGACGAATTGTAAGGATCGCGTTTAGAGAAGATCGGGCAAAGGTCGATAGAATCAGGGTTAAATGGAAGTGAGTTGCGTGGTGACAGAAGCAAAATGGTAAAGGACCACGTGCAACCAACCGAGTGGTAATTGCGGTATGGTGATTACGGTGATTGAAATCGCTTGGTATGCCGTGATTAGATTCAAGTTTTTATCTGGTTCGTTCTAACCTAGGTATATCTCATGAGTTGATATTTTCGAGTTGGTGGTTGGAGTGGAAGATTTCGGTATGGTACAAGGTGTATGGTACAGGTCATGAGAGTTGTCGTCGTCCGTTTTCCGATGATGCAAAGAGGACGTGGACAGATTTGCCGGGGAGGGGACTTTTACATTTCGCGCCGTTAAAGTCTTTTGGGTACCTAATGTAGGTGTAGCAATTTGAGTGTAGGGTAACTGGTACCAGTTGGAGGTAGCGCCTGCATTGATACCTGGGTTTCTAGGTAAGTACCAGGTAATTACCAGATAACGTGCCGTTATCACCCAGAGTTCCAGACATGTTTATCACTACATACGCTTATGACAACGCATACTTCCATTATTATTTTATTTTGGGGACCCAACCGTAAAATTAAATAATACTGTCAGCATCACTGTATGCATCTTACTCTTTTCTTTCTTCATACATCAGTACCTAACTAACCTGTTTTATAAAACATCTCTCTTACCCCTCTATAATATTGTGAAATAAGTTCGATGCTTGCTTAATATGGACTTTTCAATTTCCCTGTCCTATAATGTATTATTTACCTACATACATATATGTAATATGTATGTCCATATGTATGTATGTCGGTAGAGGGAGCGCATATTCGATGTGTTATATGTACTGCTACTCGTGCATACGTCTTCATGCAGCTTTGCAGGGCATTGGATTCCGCTAATCGTGAATCGCTGTTAGTCTTGATTCTTGATTGGCACAGCCGCCCTGTGGCATTATGTAGTAACCAAATTACGTGTACAAACTACATATGCTATATGTATTGTATGTCTGTTGGCGCTTGTTGTTAAGCTTTGAGTGGACCAGGCACTTGCAGTAGATCTTCATTCGATGGCTCAAGCCAAGACCCAGTCTTGCCTAGGAGTGGATCCTATTTGATCGGGATTACTTGCATGACTGGTTTTCTTTCTGGCCGCCATTCAAACATTTTGGTCTGGACGAGTCGTGATACTACAAAACATGACATGTAGCGGCTGCTCTTATATGAATATCTGGAACTAGCTGCATGTTGCCGATTCAAAGAACAAGCTTGTCGTCTTATAATTAGGTATTATGTACAGATTAATATATTTGATCTTTCCCCTCTCTTCTAGAGGGCTCACTTAGATAGCACATACGAATATTTGCTGATTAGTAACCCCCGGAATTTAGTTGACCTCTCCTAACCGACGTGGCTGTGGGATGAGTTATAAACTTAATACTTAATACCACAAGGACTTGATAGCATATATTGAATAACTATTTGTATATCATAGTATATCAATAAGCTGCTTAATTCGTCGAGTGAGGTTACTTGAGCCTCCAGTGTCTTCAAGCAAGGTAGTGACTGGAATATCACGTGCCAAATACCCCTTACATACATGGCTATAAGCCGTGAGCAAGCGTACATATGTATCTGATAGCAAACTACATCGTCGAGCGAGGATGGATGGGTAGAGTATTTATTACTTAATTACTTAATACTGTGTAGGCTAGTGGAGTTTATGTTTGTTAGTAACTACATGTACCTATATTTATCGTAGGTACCTAATGCTAAAATCCTACCTTCCAGTTTGCGATGGCAAATACCCTATGCTTCCTTGGACCCTTAATCGATAACAGGTCGACCATTGTGTAGGTAAACACAGCAGATCATTTATCAAGTGTTGTTTCAATTAACTTAAATCTTAATGTTCTGACCAATCAGAACCTGATATTGCTGAAACGTCCCTTGAATGTGAGAATCCACTATTGCTTTAAACAGCTTAGCGCGGCAATCCTTAATAGTCCCTCAATATGTTTCTCATTTGCGGGCCCGGCTCTATCGGGCAAGTTGAGTACAAAGTACGGCTTAGGGGTCGACCTTCCTGCGGTTTTGGCGTTTTTGAACTTCAAAGAATCAAATCTGCTTCTTCATCCACAATTAGAGCCGCTTTATATAATCTTCCGATGCTCCCTAGAACCTAGGCGCGTTGGGTCTAGAATCTCAACCCATGATATCATTAGTTTACCATTACACTGTATGTACATCGTATCCTTGGAGGACGTTCTATTTGACCTTTTCCCGAATCCGTCAGTTTCCCGAAATAGCACCCAGTCGTTAGGAGTAGGGGAGTAGCCGCGCCATGCAAGACACGGAAGGAATACTTGCTTCTGCAAGGCTTCTCCGGATGTCTTCGGTGTACGGCTAACACGGCGGAGCTATCGCCTGTTCACGGTAATTATGGTTCGGAGGAATCAATGACGACTTCGGATAAATCCGCCCCAATCTGTTATTGTAAACAGTTTGGTCGGCTCTACCAGCGATCATAGTCTACAGGTGGACATAATTCATATAGCTGCCACCTTTGCCGTAGCCGAGTTTATGCGCGGCTGAAGACTGGCGGGAGCACTTTACATATGATAATACGTTGGCTTTCGCCCTCGACACCCACCGGTGCTCTATGTATGATCCTCTAGGATCATATGAGTTGTAATTATTAACAGAGGAATACGACAGGCGGTACGAACATCGGTAGCTGTCCTTGAATACGTATTTACAGGTCAAGATCGTACGAGAAGTTCGTGCTGTGGGTTTGCTAACAATAGTGAGTTGGTTCTGACTGGTTACCAAGATGTGGGGAGGCGGATTGGACGATTTCTTTTTTACGACTTCTCTTGGGCGCAAAGAGGCGAACAAAGAGGCGAACAAAGACGCATTCGTTACTATAATAGTTTACTATTGTTATTGATGCTGCACCACGATCGCATCTAGTTGACCCTGTTACTTTTCCCAGCTGGCCTGTCGCAAGGCCTTGTTTGGGATTGACGAACTGACGAATATGCAAAAGTATGCGAAAGTATGCGCGAGGCGCTCTAAACCCCTGCATTTGAGGATCAACCGCGGCGGTTTAGGGGCTCAGGTTTGACTTGGCGGTACTTGGCGCCTATGATGATTCCTGCCCAGCCTTCTACAAACTGGGGTTGTTTTGCTAATGTGTAAATTCATACGTCCAAAACGAGCCTCTTCAAATACTTTCTAGTTACTCATTACCGATTACAAGGCTAGTTTGCTCCACGCGTAAGGTCCCAGGCTGCCCAGGTCCCATAGGTACTTTTAAGGGGTTGATCTTGATGGGGCGTGCTTTATGGGGTACGTTATTATTGTACCTATTGTATGATCCCGTACCTAATACCTATCTAGGTACTTAATACACTATGCAACCAGCTGACAATCTTTTATTAAAAGACAATGCCCTCTCATCTCTTTTTCGGTTTACCTTCTGGAGTTTGCTTGTCGTCTCTCAATTTCCCGCCCACGTTTCTTTATTCTCGTATTTCTCCGGGTGAGAGTGGATCGTGAAGGTAAAATTTTATTTGTCTTCGTTACTCTTTGACCTTGACTTATCTTCAACTCTCTACCTTTTCGTTTCCGCATCACTCTCTTGAACTGAACATACTTCTCAACTTTACTTTCGAATCGGTGATTCGATCGTAGCCTTTCATTTTTATTATTAAAAAAAAAGTACATACCAAGCCCTGGGTTTCGTATCACTCACTAGGTGTTTCCAGCGATATCACAGTATTGGATCATTCTCGATTTGTCTGGTACAAAGAGAGTTGAAATAAGACAATTAAAAAAAAGCCGGACTTACAGCTTCACACCTAAATCGACAAAATGGCTCCAAGCATCGCTACCGTTCTCGCCTCTCTCCTCGCCCTTGCCCCGTTGGGAGCAGTCGCAAGCCCTTTGAATTTATGGCGACCTTCTGCACCTGCGACGACTTCAGATTCTTCGGATGCTTCAGCTGTTAGTAAATTAGTAGGTGACACTATAACCAACGCTGTAGCCGCCTTTGTCAGCAATCCAAGTGCAAAAGATATAGTTCCCAACTCATACATCGTCGTCTACCATAAGAACTATACCGACGATGAAATCGACCAACACCAAGCGTCTGTTAAAGTAGCCGTCAAGAAGCGCAACCTGAACAAGCGTGGGCTTGCCGGTCAGCTCCTCTCCACAAGAGTCCGCACATTCGCCATGTCAGGCTGGCGTGCTATGGCCTTAGATTCGGATGATCTCATGATGAGTGAGATGAACAACTTGTCTATGGTCAAGTACGTCGAGGCCAACACCTACGTCAAATCCTCTCGCCTCGTGAACCAGAAAAACGCACCTACTGGTCTGGTCCGTCTAAGCCATGCTCAGGCTAATGGACAGGGTTACGTGTTTGACGATGCAGCTGCTGGCGAGAATATCACAGCGTACATTGTTGATACCGGTATTATGGTAACGCACGAGGATTTCCAGGGACGAGCTGTTATGGGTTTCAATGCTGTTGAGGAAGAAGAGGTACAATATTGACCCCCCTACTATAATGCTGATTTCAGCATGGCGTTATAGCGTTGCGGGACTCGGGCTAACAGTATGACTAGGCTACGGATTTGAACGGTCACGGCTCTCATGTAGCGGGCACGGTCGGCGGTGCTACGTAAGTTTTGAACATTTTTTCTTCGTTCTTATTAGAATATCCCTTTGCAGTACTAAGATTTCTTTTACCTGTGTTTAAATAACTGTTACTTTGAATACTAATTTTATCTTTAGTTTTGGAGTAGCGAAGAACGTGCAGTTGGTTGGCGTCAAGGTCCTAGACGCCCAAGGTGGTGGTACTAACGCCGATGTGATTGACGGTCTCAACTTTGTTGGCTCGGACGCCAAGAAGGGAAAGTCTGTGATGAACATGTCTCTTGGTGGGCCCGCTTCTCAGGCCGTTAACGACGCCATTGAGCGCCTCTTTTCTAATGGTGTTGTTCCGGTTGTTGCCGCCGGAAATGAGGCTCAGGATGCTACCAATGTCTCCCCCGCAAGCAGCCCCAATGCCATCACTGTCGGTGCCATCGACCAGACCAATGACCGACGTGCTAGCTTCAGCAACTTTGGCAGGTTTGTCGATGTCTATGCTCCTGGTGTCGACGTCGAGAGTGTTGGTATTTCTAGCAACCAGGCTACCGAGACACTAAGCGGTACTTCCATGGGTATGTTTTCCCCCAATTCCTAGTCAATAGGATCAATAGCTATCTGAAGAAGTATCTAACAAACATTACAGCGTCCCCCCATATCGCTGGTCTCGCGGCCTACCTTATGTCCCTTGAGGGCCTCACTGATGCTACTGCCGTTTCGGACCGCATCAAGGAACTGGGTGCTGCTACAGGTGCTACAGTCGGACGGAATGCCAGGGGCACCACCAATGTCATCGCTAACAACGGCAACCTATAATCCAGTGCGCGATGTTCTCCACGCCTGATTTACGGAGTGCTTCGATTCGAAGTTGGAGCACCTCACCCTATCGCTTTCTACACGTACCTCATCTCAGCACACATTGTTATCAGCATCTAGCGAAGCATGAATTCAATACTACATATAGCGATTTTTAACGAGAGGCGAACGTTGGGCCTTGTTTATACTCATTTTTATTTCTCATTTGGGAAGGATATATACGTGTGGATAGCGTAGCGAGATGTTATGCTTAAAATAGACGAGCGACCATGCATTATAGAGAAGATGACAGATGTTCTACGGACGAGCTAGCGGTTTAAGCGATTTCCTGTCGCTGCACCAATATTGTGTATATTTGGGCGGGTAGATATTCTATTAGTATATAATCAACTTCAGCGATAAAATACGTTCACTTAAGTTCGCCCTATATGGTTCATCTCCCCCTTCTAATACATAACAGAGCTACTATAACACATTTTACAAGCAATAATTCCAAGACCTTAGAAAAGCGGACGTTATTCCGTGTGTGAATATCACGGTAATATTAATACCAGCCTACGCAGTCCCGACCCTCAAAGCCGTCGCCGCCAAGAGACTCTCGGGGCTTACGCGATACGTCGCGGGACATGAGACAAAATATTGAAGCCAAGATGTTAGTCTCTAAGGGCCTGAGACTGTTGAGGATGAAACATATCTTGGCAAGCCCGCCGCCACCCGTCTCGAGCATATTCCACCAATCAGTTATTTTATTGTCCGTATCCTAGGAATAGATTGTGAGACAAGGCCTACCATCACACAATGTCGTGTTCATTGCGGTAAGCTTGTGTGTGTATCGGTGTTTATTTATTTATTTGCCTCGTGGACACTTACGTCGGCTGCGTTTCGCGGCTAGTTAGAAATCGTTGTCGGATCATCGCGAACAAGATGTTGTATCAAGTAGTTAGTATTGAGACCTGTAGTAAACACTAAGACTAATACACGTGGGTAGTTAATGCCTTCCAATCTCCCCTGTCTTCTCTTAGAACGTATCTCTGAGGCGCAGTACGAGGGCAGGCTATTGTGACATCGCATAGTTCTGGACCTGGATTATCGAATATTTTTAGTTCCTCTTGCTCGAGTTGACTCTATGGAGATGTTGCCCGTGGCATGACTTACCACTACATATGTATCGATCATCAACTGGCCGCGGTGCCTATCGTCGAAACTATGCGGGCCTTTGCCTGATAACACGTGGGTAGAGACCTGAGCAACATCCCATACGATATTATAACCGAGCAAAGAAGATATATTTACAGTAATACGACTCATACACCGAGACCTACCAGGACAAACTTATGTTCTTCCCAATAGGCAGTGTTAGACTGCCCTCGGACTGTGCTTGCGGCGCATAGAGCAGTATGATCTCAGCATAGAAACCCGCTCTGTCTACCATGTCAGTACAACGGTCTAGCGCGACGAACACACATACCTCCTGATCACGCAGGGTAAATGTCTAAGCGGAGCCGACGGGTCCCCCTTAGGAAACAAGTCCAGACTCTCAGGCTCGATGAACTCGGAGGAGGCTGACGTTTGGGATCCGCGTAGTCGGTGCCTGTACAATTGATGAGCAACACGTTCTGTATGCCAACCTTCTTCGCGGCCTGGGCTAGTTCGACGCAGATATCATGCTTGTCCTTATGCGCTGGCGGAACTAAACAGATAGTATCGCAACCCGTCTCCTTGAGCGTATTCGCCATGACCTTCTCTAGTCCGGGAACATGATGAATGATTTTGGCACCGGGCGATTATAGTTCCTTTACACGATAGTGTTGGGGGTATAGTGTTTAGGTCTACTACCGAATCGACCTTGCCGATGTCCGGATATTTGTCTTGTCGAGGCAGTAAGCTGGCAATTAAATGGCTAGTTTGGCCCTCCGCACCCATGATACATACGTTTCGTGACATCCTTACACGATTGAGGGTTCTTGGCAGGTTACAGGCTTAATTACTGTTGTAGATAGTAATTTAGGTGGAAATAATAACATCTTATATTAGTTGAGAAATGCTAAAGCTCAAGACGCTGAAGTATAGCCCGATCGTCAGTGTCACCATGCATCATAACACGGCCAGTAGGAGGATTATTATGATTATTATTCACGTTCTAGTCGCGTTGCTACTAAGCCGCGATTGACTCCCTGCTTTGTTGACCTCCTCCGCGACAAGATACAATGCTAAGGGAAGACTTACAACCATGCCATAACTCTGTCAAAGGTATTGGGCAGTATTATGTTGACGATCCACGACGGGGGAACCCTATCTGGGAATTGATTAGGTTCAAAGCCCGCCGTGTGCCTACGAATCGCAATGGACCCGGTACTCCTCGCCATAAATTTCAATATCAGCACTTCTCGGCACAGCCGCAGTCATTGAGAAAGACTGGACTGTAATTTGACATCCGTGCTTGTTGCTCCTCGCCCCTTAGGCTATTCCTGGATGAAGGTATTGGACATATCGTACAACGAAAAACATGCATCAGTTACAATATTAGTATATGTATATTAGTAAGTATTATAAAGAGGATGCCTCATCATCTCGTAGCATGATCTGTCACGCCTTACCGCATTAAAAGTGATATAATAAACGGCGATCCCCCAAAGTCCCGCCAGCGTCACTTACGTTATCATACACCTTTCGGTCATGTCGGTTAATATGCCCGTTATAACTCCTCGTGAGCTAGTAGTGTCGTGGTTGTCGTAGCTGTCGCCTTGGCCGCATCTCTTAAACTGGATGCGGCTGATTTATCGAAAATCACGTCAAACCTCGCTCCCATATACCACGCCAAACCAAGCTATTGGTATTTTGTTAGTTTAACCTCGCCGAACGAGACTTGCGCGGCTGTATCACGTACCATTAGACCGGAAACCAATAGAAGCACGAATACAACAGATCCGACCAATAATAAGGCTTCCCAGGAATCATTCGAGGCTGCGTCTTGTACCTCGCCTTCCGCTTCCTGCACAGCCTGCAGCTTCTTTGCGTCTTGCGTTGGGAATAGAGTTTCAATGAATTGCTCAATCTGTTCAGGTAGGGTCAGCGCTGATTAGCTTTAGCGATGAGAATATGGAAAGGTGGCTTACCTTGCCACAAGCCACACTTATCTCAAGGTAATGAGGGTCTCTTGGGTCGTTCTTCTTCGCTATCCTCCTTGCATATCCTCTGAATACTTCGCAAACGACTCGCAGGTTCTGCGTTGATTGCATCATTAAGTTGCAAGCGTCACCCTTTGTTATCTTGATGTGACTATAGAAGATCTTGGGATTTTGAAAGACGAGCTCGAGGGTGGCGATAGCCATGGTCTGCGGAATTGCGACGAAGTTGAAGACGCTCTGCTCCTTGATACCAGCCATGTAAAATAGACATTCATCAGCATGCTTTAAAGCGTTGAGTACCATTTCAGAACTGCACTGGAGAGCCTGTGTACGGTTCTTTGGGTTGAATAAGTCATCCCAGTTGTCAACATACTTGCTCCAGATGTCCTTAGGCCAGAACCTTCGCTTGTCTTCGAAATCCTCATGAACATCACGGATGATATTGGTCTTTTGTAAGAACTGGCCCATGCTCTCAGAAAGCTCCATGCGGTCGAGTAGAGCGGGGTTCGCCGTATTGCCTTGTACGAATATGCGAGTTAGGCCCTCCCCGACTAAACCAGCAACATAATGGCAGTATTCCTCATACTGCTCAAGCGACTTGACACCTTCTTGGAACTCAGCGTTCACGGCGTAGTCAGCCATACCATTACCCATCTTAATGGTAATATCTTCGATGATATCATAGTACTTCTTGTCGATCTTTCTCATCTCTGCGATCACATCGTCGAAGTGAACGAGGAGCTCACGATCCTTCTCGTTAGGGCCGTTCCCATTGAAATTCCAGCCATCAGTTTTCAAGTACTTGTCGAACTCGCGTAACATAGGCTCTTTTGTCTTTAGCGGAATGGTCATGTCATCCTCGATGGTGTCCAATCCCCTCAGCACGAGATAAAACAGAGCGATGGGGACCAGCATTTCAGGTTGTAGCTCTTGAATGACAGTGGAAAAGCTGCGGCTAGTCATGTTCAGGAAGTGAAAACATGATCGTAGAGTGGGCGCCTCCTTGGCGGGATCACGCCTATGAACCGGCTCATGCCAAACTTTCCTACAAGGTGAAGCTTCGAGTTAGTGAAATGTATACTAGAGAGGATAGGTGATAATAATAGGAGTGATCCTACCATTGTACGATGGACCGTAGCTGGTTTGGGTGGAATAGGTAATACAGAACCTCGCCGAGGCCACCCATTTTTGCAGTTGGATGGATCTATTAAGCGGTATATGGGAAAATAATGTGAGAGCGGTTAAGGGGGAGGTGTCGGTGTGAATAGACCGGGTATAAAACTTTGGGAGTGAACACAACGCGGTGGTGAAAGAGTGATAGTGAAGCGAGCGCAGTGGTGTTCAGGACAGCATTGCGAAATGAATTATTATTATAATAGTAGACTAGATATACTGATGATCGGGACGGAAACGGCGTTTTGGTACGAAAAAGAAGTGTATGTGTTTTCTAGAAAATCAAGTTTACTTTTTACTCACACCATGTAGAAAAAGATTGGCGGGAAGAAACTAAAAAGTCCGTCCCCACATCCAATTTCGAGGACCCCAGCAATTGGGAATGGCGAATCAGAGCACGAATTTGTCAGCCCACTAGAAGAAGCGAGGCAACAAGCTCAGGTCTGTCTGAAAGGAAGGGACTTAGCTCAGGAGATCTAGTTGGAAAAACTCCACTGCGGGGTATGAGCGCCGAGCTTAGTGGATCGGTGGATCAGTGGATGCATACTTTGTACATGTACCTTACATACAAATACATTTTTTCAACTTAAAGAAAGGAGGTTATTTTTTAGGTTAGTTAACATTAGGTACGTTTATGTAGTATTTGTACGTGCGCTAGTACTTCAACTAAGTATAAACTATGCAGGTACGCTTATGTACCTAATAAGCAAGGCGGCATACCGTTATCGTAAACCTCCTCTATAGGGCGTTGGTACGTATACACCACATACATTCTCCAACTTTGCGCTTGCGTTGACCCAAGAATTAGTTGTATAGGTAGATCTTGGCTGTGGGGGCGGTAGACAATGAACTCCGGATGGATTTGGTGGCTTATGAAGCGGGTATGCTACTGTACTGTTGTAGAATGAGACTACCATATAAGAGGTTGAAATCCCAGAAATCGAGATTCCGTATCAGGGATAAGATTTAATGTACCGTTGCCAATAAATAATATTTTAAATGCGGATATTCTCCAAAGACTTCAAATCGTAACCCATTGATAATTTGTCAACCCTTTCAATTTATATCTATAGCTACCTAGGTACCTAAAAAAGTTTGCATATGTATATGTAATTCATATCTATGAAATTTGTACGTATATGTATATTGGTCCGAATGGAGCCTTTCCCAACATTGCCGATCAGCCGGAAAGTTTGGGCGCACACGCCCGCGTACCGGACCCGACGTACATCACCAAGACAATTTTGCCCCTCCTATTTCGTAAAACTCCTGAAAGCAGTAATTGTACAATTGCTAGAAGGGGTAGTGACGACCCCTAATCAGTACTGCCTGTATGTCGTACTTATCGTACCTATATTAACTTGATAAACTTAATACCATAACTTCCAATTCTTGCAAAAACAAGAAGCTACGATTAATAATTAATAAACTGTAAAATTCATAGTTGATCTAACATTATATCATCCTTCTTACTTTTCTCAAATTCATCGTCGCGAAAACCCCACTACTCCTTAATTCTCACGCTTTAGGTTCAAGGGGTGTTGTCTCCCTGCCCCCCTGTCTACGTGTCTTTCATATCAACTACACCGATCCGGAACTTCAACGCCGAAGAGCAGCATATCGGCTATGGCGACGGCCGATGGAACCAGAGAAAATATATTCCTTATTTGGGGTGGTAGGGGATGGATTGCGGGTCACCTCGAGAAGCTTCTCAAAAGTCAAGGCAAGGAAGTCTTCAGAACGACCATCCGTATGGAAGATCGTGCGGCCGTGAAGGCAGAGTTAGATGCTATCAAACCCACTCACGTATTAAACTGTGCGGGATGCACCGGCCGTCCCAACGTCGATTGGTGTGAAGATCACAAAGAGGACACGATTCGCTCGAATGTTATCGGAACGTTGAATTTGGCCGACTGCTGCTTCCTTGCCGGTATTCACTGTACCGTGTTTGCCACCGGTTGCATCTATCACTACGACGACGCCCATCCGATCGGTGGTCCCGGGTTCAAGGAGACGGACCAAACGAATTTCACGGGTAGCTTCTATTCTGAGACCAAGGGCCACGTCGAGGAGGTGAGATGACAGTGTTAACCTGCGGCTTGTAGTTCAGGAGCAGTTTGCTTACACGATTCCTAGGTTATAAAATATTACGCAAACTGCCTGATCCTCCGCTTGCGTATGCCGGTGTCAGATGATCTACATCCACGCAACTTCGTCACTAAGATTAGCAAGTACGAGCGCGTGGTTGATATTCCGAACAGTAACACGATTCTAACCGACCTTCTGCCGGCATCCATCCTGTTGGCAGAACATAAGGACACAGGGGTTTATAACTTCACTAACCCAGGCGCTATTAGCCATAACGAAGTATTGACGCTTTTCAGAGATATAGTGCGTCCAGGCTTCACATGGAAGAACTTCACCGTGGAGGAGCAGGCCAAGGTGATCAAAGCTGGCCGCAGCAATTGTTTGTTGGACACGGAGAAACTGGAAAAGAAGTTGAAGGAGTATGACTACTCGGTGCCTGAGGTCCACGAGGCTTATAAGCAGTGCTTTGAAAGAATGAAAGCTGCAGGGGTTAAATAAGCTTGGACACAAGCCACCTAAACTGGTTTGTCGTATGCCATGTGCCGCATACTCTACGTTTTATCGTGTAAACTAATGGCGCTACGGGATGGACTTCTTAAATGACTAGTACCTAGATAGTTAGATGATTAGGTATGGAACTGCGCAGACTTGGACTGGTTTGCATTAGAGAGAAAAGGGGTGACGTTTCGTTATACCCCCTCATAAGTTGGTTAAGCAAGAAATGCCAAGATCTTTAGAGACAAGTAGTATGAGACTCGAACTATTGAGAGTGACAAGTTTCAAGTCCAAACTCATACGGCCCAACATAAGAACAGTATATAAATGAGATATAAGTGATATGTAGGTAGCTTCATAATATACAGGCATCTTTAAGTTTAAGCAAGCACATGTATCTGATTGGGACGGTGGGGCAGAACTGGACTCAAAAATCGACCCCGCCTTGGTATTGAGAATATTGTGCTACCTGCACTATCAGATGTTAGCGGACTACTTCTGCCTGCCTACATACATAGGAGGTATGTACCTCAATAGGTAGGTACCTAGTTACTCAAAAATGTGGCGCTAGAACACTGTGCCACAAGCCCTTATAGGCTAACATTCGTCATAGGTACAAGGTATTGTAGCTGATGGTCTTTTTTTTCTTTCCTTTTTCTTGCTATGAGGTATTCTTCAGCATTCCTTCGTACCTACTTACCTATGTAACCTAAGGTATGTGATCAGCTGTATCCTTATCCCATCTCTCTTCAGACATAACTTCCTATATTCATCTGACCTACATCCCCACCTACATATTTCTCCTAATAAGTTAATAATTCAAGCATCCTAACCTAATCATCTCACACTTACCATCCTTTCACCTACCTCATCTCTGTTAAATCCTAATTGCTCTTGTCAGGATTCACGCTATTTAGCGCCTATCAAATCCACCCCGCAACCCAATACCCTACACCCGGACCCTTCGCATTTGTATTTGCATCTGTGACTGGTCAGAAGAGAAAGCATGGTGGCAGCAGTAGATACATCATATTATGACGCTCTCGGCGTCCAGCCAACAGCTACCGAGCTCGAGATCAAGAAGGCATATCGCAAACTTGCCATCGTCCATCATCCAGGTGCGCGCATCCAACCGCGGCCTTATCCGTTCCTACTAACAGACACCGCCTAGACAAGAACCCAAACGATCCAACTGCCCACGAAAAGTTTCAGACCATCGGCGAAGCCTATCAGGTGCTTTCCGACCCCGACCTAAGGAAGGCATACGATAAATATGGAAAAGATAGTGCTAGGCCCACCGAGGGCTTCGTCGACCCCGCCGAGTTCTTTAGTAGTATTTTCGGCGGCGACGCCTTCGTCGACTGGATTGGCGAGATTAGTCTTATGAAGGATCTTACTACCACCATGGACATTACTATGGCCGGTGAGGAAGAAGGAGAGGAGGCAGAATTCCCCGGTACTGAGGAAGCCATACGCGAGAGTGCAAAAACAACTAATATCGATGCTACCGGTACTACTAGTGCGCCAGCGCCAGCCGTCGTCGTTGAAGAAGAGCCTGAAAAGCCAGCCGCCGAAGTACATCACAACGTTTCTACGGATAAGCCATCGGTACCCTCACGCGGTGCTTCTCCAAGCCCTACTACTTCCGGTATAGCGACTCCCCTCTCTGGTACATCGACACCCTCGAGACATGCCATTCCCATCCGGCCCGCGCTCATGGACCGTCCGTCGGATGATGCACAGTTAGCGGGACAAACAGAAGAGGAGAGAGAACTACGCAAGAAGGAAAAAAAGAAGGGATTATCCAAAGAGCAACGGGACCAGCTGGTCGCCTTCGAGAGGGAGCGCGCCAAAATTCGGCAAGAGCGTGTCGATGCTCTCGCTTCAAAGCTTATCGATCGTATATCAGTATGGACGGAGACAGATAAAGGCCCTGATGTCACCAAGGCCTTCCAAGACCAGATTCGTCTCGAGGTGGAAAATCTCAAGATGGAGAGTTTCGGACTCGACATTCTACATGCCATCGGCGCCGTATACATATCGAAAGCTACAGCACTCCTCAAGTCACAGAAGTTCCTCGGCATCGGGGGCTTCTTTAGCCGTATGAAGGACAAGGGAACACTTGTCAAGGAGACCTGGAACACCATATCGTCGGCCATCGACGCTCAGCAAACCATGGAGGAAATGGCGCGTATGGAGCAGGCTGGTGGCGAGGACTGGACCGACGAGAAGAAGGTCGAGTACGAGCGTAGAGTTACTGGGAAGATCCTCACGGCTGTCTGGCGCGGTAGCAAGTTTGAGATCCAGAGTGTGCTACGTGAGGTCTGCGACAGTGTTCTCTATGATAAGAAGGTACCCCTAAATAAGCGTTTAGAGCGAGCAGAGGCGCTTATTATTATCGCGGATATTTGTCAGAAGGTAAGCACCATTCCACCTCGCGATATCTTGGCTCATCACATTTTCATATTACTCATAAATCATCTGCTGACACCTTTCTAGGCCCAGAGAACGGAGGAGGAAGGCGAGTATATGGCATTTGAGCAACTGGTAGCCGAAGCAGCTATCAAGAAGGAAAAAGAAAAGGATTCAAAGAAGAAGGGGAAAGACAAAGATAGCAAGAAGGTCGATGCACACAAGGAATAGTCGTAATAAACCCGTCTTATTTAGGGGTACGGACTCTAGAGACACCCTTTATTGGAAGCGACTAGGGGTATATTCAAAAGTTCATGGTTCCTGCATGATACCCTTGAAACAAAGATTTAAATCAGTCTGCATCAACCCGGCCACGCTATCCAGTTGACGTCGGAATTAAACAGGAGGCAGAAAATCTGGGGGAACTCAAGCTCTCTAGCAGCTTAGGAAGTTCAGCGGGGGAGGACGGATAAGCTGATCCGGGAAGGAGATGGAAGATATCATAGGCAGCTCTTACGCTTCATAGACTGGTTTTAGGGAGTCTTTGGCCAGGATGGGATAAAAAGCTCCCCCTAATATTACGAATGCATGCACGCGTCTCTGTGAATGGAGATATAACCCACTCTACCCCTTGGTTTCTAATATGTTCTTGAAAACGTATTGTTGTGATATTGGAGAAGTGCTCGTAAACGTAGAGATTTCCGTCGTATAGCTTAGTTCTTCTTGTTGGCCTTTTCCATGATTACGGTAGGCAGTGATCGTCGAGTCACCAAGGTGTAGGACGATAGTCGGTCATTAACTAAGAACCAGCACATTTAATAGACCATTTTCTAACTGTATTTACAGATCTACGAGCCGCTGATTTTATAGAACATATCCCCTTTGTAAAACCGGGGTTATTAAATACGTAGCAGGTACATGTAGCAGTACATAAGGAGTGCTCATGATGCCCTGATTTTGATATATATACGTAACTAGAGTTTACCAAGACGGGACAATGGCAGTAAGCAATTAGCTGGCAATGGAGATAATAAATTGGAAGACCGTAGAATACGAATGTAGTAAATGGGTTCAGAAGAACGGTAGTCTATGAAGTTGAGTACCTTAACCCATGATTAATGTAGACGCCTATCTCCCTCTTTCCAGAAGCAACTAGGTCAAGTGGAGGCTTCAGAGCGTCCTGTTTCATATTGAGAATTCTGCTACGGACATGACTAGCCAGTCGACATTAGCAGCCCTCACTTCGTGGCACCTGAGTCGGCATCACTTAACATCATAACAGAACTGTGGTTACAAAATCACACCAATAAAGCGTAACGCTGTGCCCCGAACTGGGAAGTTCTAAATCATGACAATCCCAACCGAGGCAATATCTGCTGATGTATAGAACTCCTGGCGCTAAACTATTCAATTGTTGCTATCAACCCGCCAACTTTGCTCTTTCGGAGCATATAGGCAGCCTCGCGCACACGGCCGGGAGGCAAACAAGAAATTCCTCGGCAAAGTCGACGTCCACGTATGTGCATCTCCGAGTGTGGCTCCTGATAGAACTTGAGTTCACCTCCTATAGGTGTTTTTGTGACCCCATCTATTTTGGGCGTGTGTGTGAGTAAGTGCTGGCTCTTTTATTCGTTATTGCTTTAGGGTATCACTGAGAGTCGAAAAAGAAAAATAGAGATTTGTCAAGTGGTGTGGAGATGGTCTATCGACTCAACGCCTGTCCGTCATAGTTTATGGGGGTATCCATTGGTGGTACAGTAAAGGATAAAAAAGAACGACAAAAAAAGGCTGAAAGACAATTGAATATAAGTCGCCTGGTACAAAAATGTAACTCTAAGGCGCCGCAGTTGGTTGGGTTATATGCTGTGAAGAATCGTATCCAAAATAGAAGGAATCTCGTACCAGTACTGATGTGCTGTAGCTGGGGGGGGGGGGGGGGGGGGTATAATAATATCCAACTCTTATCCTCCCTCGACTTGGAGTTCTATTCCGCTATCCCTATCCTGTCGTTCCGAACCGCCCCAGCTTGCTAAACTAATAGGGTCGTCTAGAAATTTTTCATCGAATTCAATCGTATTATCAGATATACTATTTGCGGTTGAAGGTCGATCCTCCTCTTCGTCTGGAGCCAATACTCGTCCACCTAACTCCACGCCGGTGATCGGAACACGATACTCGAGTGCCTTCTTCCCTTCATTGATGAGCACCTCGGTCCAGTCAAGGCATCTTCTAATGCTTTGGTTGATCTTCTGAGAATCAACAAGCAATTGTTGATGCTTTGATAAGTCAAGCTGCAGCCGTTCCTCATCTCGTTTTCGGTGTCTTGCGTCCCGTTCTGCGACGACACTTGGGTCAAGAGATTCGTTCAGTGAATCACTGTCGGATAGCTCCTCCTCCATATATTTCTCTTCCTCTTGCTCCTCTTCCGCTTCAGACTTCTCGTCAAGGTCGGAAAGGTCTATTGTCCCTATTCCTGGCTCTGAGGTATCTTCTGATGATATTTGACTAGAAACTGCGGTGGATGCAGTAGAAAGTCGACCTGCGCGGGAAAGGCGCTGATACCTTCGCAACTCTGAAGTTTGTTTCCGCAGCCGACGCTCAAGAGTTCGGTTGATGGCTTCGAGAGACGCGTTTGTGATCTGTAGGTCTTGAACTTTGCGTTCACGTCTGGCGTTCGCTACAGCTTCGTTCACCGGTTCTGTGGGATTGGCTGGGCTGGTAGGACTTTGTAGGCCTGATGGGGCTTCTTCTGGGGATGCACACTCTTCGTTCTCGGCAAGCTCCTCAGCTGCTTGAATTATAGAAGCGAGTGTCAAAGGGGCCGGCGTAGGAAGTACGGTTATAGGAGGGGAGGTTTCAGGTGATACGCGAGAGCTCGTTGGCTTTGGGGTATTGGAACCATGGTCTAACTTTACTAAGCTTCCCGCACGAGAATGGCCGCCGGGTCTTGATGTACCAGTGCTGGACCGGCGGAGCCCGGGCGATGGCGCTAGCTGAGGAGCGGATAATGCCTGCGGACGTCCTAACAATGGGATGTTGGCAGTCTTAGACGGAACTTGCGAACCCTGGGACGGGAACTTCGCCGGGGAAGCAGGCCTCTGCACGTGAGTATGACTATTAACCGGGGGGTTTGTTGCCGGGCGACTGGAAGGTGGTCTAGGAGCTGTTGACACTGTCGAACCCGAACTACGGGATACAGGAGGTGTGGGACTAGACCGCGCTTCTGGAGTCCCATTGGCGTATATAAATTTGCCGGAAAGACTATCCTGGGAGTGACCGAGAACTGGTGCAAGGGGCACCGGGTTAGAGGGCTTGTTCTCTATCATATTTCCATTGGCATAGAAAAAAGTCGGGCCCTTCGCCTGGACCGGTTTAGAAGATGACGTTGGGCGAGGAGGTTTGACATCGCTCGCGTGAAAGAACTTGGATTCTAAATTACGGGCAACTTCTTGCCTCCCATAGCCGGTCGTGTCTGGAGATACGGAGCTAAAGGAGGCTCCTGACCTTCTCATAGCATCCCCCTCTATCCTCGGGCTCGGCAGGCCGAAGCTGGACCTGTGATCCCAGACATCTGACCTTTCCGGATTGGGTGTACCATTCGGTGTATTACCAGCACTTTCGGCACGGGTTTGCCTCGAACCAGAGCGAGGAGTGACGTTGGTGCTAAGGTGAGATGGAAATGATGAGTCGTCGAAGTAACTTGAGCGATTAGGTGGTGCTTCTCGGCTGGTATTGATCGCGCTGGGAGGATGTTGACGCCGACCTGCTGGGGTTGCTACGGCGGATAGAGAGGGAGACTGGGTTCCTGTCTTTGATGCGATCTTAGGGGTTAGGGGGTTCCTATTTACGACCCTTGCAGCAGAGGCGCTAAGTGAAGGCATTTGCGATCGGCTCGAACTTGGATTTGGGTTGGCAAGCGGAGGTGAGGATGTGTCGAAGGGCATGTTTCCTATTCCTGGCTCCTTTAACAGGGGAATTGTAACAGGCGCTGCATTTTGGGACCGTCTCTTTAGGGGGCCTCTGGAGGACGAGGACGAGGACACGGACGAGGCGGCTGCTGCTGTTATGGAGGTCTTGGCAATAGTAGTGGCTGTGGTGGAGGTGGATATTATTGTTCTCGTCCCTGTCCGCGTACCGGTGCCCGTGCCCCCAACGGTCCTAGGGGGCTTACGTCCAATTGATACCAAAGAATCCGAAGATGGTGGTCGTTTTAACCCCGTCTTAGTTACGGAGTGATAGTTCGAATTTGAGGAGCGCGTGTTGGTGGAGGAGGGTGGTTGAGTTGAAGATGTATGAGGGATGAAAGTCGTGTTGTGCATCGTTAAAAGTGATAATTACCTAAGGCACAGGCAATTTAGGTAGGTCGAACCCATGTTTTTTTCCGTCTCTCTTTCCTTCCTCCCTGAAGGTCGCAATTGCATATGATGGCCTGAACGGCGCGGTTTAGGTCTCCACTAATTTGGCCTATGGTTACTATTACTGGTAGACAAGCCCTACCTTCCAACGGACTGTAGGCGACCGAACCCGTTTAGACTCCTTTCTATTGGCGGTAGACCGATACTAATTGAGTTCGCTTGTGCAACAATACTTGATACCTGCATGTACCTCTATAGCATGTGATTGTTTCTTATGAAAGCGTATATCTGAACAATTATGGGAGAGATGAGGAGAAAGAAAGAAGAAGAAAGAAAAAGAAAAAGAAACGGTAAGGAGGTGCGTTAGAAAAGAAATCGTCTGGAATGAGAGACAAATGCTTCTGTCAAATTTGACTGGATCAACAATTTCATTGCCCACAATAAAAAGGATGACGTCCCAAAACATACGTCTGGTCTTGTCTGGGCACGTCCTCGTGTCTGATACGTTTAGATCCACGCTCCTTTCCTTTTCTGAGGGTATTTACATAGGATTCATATGTTCGTACAAGTTGTGCTTGTGAATACCCCATAGCTCCCCGCAGTTTAGAGGGAATAATACAAGTATATTAAGTTACGGGATGTACAAATATAATACTAATGTAAGGTCCACTATAGGTACTATGTATAAGAGAGGAGTATTAGGTTAGGTACATTAGGTGCGCTAAGGTTTGGCACATTACTGCCTGACAGCCTAACTTATCTACTTAGTTAGGTACTTTAGTAAGGGAAGCGCACTAACTTTGACAGCGCTGTACCCTGTTAATTCTAGTGGGTCACCATAACTAGGATTAAGGCTGTCAAGGCGGTGAATTCAATTGCATTCTTTTCCCCTCTCTTCGTCTATGTAGTGTATCGAGCGCGAGATCGGCTGAGCTGGCGGCCGGTACCGTCTGCACGACATTAACCAACAAAACTTTCGATTTTTGGAAACTATATATTTTTAGCGCCAGCAAGCCTACTTAAGGAATGAGAAAAAGATTCAGCAAACATCTGATTTGCTGGCCAGTCTATCTCTAAGGACAATTCTAGATAATACATAATACATATTAGCCTAGGTAATAGGTGCAAAAGGTGATAAACCACGGGGAAAAAGGAAGTGGAAGGAGTGGTCAGGTAACGTCATCCGGCATATCGTCAGCATATCGCGACGATGGCGCTCTTGGGCCTATCGCTGGTTTTGGTTTCCGTGGTTTACGCAGCTATCTGGAGGCCGCCTTTTATCCAATCTCTTCTATCGATATGGCGCGGCGACCCTCAGATCCAACAACCGCCAACGACGCGCCGTCCCTATCCAGCGGATATTACGGTAGAACATGAGGAAGAGGAGGAGCAGTCGGCCGCTACGACAACTGGTCGCGATACATCATCAACCGCGACAACCCAAAGATCTGCTGCGGTTGCTGCTGATAGGGCAGCTATGCCTCCACCTCCTAAGCTCGTAATGCATCAACCGAAGGAAACCGCAACGAATTCGCAAGCCGACTCCTCGCCCTCACCACAGACGACTCCCAAAGCCACGGCTTCAGTCCAGCTTAACGGCGACAACATACCCTTATTCTCCCTCTCACCCGACCCTCCCGCTTCCGCAGCCGCCATCGCTCGCGCCGTCGAGGCCAACATCTCGCCTTCCTCCCTAGCTACTTTCTCCGCGCCCTCCCCTCCTGCCGAACTACTCGCGCCAGCAAAAACCTCCATGGCACCACCCCCTCGTCCCCCGACCCTCAATAACACCGGACCCTCCCTCCTAGGCGTGTCTCCCCGCGCCCCTATTCCTAACCGGCACCAATACGACCGGCAACCCGGAACGTCCACCCTCGCGCCGCCTCCCACGCACTCTTCGAAGCCCGCCAAGCCATCTCGCAAAGTAACCCTCTCCCCCGGCCGCAGCCCTCTAGACTGGGCGCGTTTATCCGCCAACCCATCTGCGGACCTGCGTAACCTTGGCCCCGGGGCGCCGTACCTACGAGTGCCGCCGAGTCTACTACGGCGACAGACGGGGCGCAAGGGCAAGGACGCATGGACGGCGCTAGGCGGGCGCGTGTACAATATCACGCCGTATCTACCGTTCCACCCGGGCGGCGAGCCGGAGTTATTACGCGTGGCGGGGCGCGACGGGACGAAGTTGTTCGGGGAGATACATCCTTGGGTTAACTACGAGACGATGCTGTCGAGTTGTCTGATTGGGCTGCTGGTTGAGGAGTACGAGGCGCAGAGTACGGGGGAGATGGAAGCTATGGACTGATCGTCTATATCTTCTACGTGTGGATAAGTTAGAATTATAAGTTACTTTGTAGGGACTAGAGAATGGTGGTAGAAAGGCTATGGAAGACGGTATAGCATAGCATAGCATAGCATAGCATAGCATAGCATAGGTTGTATATTACTAGAACGGCAAGCAATTGGGCAACAGCACTTCGCATCGAGTCGGGTCGGGTCAGGTCGGGCGGCTCCGGTATATATTATGCTTAGTACATGGTAAAATTAGATATATAAGCGAGATACCCCTTTTAGAGACAATGCTATCTACGAGAAGACAAATAGCAATTAGGAGCTTAAAGATCCCTTCATCTCTTCCCAAACCTGAACCGTAATCCGTCATCGCTCTCGTCATCACTAGCGGCAACGAATCCTATTCGAGACCTCTTCGCTGGCTGCTCTTTGGCGGGAAGTGGGGCTGCACGCTTAGATGCTCTTGATGATTGCGTCTTCTGAGCTGTGCTTTGTGGTGTTGACCTAAGCGATTGCGGCTGCGAGGTCTGTTGCGATACCCTACTCGTGCGTGTCCTCGACGGAGGGGCGATGATGACATCCTCACTTTCGCCGTCCATATCGTAGTCCTCATCTTCACTACTGTCCACTAGGGGGAGAACCTCTGTAGATAGCTTTTGTCTCTGGTTTCCAGCTTTCTTTGCCGGTGTATTAATGATCTGTCGGTCCTGTCTCTCACCTGTATCTTGACTCTGACTGTGTGTTTGGCTTTTCTTCTTCCGCCTTCGCTGCTGGCTTTCGTCTTCAAGCCAGTAGTCATCACCGATGCCAAAACCTTTTGACTTGACTTCTTCAAGTGCTACAATAATCCTCTGTGGCGCCCGCCCTCGGGGACCCACCCGAGACTGAAATTTCTTGAAATTCTTTCGCCCGTTCCATGCAGGATCCCAGCGACCGTCAGCTATGTCTTGATCCCTGGTTCGTATAGGCGGTACTTGCCGCAGTTCAATAGGCTCCTCTATATGCAAGCGCCGGATTTCTGCTAGGTCAAGGCCCTCTGGTGCCGTGGCGAGTTCTTCCCTTTCTGCCTTTGCACGTGCTTCAGCCTCCTCTCGATGCTGTCGCGCCATGTCAAGGATATCTATCTCTTTCTTGATCTTTGGTGCTCTGACCTTGAGCTTCTGCGATTCTATCACGGGTTCTTCCGGTGTTAGCTTGCGAGGAACTAGATCTTCTCCTGCAGCGATGCGACGGCGCTTTACCTGAGCAGCCGTAGGTGCAAAATCGTCCATCGTGTCTTTGGGCTCGAGTGGTGGGGTGCGGCGCTTTCGTTGGGACTGTCGGCTTGAACGAACCGCCTGTTCTGGTTCTTGTGAAGCAACATCTTGTGATACGAAAAGACCTTCTTGTGATGGCTCAACACCTTCTGCTGAGGGCGTTGAGGTAGTCGGAATGGCTTCTGGTGTATCATCATCCTCTAAATCTACACCAAACCCCTTGAAACGACTTTTCACAGCCCCTCTCGCCCGCCTTCGAAGGGGCTGTTTTTGCGGCTGGGCCGGAGGCTCGTCTTCGTCTACATCCACAGCTTGTCCATTCGAGCGCTGCGGTTCAACTTGTGACGTCTGCGGCTCCGCTTCAGCTTCGAGAGGTCGCCGTAGAACACCGGCATCATTGTTAAGGATCGCATCAAGGAAATCCTTCTGATCGATAAGTCGATGGTCCAGTCTTAGAGAGACTGATCTGTAGAAATCGGCGAACCAATCGGCATTCTGAGGGGGACTGGGAATCCATCTGACCACGACAACGCCCTTGCCCTCGCTTCCATCCTCGAACTCTCCCATGCCCTTCTCTCCTGCTACTCCTTTGACGTACCAAATGAAGTCGTCTATCTGTGTTTCTCCTTCGACTACTTCGTTAAACAGCGCCTTGCCCCTCCCGTTTGTTATAGGTTCTAGAAGGTTATCGTATTGCTTCCTGTTGTAAAATATGAATGTATAACCATAGAATATCTCAGCACGATCAGGATTGGGGGCAAATGCTTCGACCGGTCTTGGCACTGCTTCGTCTCCTGGAGGCGGGACATATTGCATAGCATCTGGCCAGTTTGCGTCGAAGTCGCTTTCTAATGCACTCGCTGCCGCACTATCGCTATCATTTCCAGGTGTCGCAGCAGTGATAATAGCACCGTAGAACCCTTCGGTAACGAGGTATCGACCGTTTACCAGAGCTTGTAGGCCCTTTGGCACATTCCTCTTCTTTGATACAACGTGGGTCGTCGACTGGACGTCATAGTGAGTAAGAAACTTGACATCAAGTTGTTCTAGGTCTTCTCGAAGCTTAGATAGAGGGTCCGCTCGGAGTTGATTTGCAGTGAAGGAGAAGCTCAGGACTACAGGAAACCAAGTAATGCTAAGATGTATCCATGATCAGTTGCTTTGCACACACACACACTGTATCCAAGTAAAAGAACACACCGGAATTTAGGCGGGAATGTGCCCATTTGGAGGGTATTGACATCCTGCGAAAGAAGGCGCTTTTCGCCTTTTATCTTTTCGTCATTTATTCGCGTTCCACCTTTAGAGCCCAGGTCTTCTACCGTGATGCGTGAACGACGTGACACATTTTCCTAGTAGAAGTATCTCAGTAATCGAATACATGACTACCGAAGGACATTGGGACAGCATACCCCATCTCCCTCGGTTACTTCGTCGACTTGTATAGTGACATGCTTCCGCGATACCCTTTCTGCTCCTTCTCCCCTGATGGCAAGCTGTCCGGCTAAGTTCGCATTAGCTCCTGGCGTTTTAAGTATATATATAGAATATGCGCATACGTTCGGCGATTGTTCTACCAAAGAGATATCGCTTTCCTGGTCGCAGCCAAAGCCGTTTGCCTGAAAGCAGCGATCGTTAGCACTTGGAAGCAGAAGACGAGCGTAATGTGTCTTACCATCGAGGGCTTCACCCTCGTTTTCTAGGAGCCACATAGTCGACTTGACACCGAGCTACGGATCTCAATAGTAAGTAGTGGGGGTGAAGATGATGCAAGAAGCGTGAGGCTAAAAGCGTGTCGAAACGCGAAAGAAGCTCGTTGTCACGTGTAATATGTCTAACATTAAATGTTTTTGAGGGGAATTTACGAGGGGGTCAAAGCTGTATTGTACCTGCATCTTAGGGAGTACATACTTAAAAACGGGTTAAATGTGTTTAAGTTAGGAGGTCGGTTAGGTACTTTCATACATATGGATGAGAGGGCAGGGGCAGAGATGAAACCTTAGGTACGTCGGAAGGTGCAAATCACACTGTGAGGGGTACCTATCTAACATCTACATAGCAAGTCGAGGTCTATTGTTTAACGAATGTTCCTACTCAATACAATATTTGATATTTTCCATATTATCATTTCTCTCTTGCAGACAGTTCCTTACATTCCGGAAGAAATATTACATTTAGGTATCGATCGATCGATCGGCCTGACAAGGACCTAATAGAGCAAGATCAAATGCCAACATCAACTTAGGTATATATCTAAATTCGGTCACCGTATCCTAGCTGGCTATTTTATACAAAAGGGGATATATCCAGCGATATGTCAAGAAATCCTTTTAACTATATTAGATAAGTACCACAACCCAAGCTGAGCGGCCGGAGGGTTTATGTTGCGAGTATATATAAGCGACTTAAACGCTCGTTGGAAGATTCTAAACTATTGGTAATAATCCTACGTCTTGATTATTCCGGGAGCGCCCTTTAAGACTCTATGCGGATATTATGACTACAACAGAAGTATCGACATGACGTGAGCGACGAGGACATCCTGAAAGCTAGCTGAGACATGGGTCTAGAAAACGGAAAGGTAAGTTGTCATTAGACCTAAGATCATAATGGACAATTATATATAACCATTCATCTTCTCTTATCTTAATTCAAATACTTCGTTCTTCCTCAACAGCTTCTACGATTATTAGGGAATTGGCCCTGAAGGATTTGAAATTACCATCCTTATTACCCCTTTTTGATTGAAGTGTACGATCTTATAGTCCTATATCCCAGTCCCGATTTCCACAATGCGAGGGCCTTTTGGTACCTACACCCTCGGGGCGTTCTTTGGAGGACTGCTTTTTATGGGGGCCAAGGCGCAAATGAAGGTTAGCAGCTTTGATGGACCCGTCACTAAGGAAGAACTGAAGTCATTCAACGACTATGTTGCTACCCTGAAGCCTGCTACCGACAACAAGGGGAATCAATGGGTGCAGGGCCACAGCGGAGAGCAGACAAAGGCAATGGGTCTTATATATCAGATGGCCGGACAACAAGAAACGCTAGACCATATGCTTCGTTTCTGCGATGCGGTTTTGTCGGAGAGAAATGACCTAGCAAAAGCCCCAGTTGGCCAGCACAAGATTTGGACGGGCGGAATCGATCCTGTCTGGCCGAACGATGTTACCAAGAAACCAATCCAAACTGGCGGAGGAGAAGGCGACCCTGTCGGACATCTAGCCAGCTGTGCTTACCTCATATTAAATACGGGCAAGCTTCATAACCAGAAGGTAACCATCGGCGATCCTCATAAGTATGGCGTTACCTATATGGATCGAGCCAAGACCTATCTCAAACAGGCGGATTTCTCGATGAGCAACCATATCTTAAAACGTTTACTAGATCTTTCGAACGGAAACAAAATGTACTTTGCCAAGGACTCGCCTTACATGGGTGGGAAACCAGTCCCGTGGAATCAACAGATGATGTTCAACTATGCGTTCATGAATCTCTGCAGCGCACATAGGATCCTCAACGACAACCCCGAATTGCTCGGGAAGTATAAGTCGATCCTTACTGCTAGCATTGATTGGTTTTTCCACGGAGGTGGTGTGCAGACAAAGAAGAGCAAGAAAGGCAGCACCGTCTATGACTGGGGCTATACCATGCCGAGAACGACTGGTGAGGACTCGAATCATGGCGCGCTTGATGTTGCCGGGTTTTACCGTACTTATATCGACGGTAACTATGGCATCACGGCTGACCAGATGAAGCCGTTCGCCAACATGTTTGTTGATGTCATGACTCTAGGAAAGGAGAAATATGCCGGGACTGTAGACGGCAAAACCGACGGCGACGGCCATGCCAAACCCACTAAAAATATTCGTAGTGGTTATCTCTTTCTGGCCGAATTCCGGCCTGATGCTTATAAGAGCATGATGTCGGCCGATTTATCGGTCGGTGGTAAAGGAACTGGAAGCGCTGATGGATTTTCCCGTTTTCTGTGGGTGAAGAATCAGCGTATGAAGGCGAAGTAAACACGATGGCAAAATCGTTTATAGCTAATACTTATATTCTACATATTAGCGAGTGACACTCAGTTGGAAGCAAGTTGGGTATTACAGTCCTCTCTATATTAGAAGAGGTCTACATTAGAAGAGGAAGAAACATGTATTTCGGTCGATTCTAATCCACAATCCAGGTTATTCCATAGCATTGTGAATACTAGACTATGAAGTTAGTACTGCACTTATATATGTAGGTTATATCTAATGAGATCAAGATATCTATATTATGATAAATGGTAAAATACTTACTTTGGCCATGAAATAAAGTCCCGTTACACACCTACAGTTCCTAGGAAGTCCTAATATGTAGTAAAGGGATCATAAACCCTGTCATACCCTGGCATGTGTATAACCCTAACTACCACTTTAAACTTCCCAACATCAACTTACCTTTTCCCTACGTGCGTATCTACGAGGTATATATATATATATATATATATACATCATCTAGACACTGCACAGGCTGCTTTTTTTATTCTAGTAAAATCAATCATACAGAAAGAGAACTCAACCTGCCGAACTGGCAGCATGCGACGCACCCCAATGACGAAGCGTAAAGCGTGCTTTATAGCATGTATCCTTCCTTGCGCAGCAGTATACTACTGTATAAAATACACTTTTCGCGCCGTCGAAGAAACCCTCGATGCAGTAGACAGCGCCCGACAACGCCACCGCATTAAGACGCGCAAGCGCCCCAAATCAAAGCCTCTAGCTGTAATCCCGTCCGTGTCTAAGAGAACATCCGCTTCTGCCCCCATCAAAACTTCCTTCCTACACCTCCCCCCGGAGATCCGCCTCATGATATACCGCCTGGTCTTCGGGGGCCCGGCCATCATGCAAGTCCGCTCCACGTACTCGATGCGGGGCCCCCGCCCCGAGACATGGGTGTCTGGACAGGGGATCCGCGACGACGCAGACGAGCCGAGCAAGGCGCTCCGTCTAATCATTGGTCTCGGCGGCTCGCCCCTGCGCCAACTGGTTGCTCCGCCGAGCGTCGGGTGTGTCATCTACGGATACGTGTCGCGGTTGATCTGCGGCGAAAAGCACTGCTTCGCCATAACCCGGTACCACGACGACGAAGCCGTGCACTACACGGATCTGATGCGCACCAGCCGGGCCGTGTACGGAGAGGCGTTGGATCTGCTGTACGCGGAACACACGATTTCGCTGTTCGGGGTGGAAATGGCGCGGTACTTCTGCCGCAACGCTAGCCCGGAGGGTATGAAGCGCATACGCTTTGCGCATGTGGCGCTTATCATTCCGTCTTCGAGCTGGGATTCCCCGTCGCAGAAGAAGAGTATTAAGGATACTATGAAATTACTGCGGCACTCGCTGCCACACTTACTGCAGTTAGATATTGAGGTGGCGGTGACGTGGGGACAGCCGAAGGACACGGGACTTTTCTGGAGCTGGTTGACGGATGATGGTGTGCTGGGGCAGTTCCGCGGGCTGGAGAAGTTCGTACTAAAAGCGTCGGCGTATTTGCCGTTTACAATGCGGCCCCGTGGGAATTGCGAAGCGTGGACGCCGCAGTATGAATTACTAGAGTCGTGGGATGATGGGGAGTATCAGGCGCTGAAGACAAGGGTGACGAGTTTGGATGAGGCGATGGCATCCTCTTAAATTATTGTCTGGATCTATGTAGTGTCTTTATCATGCATTACCCCCTACGAATTAACAACCATACCGTTAGGAGCGCTGTACACTGGATCATCACATTAGAAATTTATGCTATCTACCAGATGAATTATGTTTTGATTATTTACTTTGTTAATGATTCATATATACATGCATATCGTAACAGTCATAAACTCATTCGTAAAATGGCATATAATATCCGTAACCTCATTGTCAATGGATATTCCAGCCCTTCCTCAATGATCTTTTCGTTAAGCAAGAGGCCGTATGCCAACATGGCATGGCCAACTTTCATCGACCAATTATCTCCAAGGTACTATACAGGATAACGTCCACTGTCTACCGTTACAAGCGTTTCATTATTTTGTAGTTCAATAATGCCCCCTTGAGTGTCTCCGAATATCACTCGACCTCCGATAATCTCTCCCGTCGGAATAATACGTCGCGGGTGGGGCTCTCGGACTCCTGCTCCTATGTTGCTCAACATAGACCGGCCTAGTTACGCTTACGATCGACGTGCGGCGCGGACTATGATGAGAATGGCGGGAGCGTGATCTATGGCCATGTGTTTCCCGCGGATACCGCGTGGAGCTGTGGTGATGGTGCGAAGACGGTGGCTTCTCGTTGTCTGGCTCGAACGTAGTGCCCCATGCCCCCGGATTGCGGTAGTTGATACACGAGCGGATGATCCACAGCAGTATGAGGAACCCGGCGATAGAGCCGATAACTATGCCAGCGATGGCTCCGCTCGAGAGGGTGTGCGATTCGCCGTCGGGTTGTACGATGACTGTCGTAGTGCTCTGTTGACGGGCAGTGAGGACCTTGGAGATCACCTCCGGGAGAGTCCGTGTCGGGTTAATGTATTCGAGCTCGCGAGCTAAGACGCGACCGATAGATGAGCTATCTGTGGCCGGCGCTGGTAAAAAGGGGGCCATGATGGGGTAATTTGCCTCTAGTTAGGGGATTCCTAAGGCTCAACAGCTTGTACTAGGATAGACCTCACCGTCAGGAACGTGACGTGGACTAAATTAGAATTTGATGTATCCAGAAACTAAAAGGGGGGACGAGTAAGACATTAGTCGTGGGAAGGAGAAGGACAGATCGAGTTCAAGTAGTGAGGATGACCATCTCGATTCTCGCAGCGTATCATAGATAGAAGACGACAACGATGACGCCATGGCCGCGAGAGTGTAACCTGATATTCCACCATACTAAAGTGTGCCTGGACTAGTAGTAACCAAGAAGGCTGGGATGGTATCTGTTACCTGGGTAAATGGTGTTAGGTAGTGTAAGCCCATCCTTGCTCGCCATTTTTCAAACCATCTTACCATCTTCACTCTATGCGTGATAGTGCTTAGGAGGTTTGCCGAGGAGGTAGTATTTGCAATTCTTGATATGTGTTTAGACTATTCCTTTTCCTTGTTTGTTATTGGCGTCTGGCGCAAACGAAGAAGCTCCGGCGAATTCGGCATTGCTATTGGTCCATTCGACCCCCCCACCGTAGCTTGGCTCTCGAGCGATCATTATGATGTAAACTCGAAGGAAGCGGGGTGAATTATCCTGCTGTAAGACTGATACCAATTCTGGCGGATTTAAATCGAATTATTTTTCAGACAACTCCCGTGTTCAACATGTATATATTAGACATTGTATTCGTATACGAACATGATATCACCCTATATAGGTTAGGGCCTATACATCACATGCAACAGCCTATCGGGAAAACTGGATAATTATTTTATTCTCTGTACATTGTTAGTGGTACGATTTAATTCTTTAAAGCTCTCATGGACGTACGCATAAAACTATCCGTGGCCTCAAAAATTACTTGATCGTATTGTGTCTGTAAACTAGGTATAGGTTAGCCTGGAATGTCCCTGAAGATGTGACCCTATACTGTTAACATTCCCATATTACCTTCGTGTTCAGGCGGATTGTTCCCTCTTGACGACTTTACTCATGATAACATAGTCTATGATAAATTCCTTGCCGAATCGTAGCTTCCTCGGCTCTGGTGATATCTCGTCTTGCTCGAATCCCAACTTCTTATAGAAAGCGAACGCTCTCTGATTGCTTAGAAAACAAGTAAGCATGACTTTCTCAATAGGGGGCGTATTAACAGCGACGCTCTCCAGGAATCCCATGAGTGTCTTGCCTAGGCCAGTCCTATAGAATGTAAGTAGTTGGCACCATAGGCAATGTGAATTAGTTGGCATTATACCCTTGTAGATCTGGCTTGAGATGGATCTCATAACAGTATACAACGGGCTCTCCTTCTTCATATGTAGGCATTAAAGATGTGAAGCCGCGAACACTTCCCACGATGTCCTTGACTAGGATATACCTCAGCTCAGGGGACTTCATCTCGACGAGCTTTTTACCCGGCTTCCACCCGACTGATGAAGATTCATAATCGGCTCGGCTGGTCTCTTCAACTAGCTTGAAGCACGCGTCGAGGTCTTCATCACTCAAGTTACCCGAGCTGGTAAGGCTGAGCGGGAACTTGTCTTGTGTCTTTGGGTTAATCCACTCAGACCATGCAGGGTTGCTGGCGTATATATGTATGTTAATGACTAGATTTTCTCGGGACGAGTCTGAAGGAAATATTTACCTGGGGCATAGGTGCTCCTTAATAAAACTCTCGTCATCCTTCCGGTTTGCCCTTTCGATAGGGTTCGTAGCAGCACGTCTGCGCTTAACACTTTGCTTAAGGCCCTTCATCCTAGTCTCAAACACTGGCACGGTCGGTGAAAATTACAAAATCTCGCAAGCTGCGTTATCATCATGTGTATAGTAAGACTGAAGTAGTATATAATATCTCTTCTCTCTTCTCCACATTGATGTTTAGAAGTAGCATTTTTGTGAGTGTTTATTAGGAGTTGCAACGCGGCTTATGTAAGTTACCCGTCTAAAGTCATAAGCTTCAAATACCCGGAGTAGGTATCTCTTATCTCCCTTATCTCGGCCCTGATATAGTAACCTAGTTTAATTGCATAATAATCTGTAAGTTAGCGATAGATTATTGGAATTTCGTATCAACTCTCGATTATCAGTTTCAATCTCCCTTCTCATGCGCCTCATTCAAGGTAGATCGAGTCTGCGCTCTGCCATTGCCGTCCGAGACTATGCCACTAGCTCACCGAAGGGTCGGCTAGGCGCAGCTCTGAGTTTAGACCATGTATGTCTATTCTTATTATCTTGAATCTCTATGTTTTCATCTTAACCTAAAAGCTAATGAATGTCCACATAGTTCCTCTTACGTTCACGTACCCTATCCCTCTATCGTAGTATAATCCGCGGTACGAGACAAATTAGTGACCCGACTACTCGCGCCGAGACACGCAGTTTTGTGCGCGGAGAGTTCGAGCGGCATCGCAATGTCACTGATATAAATCATATACGCTATCTCTTATCGACCGGCAAGACGCAATGGGAGGGCATGGAGAGGTATATTGGGGGCATGTAACGTCATAATACATATATGTGTTTATGGCAGCCTTCCTATTATATAGACATCAAAGGTCATGGTTGGTGTTGACCAGCCTAGGTTCCGATTCGGCGCTGGCTTTACAATTGATGGTATACGGTATACGGTATACTCCCTCCTTAGCCCATCTAGTACATTGTATCGTACACAGCACGAGTCGCCAATAATAGGCGCAAAATTCAGACCACTTTGAAATATTGCCTTTTCCGGCCCATTTATAAGACTGTCTATCGATTTCTTTATCCTTGTCGTTGCTTATGTCTTGGATTCGCGCTGCAGATGATGTAGAGGTAACCACGATGTCGCTTGCCAGCCTTTCTTCTCACGACCTATCGCAATTATATGTTAGCAAATATCCGTTGGAACCCATGTGTCTAGAACCTCATGATCATAGGTTATAGAAAAAGGGTCTCCGTTCTAGACGCTCTGCTCCCTCATGACTGACCTTGCAGTGTTCGCACCGCTTCTTGACCGAACTATGAACCTTCATGCCCCTCGTCTGCTGCTGCGCAACGGCTTGAATCATTCTCGTTGCGTTCGCTATCGTCGGCGTGGGTCTTGCTGTCGTTCTCGGAGCCAGAACCGCTTGGGAGATGCTACGAGTGGGCTGATGTTCTCGTAGAATTTGTCGGGCTGTCGGTATCCGTGTCGCGCGAAGGGACAGCGCCCGAAGCGACAATGTTAGAGAAGAGGTTGCCATTTTTAAGAGGAGGATTGGGTATCCCAATTGCCCTCTCCTAGAACTAATGCTATTGGGATTTGTCGATGCAAAGTGTAAATTGTATGAATGTACATCCGATACAAGGGTTCAAGACAGAAAATCCGCTGTCGAATGGTGTGGGGCAACTAAATCACGTCTTATTGGTCATTTTAGGGAATAATATTTATGTATGCATCCCATATATGTATCTAAAGGCACAAATCCTCAGACTACGTTTATTACGTCGAATTAGATTAGAACGCTCTCCTTTCCATTATGGACAAATTCAAATCTATCTTCCTTTAGGTATCGTAACTTGCGTATGCCGGTTGACTTCCTTGGTCTAAAAGAAATCGTAATTATATCCCCTCATCGCCCATCCCACATATTCTCGATTTGCTAGTAGCATCTTATAGCTCCCAATTAACTATTGTTCGCTCCTCAAGAACGTCTTGAAAATCGAACTTTGTGTGCGATCCTCCCATGGGTACCCGATCTTCTTGAATGACTTCTCTAAGTCGGTCACTTCTGATTCGGGGCATTGTATGCCCGTCAATATTTTACCTATATCACTGCCGCCGTTTCTGTACTGAAATAGGCTGATGTTATATCTCAATTGTAAAGTTCTTAAGAACTTCTCGAGGGCGCCGGGACGTTCGGGGAAGTTAAACATGTACAACCTCTCATCTGCAACGTCTGACCGGCCCCCCACAAGGTAACGGATATGTGACTTGGCAAGCTCGTCACCTGACAGGTCTGTGGCCGTCATGCCCGCACGGCTAATTCGGTCTATAAGGTCCTGGAGCTCCTGGTCTCGTCCTGCTGCTCCACCTGTCAATGATATACCAACTAAAATGTTGGCAATCTCATTAGTTGCGTAGCGGTAGGAGAACTCTGTCACAGCATGCGGCATAACGTGTTTGATCAGTTCGGCGAACGACCCCGGCCTCTCCGGGATGCTAACATGGAGTAAGGCCTCTTTACCCTCGCCGAGAGTAGCGCGCTCGGCCACGAAGCGCAGCCGGTCAAAGTTCATGTTCGCACCGCTTGTGATGGCTATGACGGATCGATTCGGGTTGCTGGACGGATTTGCTGACACCCACTTCTTCAATCCAGCAAGAGCTAGCGCGCCTGCTGGCTCTACGATAGAACGAGATTCTTCGAACACATCTTTGATGGCAGCGCAAGTCTCGTCGGTATTCACTTCGACAATCTCGTCGATCACTTCTTGACATATCCTAAAGGTTTCTTCGCCGACTGTCCTAACCGCCGCGCCATCGGCGAACAAGCCCACTTCCTTTAGAACCACGCGCTTGCCTTCCCGCAAGGACTGGACCATGGCATTCGCATCCTCAGCCTCGACTCCAATTATCTTAACGTGTGGTGCAATGCGTTTAACGTAAACACCAATGCCTGCGATAAGGCCGCCTCCACCTACGCAACAGAATATTGCTTGGAGTTTCTGGATGTTTGTCTGCCGTAGCAGCTCCACTCCTATGGTTCCCTGTCCAGCGATGACATAAGGGTCGTCGAAAGGTGGTATGTTGATCAGGCCGTGTTGCTTTTCCAATCTCGCGCATTCCTCTTTGGCAGCGTCGAAGTCTTGACCGTGAAGCACCACGGCACCGCCTAATCTTGAAACATTTCTATGCTTGATACTCGGCGTTCCTGAGGGCATAACGATAGTTGCTGGTATCTTGAGTAATCTAGCAGAGTAGGCTACTCCCTGGGCGTGATTTCCGGCACTGCAAGCAACTACACCCTTCCAGCTCTGGCTTCGATCGAGATGGGCCATCTTGTTGTAGGCGCCTCGCAGCTTGAAGCTGAAGACAGGCTGCTCGTCTTCTCTCTTGAGTAAGACATTGCATTCGAGTCTGTTCGAGAGGTTCGTAGCATGCGTGAGAGATGTCTCTTTGCACGCTTCGTATACTCTCGAGGTAAGAATCAGGCGGAGATACTAAGAACATGGGAAACAATTATTAGTCATTCGTAGGCCAGGGCAAGTAGACAAGATAAAGCGACAAAGACGAACATCGGGATGCCCATTGGGCAAGAGAAATTCCTGAGGAATGACATCTTTTTGTCTACGCTCCGATGGCGGCGAGGGGTTTGCACTGTATTCTGTAAGAGACAGACCTGACGGCGAAGGGGTTCGTGGTCGAAGACTGTCAGTTCCGTTCCTGGCTCTTTCGGCTACTTCAATATCAATTGGATCAACTGTTGTTCCAGGCATATTGAAATACTTTAATACCAGCAACTTCTACGGTATCAACAAAACAAGGGAGAGTAAGACATGATTATAATAAATTGTGTCCAGCACCAAAATGATTTTAGATTTAGACTTCTGATAGTGGGGCACTCCCTTGTGTCGATTGGAGCTTACCATGCAGGAGCTCTAGCGGGGTCCTTACCCACCTAATCCTGATGCTTGTTGTAATAGGTATTGTATTGTACCTACCTTAATCAGGCACCGGTAGGCTCAGAACCCTTAACATTTTCGAGACGCTCGAAAACAATATCCTCAATATCCTCAGCACCCTCAGTACCCTCACCCACGGCTCAACACCTAAAAAGAGGACTCGGAAGCAAAAAGATACATAATTTGAGAAGAAGATGGAAGTAGAAACTTGGTAAAATCTATTCATATTTAAAAGATACCCCAATGAAAAGCTTTAAAAAGCTACGCATAAACGAACTTCCTATTTCGAAGGAGGGAGCCTGTAATAATAACCCTCATAAATTCGGGCATAGCCTTAAGAGCTAACTACTCCAGGTGCCTGCCCATAGAATCTATAGAAGTGGAAGCCCTCCGAAGAAAGATGGGGCCTCTGATGGCATCTTTGGTAATAGGGAAGGTGTATTGAATCGTATGTACGAAGTACCTAACCTAATGCTTTACGACATGTACAAAGAAACTAGTCTATCTTATCATCTTATCGCCTTATCCGGCGGCACATTATGGGTCTTTACGTATGTACACCATGTCGAGAGTTAAACAATTCGATGCATATCATTAAACCTTCAACCTCGAATTTGCGCAAACCGGCTCAACCTAGGCCGGTGTATATTTAAGCTATCCGCTGGTACGGGTCCTTTGTAACCAGGTCACCGGAGTTCAAGATACAGGCAGCCAATCCACCTACAAAACCCGATTTCAACATGGCGGACAGATCTATGCCCTCGTCCTTCGATGACGACAGGTGCCTCTCCCCCTCACCCGCTCTTCTCCCCCTTCTTCTCTCTGCCACTACACACGAACAATATCGGGGTTGCTAGATATTTAGCTCACAAAGGTATAACTAGGGAATACAATGAAACTGGGTCCCAGAAGATCGGCCGCAAACTGCGAGAGGAGCCTCTAATCCCCCTCGGTACATCATTCCCCCACACCCATTCTTCCAAGCCCCAGCGCAATGGACTTTAAAACTAAACAATTAATTACCCCGGAATTAACAGGAACCCTCCTAACCACCCTCGCCGTCTACAATGCCTGGCGCGCCATGCGCCGCGGCGACCACGCGCAAGTGCAACGCATGTTCCGGGCGCGCATCGGCGCGCAAGCCTTCACAGTCATGGCCATAGTCGCGGGTGGCACCTACTACGGCGCGGATCGGGAAAAGCGCAAAGAACTAATTAAACTCGAGGCGCAGCAGCGCGCCGAGGAGCGCCACCAGAAGTGGCTGAAGGAGCTTGAGGTCCGAGACGAGGAGGACAAGCAGTTGCAGGCGGCGATGAAGCGCCGGCAGGACCGCGTGCAGCAGCGGCGAGCGGAGGAACGGGAGCGGGTTGCTGTGGAAGAGGGCGAGACAGGTTCGGGAGTTGAAGAGGAGAAGAAGAAGAAGGATAGAGGGTCAAATGTACTAGGTGCTCTATCGAGTGCTGGTGGTTGGTTTGGAACGAAGAAAAGTGAAAATCCGACAACATCTGAGCAAAGTAAGGGCCGAGAGGGAGGTTCGGAAAAGAAAGCTTAAATGGGAGCTGCCAGGCTGTAACATGCATTATGGAATTTTCAAGTGACTATTTTCGGGTTCGGTTCTGAAGAAAATATTGTGTACCAAACTGGATCAGGACCGGAAGGTTAGAGAAGAGTACATCTGAGGGCAAATGATTGAAAAGTCATTTTGATAGGCCATCCGAAAGGAGCCTATGCATACACTATACATTGTATATAAGCTAACATCACGTCTCGTTGTATAAATGGCGACATTGGAAAGGGATGTGCACAAATGATGGAATCTGGATTCGCTCATCGCATACAACAGAACTGACGACCATAATAAATGATGTGTAGAGATTCCAACGCCCATGTCACCCGAACGCCGCCATAGCCTATCCGTAAATCAAGCCATTGACCCTCCGCTTCTATGTGCGCCGATTAGCCCAGCCATCTCCAGCAGCGCACGATCAGCAGCGATATCTCCCGTGCCCAAGTTTACTCTTCTCCTAGATTCGGCCTCGCGGGCTTCCCATTCCCACTGTTCCCTTTGTACCCTTGCCTCTTCATCACCACCGCAGCCCCACACCTCGATATCGACGATTTCGAAGCGTTCCTGGAAGTCGTACTTCCGGGATGTGCTGGTCGCGAATGCGCCACCGCGGGCTGAGTAGTCATGCGTGAAGACGCCGAACTCGAAGCTCGAGTCGATGGCAAGAGACACGGGCCCTAAATTTCGTAGAGACTCGTGACGCGACGACTGGCTTTTCTTGGGGTGCGGACAGCCAAAGTTAATCCCGGGATGGGTTGCTGGTGCCTTTTGAAACGCCGCATAATCACGATTTAAGGTAGATGCCCGGAAGACATCGTGAGTTGGCGCAAGTTGGAATAGGAGTGTGTCTTCGTCTCCGAAGCATTCCTTGTGTGTATATCGCCATGGCTGCCTGACAAGTGCTCCGAATACTAAGCGATTTTGGTCCGCTGGGCTTCCGTTCGGGAATCTCTTGGGAGGTAGGGTATCATGAAAGGTGTCTTCTGATCTATTGCCACTTGGTGGGTCTGAAAGCCTAATACCAGATACTAGGAGAATCGTAGGCGCACGCCAGTTGAAGACCTTTGACTCAAAGCTGCCCATTGAGTATCCTGACTTTGTGCCAGAATATAGCAAGCGTAGCCGCCGGAATAACTCGTTCCCATCAATGAAAAAAGAAAGTTGGGATAGAACACTGAGGTTTAGAATATCGCTCTTATCTTGCAATAGAGGAGGTCGCACTATCGTAGATGGCATGGCTCTAGGCACACTATCCTTACGTTTTGAGAAGTCGAGGTTCTTGGAAAACAGGAAGTGCTCAAACAAGGGATTGAAACCATTGAAAAGAAAAGGCAAATTTGACGGAATGGTCCTATTAAACTGGGCGTAGGTGATACCAGGGGATTTCTCCACATCTACAAAGGCCGACAGGATATTCCCAGCCGTCGCTCTCAAGTCTTCGAGTTCAGAGCCCGTGACCCTATCAGCGTAACTAGAGATGTTCTCTTGCGCATCTAATGGAGAGACTAGAAGCAGTAACATGATTAATTTCCTGAGGTTGTCTGCTGGGATCATAGATCCGTGTGTAGTAGCGGCGTAAGAATCGCCCGTCTTGAAAGCGTCATTGATATTGAGAGAGTCCAGCGCAGCTAACACAAGCTCGTCATCCTCCGCCGTATCATCATCTAGATCATCACCAGCCTCGTCGATAGCAAAGCCGGGGGCGTGCCGATTAGAGGATGATCGCGATAAACCTGCATCGCGCTGCTCAGTGTCGATCTCGGATAGCTTCCGATCGTACACGGCCAGGCTCTTAAACAGCAATTTCCTCCTGCTGCTAGCACTTTTAGTTAAGATTTTGGTGTAGCGCTCTGTCATTATAACCACGACCATAGTCATCTGCTCGATGCCGAGTATAACTGGTGCATCACTGAGAAACGGAAATGCGCCAATGTAGGTCAACATATGGAATAAGACAGGCGAGACGGCGAGGATATCTGGTAGCTCCAGAAAACGAGTAATGGTGTCCTCCTTAAGGTAACGCACATTTTGCTCGTTATCAGCAAGGGATCTGAAGTTATCCTTAAAAGAATAGAGCTCTAATGGCTCAAAACATTTACGAGCGAACTTATCGGCCTATTTAATTGGTGTAGGTCATGTTAGCTTTGAACGGGAGCTTTAAGATGCGGTGTAGCCAGAAGATCCGTACCAGGTGTGTCCTAATTTTCTCTTTAGAGGGAGGCTTAGCCTCATCTGACAGGGACTGTCCCATGATTTCTTCTTGAAGAAAGCGAAGCCATCCCAAGGGAAGAATGCATATGTTTGAGGATAGGTACCTAATGGAATATATATAAGGTGAGGATGAGATGTCGGTATGCGGTCCTACCGCCTGTAGATAAAGTATTAAATTCAGCACTAAAATCGGGTGTTCGGGAGTCCCACTCAGCTACGTAGATTGGTACCTATTGCTAGGTGCATCTACCTTATAAATGGCGGGGTGATCACTGAATGCCACGCTAGAATAGTATGACGTATGGTACCTGTACTTACCTCACCCAGCTATATACATGTACTAAATTCATTCAAGTCCAAAGCGTCGATTCTTGATACGGCTACGTATTTTATTCATACCTTGGACCACTATCTCATCACCCAACAGAACATTAGATTGAGAAACTTTTCAATACTTAAACTTTAAGTGAAATGCGCTCGGAGTATCATAGCATATGAATTAACTGATAGAAATGTTTCCTTCTTAATCGCGACTCTATTATTCGAACCGCAAGAGGTTGTAGCACTTAATCCAGAGTCCTACTAGCACGTACGCAAAAAAAAAAAAAAAAAACAATACAAATTCTAAAAATATTCACAATACGTACAAGCCTCTCATTATTAACTTTGTTCAGTCAATGTCTCGAGCCGTGTTATTGTAGTCCCAAGTTTTAGCCCTTTGTAAGTCAGACATGATAAAGTGAATTATATTCCAGCATATCACAAAGGCTTATAGCTATCCCTCCCCAATGCTACGTATGATTATTCGTGTTATTTTTGTACAATTAGATTAATATATACAAGAGAGTCAAATATGTCTTTGTCGCTGCTGTGATGTATATATATATATATATATATATTGCCGAGGTTCGAGTACGCTTATGTGGCTTGTCTTTCTGAGTTACAGTGATTAACAACAATCCCTTTCAAATATAATACCTATTCACCACGATGCGTGTTCCTTATAGTATCATTTTCGGCTTCATTGCCGCAAGTCGGGCGTGGCCCACTCCTTTCCCTGATGGCGATCTTAATACGGACTTTGCTCCCGTATCGAACCCCAGGAGGAATCCATCCGAGGTTATAAGTCAACTTCAACAACTGATAGAGAAGACATGCCATAATGCTTGTCTGGAACTTTTCCCTGATGAGGGGGCCAATCACGAAGCCTGTATGAACATATGCCGTAAGTCGTCTCTTGTCCCTTTCTCTAGCCGCTCAGGTCTGATTATTGTTGTTTGATAGATCACAAGCAATCCGATTTTGATAATACTAACCCGGATTCGGGTATGTAAAGTTTTTGATGAGCGTTCCAATCGAACCAAGGCAGTGCGTTTCGAACATCATGGCACTGCTGTAAACTGCAGCTAGTATTTATGACTTACGATTTAAGCGTTGGGTTTCTTATTTGGTTATGCCACGGAGCATCTTCAATTCATAGGTACATCATTTACTTGAAGATTTATATTAATAACTTGCGGTGATTAGATGGTCCGCTTATAATGTTGAACGGGCTGTGGGCATTTAGTATAGATCTATCAGTATAAGCTTAATTCTTAGGCTTGAGAATTGGATTTGCAACTGTCTTGTGAGAGTGTGTGGCGATAAAGAGTTTCAAAGTTCAAACGTTTATCTTCAGACGCGCTTTTACATCAATACCTTTAAAGATTGGACGTGTTTATTGTGTTACATGTACATAGTAGTTAACACTAAAAAGTACTAAGAAGTACCTAATAACTTACTTCAGCCACAGTCACTCACCCCTGAAAGTCTAGACTTTCTATATGCATGGTAAGAGTCTTGGTGTCCGTGTCCCTGGGATATCCCCGGCAAATACAACCCAAATAAATGGTCAGGGCAGTCAATGTTATCTCAAACTCCACCCAAATCCACCGTCACATGTCCCCGCTTTGGCGTATGAAGCAGACAACGTCTCAATCCCCCGTGTAAGAAACAAGAGTGGCTATGTATGTAGCCATTCACTTGGGATTGTATGGGATCTAAGCCCTGCATGCTAACTTTATGATGTAGTATTAAACTTAATTGCTAAATAAACGCCGGGAAAGTAACAAAACATCTTTTTTATTTCTTCTTTTTGTTTACTCCTTTTTGTTTACTCCTTTTCTCGGGTTTCTTGCCAACTATCTTAACAACAATCTCTCCCGAGGAGGGTTTACTTCCTAATCGCCGTGCGTCTCAATAAACAATACGATATTACTTGGGAATATAATCAATCACCTCAGTCGGATATAATATATAATAAAGCGACAAGAGATCAACCATGTCTCTAACCATCGCCCCTGTTAAATGCGAGGACAAGACAGATGAGCAACATCATAAATCAGCATGGTTTCAATTCATGAAGGTATAACTCTAAGATCCTATCCTGTTTGACTATTGCATTGTCTCACTAACCCTCATTTTCTAGTCTGTCGCAACATTTAGGGGGGATCTCACGTCATTGACGGCGCCGCCTTTCCTGCTTGCTCCTCGGTCTATAGTCGAATACAGCGCATACTGGGCTGAGCACCCACGTCTTCTTGTATCTCCCGCAAGAGAAGAGCGTCCCGAAAGAAGGACCCTACTAGTTCTTCAGTGGTTTCTAAGCACTCTGAAGCATCAACATGCAAGCAAGGACGAAAATGGCAAAAGAAAAAAGCTGAAGCCCTTGAACCCATTTTTAGGGGAGATATTCTTAGGGAAATGGGTAGACGACGCTGGAACGACCCATCTAGTAACCGAGCAAGTCAGCCACCACCCTCCAGCAACTGCGTTCCGAATCTGGAACGATGCGCATGGCGTCAGGGTAAGACACCGGAAATCTTTTATCAGATGCTTCTCGTTGACACCCTGCTGACGTACACCTAGCTTGAGGGTCATGTCTCACCGAAAGCCTACTTTTCGTCTACGATAAATATAGAACGACATGGATACAGTGTCTTACATATTGACAGGTACAATGAAGACCACTGGATTACGATGCCAAAAGTCCATGTCGAAGGGATTGTCACTCTCCAGATAGCTCCAGAGCTCAGTGGCGTCTCTTACATCCGTAGCTCCTCGGGCTACACGACACGTGTCAACTATTCTTCTAAAGGTTGGATAAAAGGCAAAAGCAACTCATTTATCGCTACTATATACCCGGATGCCGATGAAAGCAAACCCCTATTCATCGTAGAGGGCCGATGGAGCGATTCATACACAATTAAAGACGACAAGGGCAAGGTGCTGGAAACTGTTGATCTGACCTCGCTGCGGAGAACACCACTTCAGGTCGCCCCGATCGAATCGCAACACCCCCTTGAATCCAGACGAGCGTGGAAACCTGTTGTCGACGCTATCAATGCAAACGATATCTTTACGACTGGACACGAGAAGAGCAAGATTGAGAACGCGCAGCGCGCGCTACGGAAAATGGAAAAGGATGCGGGTGAAACATGGACGAGGCGATACTTCACCCAAGTCGAGGAAGATCCTATTGCGGAAAAGCTTTCAGTCAAGAGTAATTCCGCGCCGGCTGATGGGCCTCACCAAATCATCTGGAAATTTGATGACGAAAAGTTCAAGAGGATCACAGAGAACGAGCAAGATGGGATTAAGAGCCCTGTCCGTTCTCGATTTGACTCTGGGGTTGGATTCTTGGAGATAGAAGAGGCATAGATTCGGGCCATAGTAATTATTGGGAGGTATATATTCATAGGAGTTTTAGCATGTTATTTCAGTAACGATTGCGTTGGTATAAGGAGGGCTTGCTGGTATTGCGCTGGCGGTTTGGGTAAATAGGTGGGATTTTTAATACACCCACGTCTGACTGAACAGACGCGTGTTGGGTTATACAATATATTATTTTATTCAACACTTTACGAACGCTCAAAGCCAATCCCGGGGTGTGTTTAATTGACCTTATGTTCTTACAAGAACCATCTAAACTCTTCGACTTTAGGACCATCTCTCAGCTGCAAGGTTGATACATCCTTCGCGGTGAGATCCACACCCTGGCGGCGGTTGCGACTTTTATTATCCCATAGCACTTTAATAATATGTCAGTACCGACCACTTCAGGCGAGGATTTCAGGGGTTATGACTTACTGTAAAGGCCTAGAGATCCCGCAACAAGGCATCCAGTAGCACCAAAAGACGCGGTGGTGATTAGAGCAGGCAAGTACTTAGGCGCATCTTTCTCCTGGAAGACGTTACTGGATACTAGCCCCATTAGATTCGCCAGGGGGACTCCAACCGAGGTCAACGTCAGACGCTCACCCTCGTGGGCCACATTGTTATTATACCACTAGCAAGAAGGTTAGATACTTGAGAGTCGGAGCGCAACATTCAAGCCGGGCCCGGCTAGATTTGCTCGATGGATCACTACGTATGACCTCGCGAGGGATGACTTACAGTGCTTAACAGTACGGATGGCGCCGAGGTTCCCCAGCACATCATGAATGTCGCGAAATAGGCCACTCGTATCTGCGCATGGACGTCTGTTATCGAAGCGTATATAATAAACCCGATAAACGTAAAGGCGAAGCCGAGGCATACAAAGGGAAATCGGATCCGCAAGCCATCAGATGTAAAAGCTAACACTAGTAACATAACCGCGCCCTATAAGCACATTAGAAAAGATGCATATATTAAACAGAAATCTTAGACGACTCGTTCTTACTGTGACATTAGGCGCAACGGTATATAGGTTAATCGTAACTGTATCGCTGACCAATCTCTGGACGATCTGAGGCAAGAATAGAGACACTGCTTGCAGAGGTACACCGAGACATATCTCAATGATTAGGAAGCCGTAAGTCGTCAGCCTCTTGAATATTCTTAGAGACTCCCTCAGGACGAACTTCTCATTAACGATAGAAGAACTGTCGATCTGTATGCGGCGGTACGCCATCACCTTCTGCTCCTCGTTCAAAAACCGGGCCTCGGCGGCAGAACGGGGCAAATAGAAGAAAGCAAATATCGCAAAGCACACCGTAATACTACCCTCGACGATGAAAAGCCACCGCCAGGGGTGATCTACCAGCGTTGACTTGATCTGGAAGACACCGAAAGCAAGCAACCCGCTAAAAGCATTGGCAATATTAGACGCAGCATAGAAGATAGCAAGACGACTCGCAAGTTCACCGCGCCGGTAGAAAGTCGTCAGGTAGTAGATGACAAGCGGGAAGAATGCCGACTCAGACATGCCCAGGAACCATCGCAGAGCAAACACGCCGCCAAAGTTTTTCGCCGCCGCGGTGAGGAGCGTGAGCGTGCCGAAGCAAAACATTAAAATGGGGAGGACGCGGGCCGGGCCGTATTTTTTGCCTAGCATGGCTACCGGTGGCGCAAATAGGACGTAGGGGACGAAGAATATCCCGACGATCTGGTTGTACTGCCCCGGTTTGAAGTTTAGGTCTGCGATTGGGATGGGTAAGTAAGATATTTGGAGGATATGGGCGATAGAGGTGAGCCAGGTTGCTTTGCTTACCTTTCGATAACCCGGCGGTCTGCGCATTTCCCAGGTTGCCTTTATCGAGGGCATTGAATAAATACTGAGAGGCGGATTGTTAACATGTATACGATAATTTTTGCTGGCACGAGGATAGGAAGGTTGTTTTCTATGAAGCTAGAATAAGAGGAAGCTAGAATAAGAGGTTTGCGCCGGTTGCATCCAACAACTTACCATTATAGCTAGAACCGGTAGCAAACGGAGATCAAATTTGCGACATAGTGCCCTTTCGGCGATAGGATCAATAATGTCCGTCGTCGTCTCAGAGACGACAACATGGCTTTCGACATCGTTGCTGTTCCCGTCACTTGAGACGGGATCCTTTTTTATCCCAGCCGAGTCTGACTTTACGAGGCCGACGAACTTATCATCTGCCATGGTGAAGCGGTGCTGCAGCTACAACTATAGACCTGTAGAGCGGCGGGTTCGAAGAAGACGGGCTCTGGAATGTAGATGTATCACAAACAGGGACAGGGGGAAGTTTTCAGAGTTGGGTTTAGACGGGTCATAGTTATTACAGAACAAAGATTATCTATCATCCTTCGCATGATAGGTAACCATCCACTCCGTTCATCTTGGCTCGGCTCTAATGACGAGCCTCGTCTGCATTGCAAGGTAACACTAACCGTCGTTATCTAAACTCTGGGGGAGATAAACGAGATAAAATGAGATATAGATACTCCAACCCAATCAAAGTCACAGAGCAGATCCTACCATGATAAGGCGCTGAGAACCCATATCCCTGTCCTGACTAATACGAAGTTTAGCAGGCTTAATAAGATATTGTTAGGCAATGAGGTACCTGGTAATAGAAAAGGGTGACCAGTGTAAAAAGAAATATATATAAAAGTAAAAAAGTAAAAAAGATCGACTGTTTTCCCAGACATGTATGCAAAGCTTGTTTACGGGCTGCGTACCTATATGATATGTCGAACCGATATATTAGGTAGTTCGAGATAGCCCCAACAGAGAAGCCTTACCTCATTTAATATAATAATACATGCATAGGTCATGGGGGGTATCCTAGGGTTCGGTGGGGGGTTTTCGGTATAAGATATCCATTACTCCATGAAAGCCTATCCTCGAATATCGGGTTTTCTTCTTCTTTACAGTGTAACTACCTACTTAGATACATAGGTATACATCTAGGAGCAAACTCTGAATACAACCTAGTCATGTGCCAGGTACTGTTTTGTTTGGCTGCATACACACCTCCTGCATGTAGCTGCACACATCTAGGTTAAATATGTACCTCATACAGCAAGTCCTAATGTCCGAAGAACGCCGATATGGGGTACAGGTGGTGAAGCAACCCTTCCCCTCTCGACTCGCATTGAATATTTAGGTAAACTTCCGTTGGGATTGCTTGAACCACATTTTACGCCTGGGAAGTTCCAAGCGACACGAACCGAAACCACTGACCTGCAGGAAAATACCTCGGTAAACAGCCTATATCAATAATAGTCTTTCGAACGAACAAGGTATACGCCATGGCCGAAAAGACTCCCGTCCTTACCGATAAAGCACCAAAGCCCTTGGCTGGCATTTACAGCCAGGCCATCAAGGCCAACGGATTTGTCTTCGTCTCCGGAGCTGTTCCTATGGACGCCGCGACGGGAAAAATAGTTGACGGCGATATTCAAGTCCACACTGTAAGTTAGAGCACTGAGCTTGTCCCCTGTGAAACTGCTAATGGAGTTTCATTTATATAGCACCAATGTATCAAGAACCTTGGTGCCATCCTTGAAGCTTCCGGCTCCGACCTCAACAAGGTCGTAAAAGTCAACGTCTTCCTTTCTGATATGGACAACTTCGCGGCCATGAACGAGATATATAGTCAGTATTGGGGTGAAGTGAAGCCTTGTAGAACGTAAGTGGCTATCCATCAGATCACACCTGAAGAGAGCTTTTTTTTTATGGTAGCTAATCGCTCCTAGATGTGTTGCCGTTAAGACGCTGCCACTCAATGTGGACGTCGAGATTGAGTGCACCGCAACTTACTGAGCAGGGCCTCTTACCATAGTAAAATAATCGAGTACTAGGTAAACATTGTATGTACCTACCTATGTATCACGATGTCGCTTAAATGGGAGAGGGTAAAAACAGTCATGTATGTCTTAGTTTCATTACAAGACTTTCTCAACACCTAGGAATATCAATCAGTGACACTTACAAGTATCATTCTACCTATTGTTCTTATTATTTCTATTATTCCTATGACTAAATATCACCTGGTCTTATGATGAAATTTTGAAGAATTATACTATATTATGGATTAAATAGTTGTATAAGATCGAATGGTAGTAGATGCTTTATCTTTAATATCATGACTCTCCCATCATAGTAGATGTAAAACAAGTTTAGCTTTGAACAGACCTAGCCCAAACCATACGGACTCAGAATTGATAGTCTAACATTTTGAGTTACTACCTAATGTATTGATACACCAGTGAATCTAGGTGCTTCTTAACAAGACAATCGTGAGACATAGCGCATCGCTTATTTATTTAGGCACGGAGTCCGGTTCCGGGTACATTGTTTCCCTAAGCGCATCGCAGAAGTATGTGATAGCTTCCCTTCCGGCGTCCAGGACACCATCCATAGCAATAAAGGGGTGTGGCTGGCCAGCCATGGTATGAACATCAGCCCTTACGCCCGCATTGCGCAGTTTATCTCCAAACTGCCGCCCTTCATCCCTCAACACATCCAGTTCTCCAACAACGATAACAGCAGGTGGAAGTTTCGACCAGTCCTCTTCCCACAATAACGGACTCGCTTCGGGGTGAGACCAGTCTGACCGGTTAGGCAGGTAGTGTTCTCGGTACCAGAGCATCTTGGGAGCAGGAAGGGCCGGGGTATGCTGGTTTTCCCTCCACGATGCGTTGTTGTGTATGTCCGCCGTGTTGTCCGTCACCGGGACCGAAAGTAATTGTAAGGAGAACTTGAAACTGCCTAAGTTGGCGGCGCGTTGGCACATGATCGCAGCTAAGTTTCCGCCCGCGGAAGAGCCTCCGGTAGCAAGCTTGGTAGTATTTAGTTGCAAAGCTTCTTTCCCTTGACCTACAGTCCACAGCACACTTTCCCAACAGTCGTCCACTGCAGCAGGAAAGGGGTCCTCGGGGGCAAGTCTTAGGACGGAATATTAGCATTTCCTCTTTCAAGTTGTTACAAGACAAAAGGTGTACCAACCTGTAGTCTACGGCGATAACGACACACTTGCCGCGGGAGCAGAGATTTGTTGCGATTACGTTTTCTGTGTCGATAGTTCCTAAAACCCAACCGCCGCCGTGAAAATAAATACAAACAGGCCATCCCTCGGCGGGCTTGGATCCATTGGGTGTGAACGCTCGAATGCTGACATCTGGGCCGGTAGTCTCCTGCCGCGAGATGCTATAGTCCTTTGTCTGGGCCACGGGGACAGGGGGCCCGGCACCTGGGATTAGAGTGCCACTTGCCCGCGAAGCTTCTATGGGCTGCAAGTGAACTTGCTGGTTTTTGATTATATGTTTGTTATAGAAAGCCTCATACTGAGGGTTGATGCGGTGGACTATGGAGGAATGGAGAGGATAGGGGGGTTCGGGATGCTCTCCCTTAGTTACTCTTTGTTCAACACTCATGGTAAGTGCTTTTAAGGGGTGTGAGACGTAGTAAGAGTTGAATTGTAGATTTTATAATAATACAGCAATACTGGACGAATAGACTACAAAACTAAAGCTCTAGGAGGGAGTAATTGAGACCAGTCCACCTTATCAGCGAGTTCTCACTAGCTCTTATACTCCATCCTGCAGAGAAGCCATTGTGTACGTGTACCTAAGGGTTAGTCTTATCGGTTGCTATAAGCGCAGCCAACTCAAGATCGTCAGATTATCATGCAGCTTGATATGTTCTAAGACGCATTCTTCGACCCAGATACACAATGACATCAAAGATTCCGATACCGCCATTGGCTGAAGTAATAACCCGACTACCGCTGCCGACTTGTGACACAACCATGGGCATTCTCTTACTAGAACCGAAAAAGTTCGTCGTTAGGCAAACCTTACAGGACTAATTCCCGACTCGCTCCCTTTGCAGCTCTCAGGGTCCAACCTACATTTATTCGGTCCACCCAAAGTTGACATCATGGCCAACCGGGAGCCCATCCAGTCTTTCCCCTCTGCATAGAATGCGCATGTGTAGCTTTATCTAGGCTTTCCCCAATGCAACCTACCAGAGGGACAAATAATCCCAACTGGTCAAATCGGGGACAACGTAGGAGCTGTAGGTGGGGGTCAAGCGTCACCGCTCGCAAACTCAACTCCTATCATGAAAAGGAGGTCCACAGAATTAACTCGTACTCCGGGTCGGTGGAAATGGTGCAAACGAATAAAATTATAGGTTGTATATCGCACGTCATGAAACCCGGGAATACTGATTAGTTGCGTCGTATAGGATGTTCCGGTAGCGGCGCAGGATCGTGATATCGATAGCTTCTAGGAACGCGGTCCGGGGCCCGGGGTTGCGTATGCTTCTCATACTCCGATATATCAAGCAGGAGGAGCCGACATGCGTAAATAGCTGTCGCTATCGGAATACTGGGAAGCGTTAGACTCTTCTTGGTTAGGCCACGGGTCTATTTGGTTCACGGGAACTCCGATTGGCGTTTTTAATCACACCAATTCCTCGAAAACTTTACATATAGAAAGTGTATAGAAAGAGTGCTTCTGTGCTACGGTATTGATAGTCTATAACCTCCTTTTCACTCTCATACCAAGTAATTCATTCAGATAAATTCCGTCGTCGACCACGGTCAATTTTGGAACTACCTCTATACAAGTTGCGCCATCTGCCTCCTACAACGATAACTCTAGGTATTTCAAGCTAGCTCATACGAAACGTCAAGGTTTGAGATGAGAGAGATATAAGACGCCCTAGATAGCCATTGGTCTATGTAGCTGGGGTTTAGAGCTCGCGTCACGAGATCGAGCAAGCATAGAGGCAACTTCCTTGTTATCCGAGGAACTCTAAACCTAGCTACAGAAGGTCGTGGCTATATAAATCGGAAGAATCTATTATTATTAGATGTCTCACCTAGAGTTCTAACAACTTGCAGAGAAGCGAAGTTATTTTCATGCTTTCTGAGTCCATTTTATAACAGACAACATTTTTTATACTTTTACGAGTCCAAGCTCAGAATATGGCATAGCACCTAGAGCCTACGAATGCTACACAGGTAGCCCTACTATTATATCATAATTTCTAGAGTTAGAGGTTCGCTCGTAATCGAGTAACGTTAGGCTCACCAATGTTTGTATGGCCTGTATAAGAACCGTTATCGTTATCCCTAAGAAAAGATTACTCGCTTCTATCTACTATTGGTTATAGTCGGCTGGATAGCTTACAAAACATATGCATTGTGGGAAACTTATATATAGAAAGAGATGTAAAAGGGAACAATAAGTGATTTAAGGAGGCAGTAGTCATTCATGTAGTATAGAGCTTATCCTAACATAGGTACGTCTTTACAAAAACGTGCGATAGGATGGCACATTTATAATTGGTTATTATTTAGGGTTTAAATTGTCAATATTAATAATATTGCACATTGATATCATGTGCAAGAAAGGTTTGACTATAATGTGCGGGGATCTAAGTGTTTAATGTGGGTTGGTTTAGAAGCTCAAGTAGCTCAAGTATAGAGCTACACTTATCTACCATTCTTATGCGTCAGTCCCGCGTTTTCCCATCAAAGCCCGCTCGGTTTACACAGCGACTACAAAGCAAAGAAAATGGAAAGAATTAATATAACTGAACAACTAATAGCAGTAAATTTGATTTAAATTTAACATGTATGTTGTATTTCATTAATTACCTTTTATCTACTAGATTTTATGGTGGTATGAAATAGGTGAAGTTTGGTGGGGGAATAGGGGACTGACGCATAAGACTGAGAACTGATTGTATCTAACCTAGGTACACCAGGAGATCTCTTTTATAGTTGCTTGGCTAATTAAATAATCTAAGTCTTTGCAGCAACGGGACTTGGATTTGTAATACTTTTTCTACCTTAGGTATGTTAGGTTGCATGATTTCATGAATCGAGTCTTTAATATTGAGCAAAGTGGTAAACATCAATAACCCTACTCATTACGTCTTCTTAGCTGACCTAAACTGAGCCAAGCACTAACTTGACAGCTTTACGTAATATCCAAGTTTGAGTAATAAGGTAGTTATGATTTATAAAGGAATAGTAATAAAGCCGAGCGGTATATTAAACTATATCAACTATTCCTCTCTAATCGTAGTTCTCTACAGAGTGGATAGCCATGTGTTTCATGGTGCTGGGTTAGAAAATGTACTAGGGAACAAACAGGACTACCCAAGCTGGGGGCGGTGAAGCTTTAGTTACATAGTGCTATGGCTCTATATCCAATGCTACTATTGTGTTGTTGGCAGGACCACAATTATAAAGTAGAGTTTCTCATTACTCGCTTTTCTCAAAATGCAAACAATAATAGACTATTCGAATTGGTAGTAAACAAAACAGCGTTGCATAAATATAGGGCACAATTTGTCTAACGAACGTATCATAAGAGTGTATCGTAGGCTACGTCACTTGTACATAGTGGCGCTAAGGTAAGGTTGTTTTGGTGGGCTGTGCGGGGCAAGGTGGTCTACCTCCCGTTGCTATGTCATCGGCGCCTGACGCTTTCAGCTGATTGAACCATTTTGCTCATTGTTTACAGTACCTAATGTACAATACAATTAAGTATGTACAATTAAGTACAATGCATGGGTACCTATAGGTAGCTACATGTATGCAGCTAATACGTGAGTTAAAGGTCTCCCCACATCATATAAGCCCCTTGTTCCTTGTCGAACGGTAGATCCAAACTCTTGTTGTCTTCATCAAACCCATTGTTTTAAGCTCGCAAGGTCGACAGCTTGGAACAAGCTTGAAATACCTTACCTACCTGCCTACCTACCTACCTACTCTATATCCTACAGAAAACAATAACAATTTCACTACACGTCTATAAGTTGCAAGCAGTAAAATAGACAGCATGGCCGACGAAAACAAGGAGCAGATTTCAATCGACGAGACCCCCATTTCCCCTATCCGCCCGAATGGTGAGAGGAGAAACTCTCTCGAACAACATCTGAAGCAGCGTCCTGACCGCTCCGAACTTATTGAGAGTATGATTGATTCCCTTATTCTTCATAGATTACCTTGTGTTGAAGCCACTATTGCGCATACACATCTTGTATAAAGCTGACATGGCCTTCTCTTCAATAGGGAACATCTTACCTGCTTCGAATGTCGCACCCGGCCTTCAGGAAAAGCAGAGGGAGGTGAGTATTCATATCCGCCCCTCTCACCTTTCAAGATGTTCAAAGAATTAAAGATGACTAACTACGAGTCCAAAATGTAGCTCGCAAGACACATGCGCGCCGACTCGCTCAACGACAAGATCTCCCACCGACCCCCTCCTGAGAAACTGATCAAGGATGGCGTACTTCACGAAGATCCCCGATCGCCCGAGGAGAAATACCAAGATGCCATCGAGGAGGAATATGCCAAACGCGAGGGAGGTGCTTAAACGAATGAAACGGGTTTGCTGGCTGTGATACTTCTGGATTGCTATGATGATTTGACAAATGCTATCGGTTGATATCGAGTACTATATAGGTGGAAGCTTGCTGTGAATCCATGTGAAATCTAATAAAATCTAATCATAAACATATTATGCGGAACAGGAATAGTTGTTGTTCTATTTAAGCTACCTACCTAACTACCTGATTGACTACCTGATCTTAAAGGGTATGGGCTGATCATGGTTCATGGCATCATCTTATGTACATACTCGTCTTGCAGCCGAGACTTTGCCACAAGAGTCACGAGTATAATAGGCTACTTTGTACGTAAAATAACACAGGGACAGCTCCCAACATACGCGGCCACGTCGTAATAATGTATTCGACAAAGTGGATTAGACCCAACTCCAACTCCAAGACCAGGAATAAGACAACACCGCATCCCCACTTCCCCGACTTCCTTTCCCAGGACGCCGCAATTCCACCATTAAGAAAGGAGGATTCCGGTCCCGGTTGATGGGCCAATGTAACACTCGGTCCTCAAGCAGCCGAACGCTCCATGCTAGCGCTGGGGGATATTTCCCGCATCACGAACTGGCTTCGTTGTGCCCGGATCTTGGGAACGGGAATGAATTCTGATAGGCACGCATACATATTGCGAGTAGCCGGGTTACCGTTACCCCGGATCGTCGTATGTGCCGGAACTGTACGAGATGCAGGTCCAAGGTGCCTCTCCGCACGCCATAGCATCCTCGGTATTGTTGGGGGGTGAGGGGGGTGGGGGGTGTTCTACTGCGTATATAAAGGTCAATACGTGATGAGATTTGAAGTGACGCTTAGAATAAGAGGTGATCTTGGATAGTGCGCTGTACCATCCTCGTTCTTCGCTGACACGATGCATCTGAAGCTGTCCGTGTTGGCTAGCACCTTTGCGTGCGCGGCCTCTTTAGCTGCCGCTGTTGATATATCCGTAAAGTCGACTGGTGGTAATGCCACCAGTGGTCATCAATATGGCTTCCTACATGAGGTAAGTCATATACATACCAACTGACTCTTCAAGTAAGCAATATAATACTCAACATACTCAACTAGGACATCAATAATTCGGGCGACGGCGGTCTCTACGCCGAGCTAATCCGCAACCGAGCCTTCCAGATCAGTGATCGCTACCCAGCTTCACTCGACGGATGGCATTCCGTGAATGGCGCCAAGCTATCGTTGAAAAACCTCAGCACGCCGCTATCCGACGTTTTGGTTACTTCCCTGAACGTTGCAGCTCCCAAGGGACAAGGTCAGGTAGGCTTTCTAAATGACGGGTACTGGGGTATGGACGTCAAGGCTCGCAGGAAATACAGCGGTTCGTTCTGGGTCAAGGGCACGTATTCCGGCCAATTTACTGCCTGTCTGCGGTCGAATATCACAGGCCAGACTTTTGGGAGCGTGAAAGTCAAGTCGCAATCTACCGCTGATCAGTGGACGGAACATGCCTTCGAGTTGACTCCTTCGCAAGATGCACCAAATTCTAACAATTCGTTTGCCGTCACGTTTGATGCCTCGGTAAGTTGCTCATAGAGCTGATGAAGTACCTAAGGTATAGCTGGTCTAATAAGACGTCTCACAGGGCGCAGAGGCAGGGTCGCTTGACTTCAATCTCATCAGTCTCTTCCCTCCTACATTCAAAGGACGGAAAAATGGGATGCGTCTCGACATCGCAGAGGCGTTGGAACAATTTCACCCTACCCTCTTTCGTATTCCGGGTGGCAATAGTGAGTCGTTTTTATTCGTGTGGTTCCTCGATCCTATAGCCTTAATAACTAATAGACTATGCTTGTGCCCTACAGTGCTTGAAGGCTTGACAAACAAGACATGGTGGGACTGGAAGAACACTCTCGGCCCCCTGAAGAACCGACCCGGCTTCACGGGTGTATGGGGATACCAACAAACCAACGGCTTAGGGTTACTTGAATACCTAGAGTTTGCAGAGGACTTGGGAATGGAGATTGGTAGGTTTTCATTCCTACCCTTATACCTCGAAATAGGCAATATCTAACTTAATGATGATAGTCCTCGGCGTCTACGACGGCCTCTCTCTCAACGGGGACGTCACACCACAAGAGGACCTACAATACTTTATCGACGACGCCCTCAACGAAATCGAATTTGTCCGCGGACCCGCCGACTCCAAATGGGGCTCCGTCCGCGCTCAGCTAGGGCACCCGGAGCCCTGGAAGCTGGAATATGTGGAAATCGGCAACGAAGACTGGCTTTCCGGAGGCTGGGACACGTTCAAGGAGTACCGATTCCCGTTATTCCTCGAGGCCATTAACAAGGCGTACCCGGATATCCAAGTTATATCCTCGGGCTCGGTCTACGACGGATACGATATCCCGGCACCAGCAGGTGGCGACTACCACGTGTATTCCGTGCCAGACATACTTGTTTCTGAGTTTTCAAAGTTCGATAATGTGAAACAACCGCATATCATTGGCGAGATGGCAGCAGTCCATCCGAATGGTGGTTCTGGCTGGAATGGGCCGCAACGACAGTTTCCCTGGTAAGTATAATTCTATTGCATTCGCTAAAATCTTTTTATAATCCTTCCGGCGTCGCTTGAATATTATAACTGCGTTGGCCGTACGGTTTGGATATTTGTTAACTTGAAACCTCGTGTAGGTGGATAGGTTCCGTTGGTGAGGCCGTGTCACTCATCGGCTACGAACGCAATGCAGACAGAATCATCGGAGCGGCATTTGTAAGTTTCAATTTGATAACTTTTGTAACGTTAGAGGTCCTGAAGAGCTTGAACTAATAAGTGCTGCAGGCACCGATCCTTCGGAATAGTACGTCAAACTTGTGACTTATGTCTAATCTCAGCCCCTCCCTTTATATGAACATTGCTAATCTATATATGACAGTGAACCGCTGGCAGTGGGAAATCACGTTAATCCAGTTCACTGCTGACAAGGTTACTCGATCTACGTCTTGGCACGTATGGGAGGTAAGTTATACTATCATACCCGAATCTCTGGAATACCTGCTCATACCACTTGCGAATAGCTTATGGCGGCCCATACCCTAACAGAGACATTGCCGGCAAATTCGGAGTTTGGTCCGCTCTACTACGTGGCTGGAAAGAATAATAAGACAGGAGGACACATTTTCAAAGCAGCAGTCTATAACTCAACGGACGGTGCTGATGTCCCTGTCAAACTATCTTTCGAGGGTGTTAAACAGGGAACGACTGCCGAGTTGACTATCCTCACGGGACCGGAAGATCCATATGGTTTCAATGACCCGGCTACCGTAATCGACGTTGTGAAGACTAGCAAGCAGACAATACGATCCGACAAGACCGGTAGCTTTCAGTTTTCGTTACCCAACTTGAGCATTGCCGTCTTGGATACGAGCCCCCCGAAGTCTCGCCGCTGGAATAGAGCAACAGGCAAGGGTTGATCTTCTGAGTTATCTCGGCCATTAATATGCTAGATTATGCTAGATTATGCTAGATTATGACATACAATATAAATAATATCTGTTGGCAATTCTTGTTAAATCAAAGACAATTCTACCGTTGGTGTGATCAATAAAAGATAAAGCAACGTAATCTACGTGGTCTAAGAGGCTCTTAAAAATTGGAGGCTCGGCGAATTCAACTTGTTGGTTCCTATTGGTTAATACGAATAGGATAGCGAATGGTTCTGGTTCCGTAATGATGTGGTTGCAAGTCATAGGAGAGCCTCGAAGATATGTATCTCGAGTTGTGGGGTAGCACGTATATGCGACCAGTTGTCCCATATTGGGGGCTACACTGCTGAGCTGTCTTTCGCCAATAAATGCTCGAGACATGGGCGACACATGGCTTGCGAAACACATGCTAGCTTTGGATGAGGTAAGTATAGGCGAGGTTGGAGTAAAGAAACGGAGTTGTCATGTTGCTCTCCGCCTGCATCGCTGCCCGACTAAGCTGAAGTCTCTCTTTAAAGGGCCAGCAACTAGGACGCTCTTATCCGGCTAGATTCTGGAGGCTCATACCCCAGGGAGAACATGGCAAACAAGATAGCGGATAGACGGCGTGTTTACCTCGCATGTCGAGCCATCTTTGTGGGCCAGAAAGCGGAGCTACGGAAACAGAAAAAGATACGCGAAGAGATTGAGAGGTGGCCGCAGGTGCTAAGGTCACTTACCAATGGCTTGAGCGTAGAGAATGTGGTCGAGATTCTTCGCGACCTCCTATCACGGCATATCTTTAAATCAGAGCTCAAAGCGAAGGCGGAATTTCCCGACTTGTTCTACACGCCACCGGAACAGGAGGTCAAACGCGAAGCATCCGAAGTTAAAGCTGCTAAGTCGACAGCCGAGGTACTAGACGAAGTTGCCAGCGTAGGACAAAACGACGTCGAATGCAATATCGAAGTTGAAGAGCATGCTACCAAGCAGACCAATGAAAACACCGCCAAACAAACTGACGAGGACGACGTAAAACAACCTGATGAAGGTGTCACTAAGCAAGTTGCCGACGATGCCACCAAGCAAACTGGCGAGGTGCTTCACGAAACTGAAAGAGATAGTCCGCGCCCTAAAACCGAGTTCCCAAGCACCGGGAATGTGACTTCACATGTGACTTCACAACAGCTAGCGACATTGCCTTCATTATACCCAACATACATTCCGTATAAGGCACAACATATCATTCTGAGTGAGGCGCAACGTATGCTAGAAGAAAGCTGCTTTAAATTCACTAAGAAGCATATGCCAGCACTTCTCGAGAATACTGGGTTGGACTGCGCTAGTTCGCTCGAACTTACAAAATGGACGCGACTGCTGGCTAAGATGGCCGACGAGATACCCGAAGCGGCGTTTGACTTGGGAGCAATGCCTTTGAGAGAAGTGTTATTCTCGACGGATAAGCTGCGACACAGCGCGGTTCATAGGGTCCCGATGACTGCCCGTAGCATAAAAGATCTGCTCAAGTCAGCGGTGACCCTTGCATTTACGATTGGCGACCACAGGCATGCGGGCCAGCTCGAGGAGATATGCTACGAGCTAGATAGTAAGGTCAAGGCAATGGAGATGAATAAAAATGCACTGGTGTATTCTGCCACAGCTGATCTGCAGGATATTCAACGGCGGCGAGAAGAGTTGGATAAGCTGGAGAAAGAGGTGCTTGCCACCATGGTGAAAAACGACCAGAAGAACAGAGGCTTTATCGGAGCGCTACTGGAGGACTCGGTGAGTAGGATCTTGGAAGGGAAAACGGAGATAGAGACGGAGATGGATGACGAGTTGAAGATTGAGGAAGATGAAGAGGAGTTCTCAGAGTGTCATACAAGTGTGGAGGATTTTGAATAGGATTCAGTTGTATAATGACCACTCGTGGTATATTGTTGTGTAATTTGATATATGTAATTCGAGATGATATATTCCGTATAATATTATAATTTTAACACATTCGATCAAATCATTAAAAATTTCATCAATATTACCTCATATCCACGTCTTATTAGTACGTATGTACGTATTAGTTGTGTGGCATTATGCAAGTAAGCCTGCCCGTCCCGTGTTAAAACTGCTACAAATGTCTTATACAAGTGCTTTTCTCCTCTGGCTAACAACCCCCGCAACGCATTTTCCCTATTCTCCTCAGCTTCCACGGATTCACGGTTGGTTTAGACCTTGATGCCTCTAGGGTAGTATCCAAATGCCGGATGGTATTATCACAAGTACACGGGAAAGATTTCCAAGCCGATGTCTTCTTGCGGCGCGTTACTCGGCCCCTGGATCGGCTCCGGATTCGCCACGGTCGCGGCCATGGTGTTTACGAAAAAAGTATTTCACTGCTCCGGCCCAGGCCGTGCACGTCCTGCTCCTCTTATCCATCACGCAGGCCTTCTTCATGGGGCTACAGTTCTACGATGTTAAATGGTGGTGCTGCAACATGCATTTGTGGAGAAGACCGGACCTGGTCGGCGTTGCTGACCTAGTCCCAAGGTTCAGGATAGCCGTAACTGTCGGCCACGCCGTCGTTGCCGGCATTTTCATCGTTACGAGTATTATTAGCTGTATATGGTCTGTTTGGGTGCGTATGCAGATGACAGAGGAAGGTGTGAGTATTAGGACGGAGCACGTGGTCAAAGTTAGCACAGATAGGATCCTTGAAATGGAAATGTAACCCCCATCGGATGGAGGGTGCATAAGCCCTGTCCGGGGCCTAATCAGAAGAAGTGCAAGCTTGGGCGGTGGAGTGACGTTACAAGACCGGCTGCGTACGTTTCTGAACGGTTGCAAATGTCCGTTATATAGCGGAACCCGTTGGCTATCTCTTAGCTACCTAGGTATGTTTGTGGTTTTGGTGCTTAATGTAATAACATATTTAGTCGTAGTGGCAGCGGTTTAAAACTGAGAGTAAACGTTAATGGACTTGGAGTAAAATACCCCTCACAGTGTCCGTCGCACCCGCCTCCGTCTTGCAATACATATGTCTTGTACCTCATTAATTAATTAAAATAGGCATCACGTGTTGACGCGTAAAAAGGATGACGCGCCGCGGGTCGTCGAGTATCTTTGTCTCATTACCCCCGCGACAAAGAATCATGAGAATCATGATTGTGATAAGAGGAATCGTCTGCAAATTTACAGCATGAATTCGAAATGACCGAGAGACCTAGTATACCGAAACCCGAGAAAAAAGAACCCGAGATAGAAGGGTCTAAGCAAGATGACCACCAACACAACACTCTCAAATACTCTCTCCTCGGGCCTTCGCTCACTAAAGCCGGCCAGGACTCCGTCGATCAATCTAAGGTTTCGGAAATCATTTATAACGCATCCAAAGGATCCAAGTTCTTTAACCGCGAAGAAGTCAAAGACAAAATCTTGACGCAGAAGATCGAGCAGATTCTAGAGAAGAAGCGGCGTCTGGAGAAGCTCGATCTAACTCGCGAGCTCCGAGCTGCCGACCAACTCATAACCCAGCTAGAGGTCTCCCGTGACCTGACACAGTATATAGTCCACGTCGATTGCGACGCCTTCTACGCTGCTGTCGAGCAGCTCGACCGACCCGAGCTCAAGGATGTCCCATTCGCCGTTGGAAGTGGCGTGCTCACCACCTGTAATTACCTCGCTCGAAAATTCGGCTGTCGAAGCGGCATGGCCGGCTTCGTCGCCAAGAAGCTCTGTCCTAACCTCCTCCTTCTCCCTCTCAACTTTGACAAATACACCTCCAAAGCCCAGGAGGTCCGGCAAGTATTGGCGCAATACGATCCAAGGTTCCAAAGCGCTAGTATAGACGAGGCTTATCTCAACATTACCGAATATTGTGTCGAACATAACATGACGCCCGAGGATACTGTCCAGCAAATGCGAGATGAGATTCATGAGAAGACGAAGATTACGGTTTCTGCTGGAATTGCCGCAAATGCGAAGCTGGCTAAAATCTGTTCCAACATGAACAAGCCTAATGGCCAGTACATCCTGCCTAACGATCGCAATGCTATAATGAATTTCATGCGTGACCTTCCGACAAGAAAGGTAAATGGAATTGGGCGGGTTTTAGAACGGGAGTTGCAGGAGATAGGAGTCAAAACATGTGGCGATATCTATCCACATCGTCAACTTTTGGTACGTGCACAGACTCATTTCTGGACTTCGGTTATGATGATCCTTTACATACTTGAACCAAGACTAACACAGGCTTAGTACGTTAAAAATACCTTTCTTTTTTACAACCAGTAATTATTCTCCCAAAAATTAAGCTGGGCGGTAAAATAACAAGGGATTTGCTTATTCAAAGTACTAACTTACTGCAGACGTCAACTTTTCGGTGAGAAGACGTACGAATTCCTGCTCATGTGCTATCTCGGGCTGGGCAGAACCGAAGTCCAGCCCGTTGAGGAATTCGAGCGGAAGAGCGTCGGAACCGAAAGCACGTTCCGAGATCTTTCAGACCCAGTACAACTGAGAGAAAAATTGAAGCAGACAGCTGACGAATTGGAAAAGGATATGCGAAGAGCCGAGTGCAAAGGCCGGACTCTTGTCTTGAAGGTAAAGTTACATACATACGAAGTTTTAACAAGGCAAGTTGTGACGCCAAGAGCCATTTGCGCCGCGGACGACTTATACAATTATTCATTGCCTGTCTTGGCAAAGCTGGAGCAGGAGGTCCCGGGTATGAAGTTACGCTTAATGGGCCTCCGGTGCACGCATCTAGTTAGCACCAAGAAGCCCGACGCTCGTACATTTTTTGGACTAAGACCTTTAAAAACGGGGTCAGACGGACGGACAACCGAATCTGCCCAAGAATATGATATTCCGCAAGAACTATTAGATCAATTACCTCACGATGATACCCACGAGCCCGGCTTAGATCTCGGCGAGCATCCCACAGCCGAAAAAGACGCCACCTACCGACATCATGGCAAAGAAATCCTCCCAAACCCCAAACGCCCAGCCCCCGACCCCGACCCCGAGGAATACTGGGACTGTCCCATCTGCAGCCGGCCGCAAGCCACCGACGAGCGCCTATTCAATGAGCACATCGACCTATGTCTCTCGCGCCAGACGATCCGTGACACAGTTCAACGCGAATTCAAACCTAGCCCGAGCCCTGCAGCTGACGCCGCGCCACAACCCAAGAGGCGGAAGGGTAGTGCCGAGAAGAAGCAGCGCAGCCGGACAACGAATTCGGCTGATCCGAGGCAGACGAAGCTATTTTTTGGTGGGGGATTATGAGATATAATGATGTGATGATAGTTGTGTATAATGATGCAAATATTAGTATCATGACTCCCCCTTGGACCATGTTGTAGTGGCTTTATTTCCTTTATTTTCTTTCCCTATCGGCCTGTCCCCCATGTTCTTCTTAAAGCTTCCTACGCCTCCTTCATTATAACGTGCCTACAGCCTGTGTGTAGCGGCCGCTATGTGGCTGTGGGCTATTCAGAATACGTCAGGCATATTTGGACGGCAATAAACTACAATAAGCTAAAAGTGAGGACAAAGGTGGTGGATGGCCACGATTCAGCTTATTACCGAGCAAGCCTCCTCTATAGCGCTCCCGTGGACCTTACAATCACACCTGATAATTATGTTCAGAGAGACGCAATCTACTAACTTATTACATACTGATGCTACAGTTCCTCTAAGACTCACATTGTATAATAATCACCAATTTAACCTAGATCAGGTATAAGTTAAAGAGTCAAGACGGCCACATTTAAATATGACGTGTAGCGCATACAGAAAGCTAAAATAACTATACTATTACAAGTTTAAATGGTAAAATGGTAAAATTTCCCTACTAAATAAAGGCTTCTTCTCAGCAACAAGACTTGAATGCCCCCGTAAAGCCCTCTTGGTGAATACACAGTCATCTTTGCATGACAATAGAGGCTGCTGAAACCGGTGGTGAGTAAGACAAAGAAAGGACATCATTTTGCCTTGTTAGCTTAGGGTTATTTATGGTAATGAGATCGACTTCTTCAGGGACCTTGTCTGCAAAAGACCTTTGTCTGCATTGATACTACTCTAGCCATGACTAGTGATTCTACTTCAAGTTATACGCGATATTTGATATAAACTAGTTCACGTAACAATTTATTGACACCGAATACCGGTATATCATTACCTAGCAGTAATTATCTGTATTGGCCCGGTTTCTATAGAACTAGCACCCCCGTAGCGACCCTAGTATTTTCACGACCATAACTAGAACACGGATAACACAATGGATTACGATTTAATAGGAAGGTTGCTCCTATCGCTACCTGCGGGAGATGCAGAAACTGCTAGGATGGCAGCCTTAGCAGACAAGATCTCCACGTATTTCACACCAAACGAGAATCTTGTATATCGTGGTGTCGCAGGAATAGGACGCCGTAAGTAAGCTTCTTCTCTGCTATTACGAGAGGGCCGCCTTTATTATCATTCATAAGTCGAGGGTTTTCTAGCATAGTAGACGAACACTAATACTCCTTCTAGACGGTGGCGCAATTATCTTCCTAGACAGAAGAAGGCACCCCTCTCGGAAAATAGTCGTAAAGTACTCGATTAGCGACCAAGCGGACGCGGACTTGAGAAATGAGGCTCAATTTCTCGAAATGCTAAGAGGCGCCGAGCATATCGGGCAGACGATTCCGCTTGCCGAGGCCACCCTTAATGTATCGGGGACTGGGAAACGTCCTACCCTCGCGCTCGATTTTATTCCGTATGGCACTATATATGCCTTTCGGTCGAGGATGGACCGGACTCACTATCGAGTACCCAGTCGGTTTCTTTGGCGTGCATTTCTCTGCTGTCAGTACTACTATTTCTCCAAAAGCATCAGCCTCTCGGGTTTGCGCCAACTACCTATATTATCAAATAAGAAGCTAACCACCGTTTACCGATTATAGTGGTACGCCAGGTGCTCGCCATGGCTTTCCCCCCGCAAGGCGGACCCGATGAACCGCTAAGGCGGGAACGATTTCACCAACATAGGCCATTAGGAGTGGTACAGAATTCACCTCATGGTAATAATGTCATTATTGGCGATTTAACTAGTGATGACTTCGAACATTCGCTTGCTCCAATACTTAAGGTGTGTTCAGTCTTGTTGGAAGAGTGGGATTATGCCCCTAATATTCCTCGATGAAAAAAGCTACCAGTGTGAAACATGCTAATTTTTGTTCCAGCTCATTGACTTTGGGCGGGGAGAGATATTGCGGGATGAAGAAGGCGCGATTTACGACAATATAGGAAATATCGGAGTTGTTAGCCACCCCAGTGCAAAAATCCATCTCTGAATATCTTGCTAATAGACTTACAGCTATTTATTATTATTTTCGAACGTAGGCTTGATGAGTCTTACTTAGACAATATACCAGAACTAGGCTGGCAATATGAATTCGTAGATAGGCAAACCGGTGAAAATCGGCGGATAGGGACAGCGGCCCCCCCTTTCTTTACGGAGTCGAAGTATATAGATGTTGAATTACGAGACCTCGTAGTAAGATGCATGGCGGTCAGTAGTGACAACACTCCGTCTCTAGAGGAACTCGTAGGAGAAGCCGAGAGGGGAGTGGCAAAAGGACCTGAGGATATAGTATATGAGGATACCGCAGTAGATCCCAGACAGACCGAGACGGACGAAATGATCAGAAATTTGGTACAACGATTCATATTAGATGCTGGCACTATAGAAGAGGAAGCAGCCACTCTCAATCGACGTACAGTTAACCATCATCTAGGAACAACTCTACTAGGTATCAATGCGACTACAAGACCAGGACCAGCCCAACGACACCAATTCAAACAAAGTAATCTAGATGCCAATACGGTGGTCGATAATGACATCGATTAGAATCAATGGTTACTTTTGAGAGTATTAATTACGGTGAAGGCTTAGTAGGAAATAGGTGGCTGGCCCATCGCAAAGCGTACTTCTTGGGTATACTTCGTGGACTTTATGAGGATCTAGAGGAGTCCAGGGTGTTGAATTTAGGAAGGCAATGTCTCTATTCATTACCTGCACAATTCTATACCGTTTTTATGAGATACCAATATCTAAGTGTATATAATAGTATGTAGTATATCGAGAGCCCACCTTGTGTAAAGCTACCTGCTATTTGATAAATACACCACAGCCCAGAAGGCCGAGCATGAGTTCGGCCTATATTAATCAAACTCCGCCCCTGAGTCAGTCTTTCCAATGAAGGAGACGTCGAAAATACTAAGCGGCACTTCCTAAGGGGAAAGCCTTAAAAGGAAGCAATTAAAATCAAGAAAAAATCGCCATAGACCTAACTTAGGAAAGCTGTACGTGACGAGCTAGAGAAAATAAGTCAACATTCAAAATCCACCGAGAGTTACCTCAAATCGATAAAGCGGCCGAGCATTGCGCCGCGTCACACATCACCGACTCATTAGCACGTGTAGGACAAATATTCGTGGAGTAAATAATACCTTCCATCTCGGCATGGAGTAGTTTGGAGATAGTTTACATTAACATTAACTAGCTTCATAGTGTCTTGTGTTAACGTCTTGATACCACTTAGTCTTTAAGGGAATAATAATTGCGATTGTTAAAAAATTAATTCAAGACTTTAAGCGGATATAAAGCATCTTCGGCGCTACATGCTAGACTTCTAGAAAATCCATCGAGTCATACGTTAACTACCTATTTTTGTCAGAAGCCTACCGGATCCTTCCGAGTTAGAAATAAGGCACCAAGGCCATGTGAAACCTGCTTACAAGAGCTGCTAGTTACTGTAATACCTAACTGAGTCTCGGTCGTTCTTAGTAAGTTGGATCGTGCCGGCCTAATGCATGTCGGTGCGATTTCCACTTTCCAAGCCGTGGAGACCCCGCGCCCTAGGCCGTGGTTGGGTGAATCGAAGCGCGGGAGCTGAATCGCTTTCGGCCTATTGCAACGCATCGCGCGGTGCGGAGTGACGATCGTTTCATGCACCAAGGGGCAACCTAGCTTCATCTGGAAAGGAGAAACAGGGGATACAAGACTGGGAGATGGAGCTCATGTTAATAGTATTGTTGCACCAAGCAACCTATTGCCCTATTTGCCCATGATTCTTATTTCCTAATGTCGAAGAATATCCAATAAGTATTGTTGGTAAGGATGGCGGAGTTAGTGACGGGGCTTCTGTCGGTCATTCTTGTACTCGGTCCGTGTACTGTTCAAATCCGCCTCTTAGGAAATGTGACCGGAGGCGGGGACGAGGTGGGAGCTGAACGGATATGAAAGGTGTTGTCTTAGTTTCGTGCGGCCATAATCGTGAACTACGCCGCCCCCGTACTATAAGTGTACACTATAAGTGCATCGACAAACACCATCCTTTTCTCTCTCCCTTCTCTGGAGCCATCCCCAACCCTTTTAGGTAACATTGTTCTTGGGTATCTGATCGTTCGTACTTGTCGCAAATATGCGCGCCTCGTTAGCTTCGCTCGCATTCCTTTCCGAGCTATTCACTGTGGCCCTCTCGGCCGATGTGAACGCTTGGAAATCTAGGAACATATATTTTGCGCTGACAGATCGTGTTGCTCGGAGCAGCGGCGATACTGGAGGCAATGCATGCGGTGACCTCTCGAATTACTGTGGTGGCACTTTTAAGGGTCTTCAGTCAAAGCTCGACTACATTGCTGGTATGGGCTTCGATGCTATCTGGATTACGCCTGTAGTTACAAGTAAGTCTTGCCCCTTTCATGAGACGTTTCCTGTCAGTAAATTAATCATCGCGTCAAATCAAGACAGCGACGGGGGTTATCATGGATACTGGGCGACGGATCTATATGGCATCAATTCCAAGTATGGTACAGCAGATGACCTCAAGGCTCTAGTTAGCGCTGCGCATGAAAAGGTATTCGAAAGAGCCATTGCCCTTCCTTAATTGACCGCTGACTTAGAATTCGTTAACCAGGGCATCTACATTATGGTTGATGTAGTCGCGAACCACGTGGGCCCGTCCAACGTCGCGGATCGCCAACCAGCGCCACTGAACCAAGACAGTTCCTATCATTCGCAATGCGAGATCAACTATTCCGACCAGAATAGCGTGGAAAACTGCTGGATTGCTAACCTACCTGACTTGAACACGCAAAATTCCCAGATCCGGACCGTCTACCAGGATTGGATCAAATGGCTTATATCGGAATATAGCTTCGACGGTGTTCGCATCGACACGGTGAAGCATGTCGAGAAGGACTATTGGCCGGGATTCTCCAGCGCTGCCGGAGTCTACACAATCGGCGAGGTCTTCGACGGTGACCCGAGCTACGTCGCGGGCTACGCTAGTCTCATGTCTGGATTGCTGAATTATCCCATGTATTACCCGATGAATAATTTCTACCAGCAGACAGGTTCGAGTCAGGCCCTCGTCGACATGTTCAACCAGATCAGCTCGTCATTCCCTGACCCTGCGGCCCTGGGTTCGTTTCTCGACAACCACGACAATGCGCGATGGTTAAACTCGAAGAACGACCTTGCGCTGCTCAAGAACGCTCTCGCCTACGTCATCCTTGCCAGGGGCATTCCCATTGTGTACTACGGTACAGAGCAGGCGTACGCTGGTGGTAACGACCCCGCCAACCGTGAAGACCTCTGGCGTAGCAATTTCAATACCAATGCCGAAATCTACAAGGCCATATCCAAGCTATCCGCCGCTAGGAAATCGGCTGGTGGACTAGCCGGTAACGACCATACCCATCTGTATGTTGCGGATACTGCTTACGCCTGGAGCCGAGCCGGTGGCAATCTAGTTGTTCTCACTATCAACAGTGGATCTGGATATAGCGGACAGCACTGCTTTTACACGCAGGCCCCTAACAGATCGTGGAACAACACTTTCAGCACCGGGTCCTACACTTCGGACGGAGACGGAAAGGTGTGTTTGAATGTTAGCAACGGCGAGCCAGTCGTGTTAATTGCATCTTAAAATTGCGCGCGGTGTGAAACAGCTGAAAATACCTTAGATGCCTGCCTATTTAGGGTACGTGGGGACAAGATGTAACAATCGCGTGTCTGTTTAATGTGTACATAGGTACCTAGGTAGGGTTTAGTTTGAAATAAAAATAACAAAGCTGAGCTACTAAATAAAGCAAGCCTTCAGGGCCTTTCAACATATTACGTAAGTCGTTTACAGAAATGGAACAGATCAAATTAAAGAGGTACATAGTACGTATGTCTCGGGACCGGCCGTGGATACCTTAGTGGATAGATAATATGAGTGGTCCACCGGGTCAGATAAATATCGCACGGCGCCCGGCTTACAAGACGCCCGATGAAGGCGTTCCAATATTCCTTTAGTGGAGGTGGTTCGATTACACACGGCCATTTCCCTAAATAGACCTGTTGCTTAACACACGTACGAACAAATACGCTGCACCATGTCAGACTTGGCGCTACTTAAGCAGCTGCTATGATGCTGATGTAGGAGGCTTCGGATTCGGACTCGAGTGTCTGCCGTCCCTCCGTTGTTTGTACTCTGTGTTCCGAACCCCGAGAGCAGGTCATGTATATATAATATATAATATATATGGGAGTTGATCTTTCCGCTATATACAGTTTTATAGCTCTTAAAAATCTAAGAATAATTGCAGGAATAGACTTGATTTGCATTGAGACATTGGTTTTTCTTCGAAGACATTTGAGCGTTCTCTTCTGCCAACATTATTGTGTAACTACGTCAGCGGAAGTCCGTTTGCTTTTCTTTTTTTAAAGGACCGTCGTAAATGATTGATTCCTTCTCGCTAAATCTTTAATATCTCACTCTATCCTCATTCAATCCTATTCGACTTCTCTAAGATATACACAGCGCTATTACAAGCGCATTCGACAATTCTATATCTAATATGAATTCTAGAGTACTCTCCGCAGCTCGTCTATCCAGAGGCATAACTAGCGTTGCGGTTGTTGGCACAGGAATTGGGCTGTACTATACCTACATGAGGAACGTGGCTTACGCGGATTCCGGTGCGCCGAAGAAGGCTTTCGGCTCTGGTCCGGCTTTTTTGTCTCTTGAGCTCGAGAGCGCTGAAGCTGTAAACCACAACACTAAGCGATTGCGATTTAAACTACCTACGCCAGATACCGTCAGTGGCCTTAAATTAACATGTAAGCGAAAGCCAAAGCATGCCGCTGCTTATTGTTGCCGTTACTGACATTTAGAAAAGCCGCGCTCTTAACATACTCTTGGCCAAAAGGTAGCACATTTCCTGTCGTGCGCCCTTACACTCCGATTAACCTACTGGGTAAGAACAACTTCAACGTCTTTACCAATGAATATAATCTAATTTTCAATAATTAGATGAGCCGGGTGCTCTAGAATTTCTCATCAAGAAATATCCCGATGGGAAGCAGAGCACATACATACACTCCCTAAAGCCGGGAGACTCGTTGCGCTTTGTCACCCGGATACCGGGATACAACTACCAACCAAACAAACACTCAGAGATCCTTCTCATTGCCGGAGGAGCCGGCATTACTCCTATCTACCAATTGATTCGGGGTATCTTGCAAAATCCTGAGGACCACACCAAGATCAACTTGGTATTTGGCGTAAATACAAATGCCGACTTGCTCCTAAGAAAGGAGCTCGACGAATACGCAGCAAATTTCCCAAGTCGTTTCAACGTCACGTATACGATCAGTCATCCCACGAATGGCTCGCCGTTTCGACAAGGCTACGTTACCAAGGAGTTGCTGAATGAGGTAGCGCCTCAATCGGCTAGCTCTAAAGTATTTGTTTGCGGACCGCCGCCGATGGAGGCTGCGCTTGTGGGAAGCTGGCAGAAATCGGGGATCTTGAATGAACTCGGCTATCGGAAGGATCAAATACATAAGTTCTGAGCCTTTAGATAGATCGGAAGATTCAGATTAGTAGATACTGGGGATTTCTCCTCGCGTAATATAAATAATTACTCTAAACCTACCTATTATTTTAATACAACATAACATCGAGTACTGACATAGTTAAAGCAACTGGCCAAACAACGTATAAGATTTACGATTATTATATAGCTTAACTCATAAAAATTGCTTTTGTTAATATGAGTTTCTAAGTACGTATGTATATCTCGAGAGCTTACCGGCTGAGAGATTATAAGAAGACAAAGTACAGATTAGGAGATTTAAGCGCTTATAATTATCGTGTATTTTTAAATTTACGGAGATGTCAGGGTGCCCTTGATGAATTCTCTACATTAAATGAATGTTAAAATTGTTGAATTAAACTATCAATGCCTACTTTTCTATCCTCTATCGAAGGCGTCTCTCATATACCCAATATCTTAATATACCAACCCTTAAATCTACCCCTAACCCCTATATTCCCCGACAGGATACCTCTAAATAATGACGAATATTAAAAGGCAACGTGATAGCAATGGTATCCTAGGGTAAAAAGTCATGTCGAACATACATCTGCACCATTAAAAGGCATTTTCGTAATAGTTTTCATTTTATTATATTATTTATCTAACAGGACCCCCCTACTTACATTAACAAACTTAAACCTAATATCATACTGGGTTAATAATACTAGGGCTTCCTAGGCCTTATTAAAACAAATTTTGTAAAGCAGAAGTTAACAAAGTACCGACTTACGTATTATTTTTCTCTTGAAGTTTTATATTTCATCCTTTATAGCTGTACCTTTACTTTTCTCAATGAGACCCCCCCCCCCATATCTCTTTATAGCCTCATATTACTCTTAGACTTCCGAGCCAATATCAGTATTTCTTAGGATTATCCCCGGTGGGCAATAAAAGAGCACCATATACAGCATGACTTCGTCGATAATGTGCTACGATTTAAATCCACGTGTAGAATAGACAAAATTTTGCGCAATTGGAGCGGATAGGTCGGCATATCTTCAGTTCACGACGTGCCTATTCATTTAGCCGGAACTTAGAGATCGGCGTGGCCAAGATTACTTTGCGGCTGGGATCTCCAATCATTCGGCGAATATCAATACAATATTAGCGGATAAGTTACCTCAGAGCCTCAACGAGAACGGCTGAGAACGGAGCTTGGGGGAAATCAGGCTACTCTGCCGAGATTTTGGTTATGACATCCGTCCCGAATGTCTTGGAGGTAGGGAATCTTCCAAGACATAATCGGCAAAGACTAGCATGTAGAGGAAGATTATTAGCAAATAATTATCATGAACGGCTGGTTTTTCACATTAAATGTAAGAACATGGCGACTTCGTGTGCCCGTACCTGACGCTTGGCCTCTCTTGGCCCTTTGTTGATCGATCGCGCTCAATATGCACGCCTTCATTTACATCCGGCTGAACCATAAAATCGGACATGGGAACGTCAACTTTGAGAAAAGGTAAGATCGACTCTAGGAACATTGAATAGTATACTTATAACTGGACTGTATAACTTACAACTCATATCAGCTGTACTCTCCGCTCCGTAATATGGTAACTGAAAATGAAGACCCGAGCCGGTTCGTTTCCTGGATTCCTCTGCACCGTGGGCCTTCTCGTACCACGCGTTGCGTCTCATAGCCATATTTCTGCTGCTATTGGTCAATGTTCATTAAACCTCCCGGCAGCATTACAATCTCAGGCGCAGTTAGGATGTCCACATCTAGTTGACGAGAAGACTACCGATAGACCCGTTGAATGGTCGCCATGGACACACCCGCCAGAGTGCGTGCACTCGATAAAGTCGCCAGGGGCGTCATACTGCGTTTACTCCAATTCGCAGCACGGGAACGGGGGTGTAAGCATAATCACAAGGCCAGAAACTGCAGCAAGCACTCTTGAAATCCTGAACGACTCCGGGTACACTCATCTCAAACACTTCGTCAACAATAGCGCTGGACCAGCGTACAAAGTTGCCGACATCCCCGGGAAGGGAAAGGGGGTCGTTGCGACTCGCCATATCAAGCGCGCCGAAGCAATTATGGCGGATTGGGCTGCATTAGTAGTAGACATGGACCTCCCAACTTCGCTATTGCGGACCGAAGGGTATAAACTATTTCATCGAGCTGTAGATCAGCTAGCAGATCCGGATCGCGTACTTCAGCTGGCTCGTAGCAGCGCGTTCTCAGGCGATATCGTAGAGGATATTCTGAGGACAAACTCATTTTCTTACACGCTGGCGGATTATTCTCATATGACATTATACCCGGACGTTTCTGTGAGTTCACTCGGATATCACCATACGTTGGTGCTGGTGGAATGCTAATGGTATATGACAGAGAGTCAATCATGCATGCCGCCCAAAGTAAGTACCTCTTTGGTGGAAATAACAACTTCCGGGTATAGAAGAAAGCTAAATAAGCAATTAGTTCTTTTATAAGGTTTACACCTTCAAGTTTGGCTGTAAGTGTCGTGGCTTTAAGAGATATCGAGCCTGGAGAAGAAATCACCATTACCTGTATGTTCTACTAGTAAAACTATGCTATATGCGCTGTGTATTGCTAACGATCCCCCCAGACGTACCCTTAGGAAAGGCAAAGGAAGAAAGAAAGACGGCACTGAAGAAATGGGGATTTGAGTGTACATGCTCACTTTGCACCGCATCCAAAACCGAGATCGCCGTATCCGACTACCGCAGAGAGAAGATCAAGGAGCTGCGCAAAGAGGTCATGAACGCCGTCGGGTTGTGGGACGGGACCAGGGCTGTCAAGCTCACGCACGAAGTCTTAGAACTTATGAAGGCAGAGGACCTTGCGCCGCTTTACTCCAGCCAGTATGAGATTATGGCGCGGCTGTACTGGAAGGCGGGGGATAAGACGACAGCGACCAAATACGCGCAGATGTCTTTAGACACGTTGGTGGACCAGGGATATCTCGAGGATACCCCGGATGCATTGCCCATATTATTGCAGACTTTTGATTAGACTGGTAGAGTATATCTCGCTCCTCAGTTTAGATAAGTTGTGTTGGGATTCCTTTTCGAGGAGTAAGGGGGGGGATCTCATACATATTGTCTCGGCCTTCTATGTATTTAATAGACCAACTATATATAAATATATATATAACTTAGGACTATACTTGGCACTAGAACCTTTTATATTATACAATATTATCTTTCGGCTGTTTACAAAAGTTACACGAGATAAATTGAGTGTGCCAAGTTGGAGTGTCTGGACAACTCTGCCTACCCTGTATATGCAACTAACGGGAGACTCAACGTCTATCAGAATAATATTGGACTAAACAAACCATCCCCTCAAATTACCGGCATCTATTACACCCTGGTTCACATCTACCGGCTTGTTCTCCGACAGGAAACTCTTACACATTGTATTTATAGTTGCGATTCTAGATCAAATTGAAGCTGCACGTGTTAAGCCCCTATAACTATAAGGTACCCGGGGAGAAGCTCATATACCTAAGTATTCGACGCATACTTACTACCTCATATATCTCACCCCACATCGACTTTTGAGTCCAGTCGACGAGGACATAATATTATTCAAAACAACATATACTAGGTACTCAAAGCGAAACCAATCACCATGGGCAATACGGAAGCGCTCTTCTCAGCATCTCTCATCTCACCAGTGATTGCTGGTTCCTTCCCTGCCGACTTCACCATCCGTCCATTAGAGAAGGGAGACTACGCAAAAGGCTTCCTGGACTGCCTGCGCGTCCTCACATGGATGGGCGAAGTCAGCGAGGCCGAGTTCAACGAGCGATTCGATGAGATGCTAGAGGCAAAAGGCACGTACTACTTTGCGGTGATCGAGCACGCGGGCCGGGTCGTCGGAACGGGGGCCTTGGTTGTCGAAAAGAAATTGTGTGTCTCCTCCCTTGAGTATTTGAAACTTTGCGACGAGAAATTCTTACTAGAACAGCATACACCAGCGCGGCAAGTGCGGACACATCGAGGAGATCTCGATTGCGAAGGAGCATCAGGGCAAGGGGCTTGGGCTGAAGATGATCCAGACTCTGGACTCCGTAGCGATTAATCTGGGATGTTATAAGAATATCTTGAACTGTGGAGCAAAGAACGAGCCGTTTTATGTTAAGTGCGGATATAAGAGCTCGGGGATGGAGATGTCGCATTACTTTGAGGAGGAGCGTGATGAGTATCATCGAGGATAATGATGGGAGGAGGAGGTAAATAGGTGGGGCGGGGGGTTCATAGGTAGGTACCTAGGTAAAGAGGCAAAGGGGCTGGGTCTCTTAGATATATTCTAAGGGGTTATATGGTAGTAGTCGAAGTTGGTTGATCATTGTATGGGCTTGTCAATCGGGATTCGAATAGGGAACAAACACTAGGTTAGAATGCTTATAGAGGTTGTTGCTAATGGCCCGTATCAAGAGTGAGATATAATTCTAACAATCTAGCTTGATGCTGTTAAAATCTCTGGACAACAACCGCTCTCGATTTAGGCTATATAAAACGATGGTGCTACTAATATGATCCCTTCGCAGTAGTTATATGGTGACAATTTACATATAATCCCTACGCACGCCTTGCTGTAGTGATATCCGTAAAGGCGAGGCTTAAACGTCGTTCTCATCCGAAATATAGTTAGAATAAACCGAGGATAAACCGAGGATAAACCGAGGTAGGCTTTGCGGTATATATGTCCATTATAATGCCTAAGAGCCTAGCCGCGCCTTGCTTACTCCCAGGTTCCATCCTGAAGATGCACTAGCCAGCAGCGAAAAATAACATTTTAATATCGATGCTACCATTAAATATGCATCGCTGTTAGCTCCATGTGAGATCATCATCCACAGGGCTCGCCGGGATTGGTGCTCTAGCGGTACCAATTGAGTAATGGTTACATATGAAGTGCACCTCAGCCCTAGGAGCTGAAATGAAAATAGCATTTGGGGATTGGCTGATTCCTGATTACGTCCTCCGTGGGGTGTGACCGTTGGGTCACCTCTTGTATTAGACATACATAGTTCCTGCATATATGCAATTACCCTACCTCACAGTAGAAGTGATGGTAGCGAATAAAAATGTCGCTTGCTAGCCTCGCAGGAATTAGACCTGCGATAGACCAATCGATAATGTCGGAACGCCTACGCAATGTCTAATGAGGATTCGTGATGAAGTGCAAAAGATAAGATTAGATTCGACCATAGAAGTACATAAAGTGATATGAAATGTCGCTAGTAACTGTACACATCTAGTAGCCCTGGGGCGATTCTGTAGTCTTCCTGCTGAATATCCAGCTCCCGTAAATATTAAGAGACCCATGGTATAATTCTGTGCCTAGCCGAATAAATATTTCCGTCCAAAAACCCGCCCTAATCCCAGAAGCCCATGCGCCGAACATAAATGAATGAGACATGTCGACTCTAATCAGCGAGATCCCGAGTGGGTGGTTCTGCCCGAAGTCTTTTGGGACTCTCTGTGGTCGGGCTTCCTGTAACCTGGAGATGGGGCATTGTCTTCATAGCCAGTGCCGTGGTGGTTGAAGACGGTGACATCAGACCGGCGCGTGATGTCAACGATGAAGTTATCTTTATTTATGTTAGCTGAAAACGTGTGAATAAGATATATTCGCGGGTAGCACGTACCGGCCCTAGCAGATCGGCCATGCTCGTGGACAACAGGCGAGGTTCCAGAATAGCCACTGGGGTAAGAGGTAGAACCAGCGCCTAGGCTAGTGCGCGAAGACATTGTATTGTATGAGCTTGCAGATGACGAGCGAGAGGAACGGTTGTCTACAACGATGGCGCGGGATGACTTGGAAGTGTATGATGCCATTGCTTGGTAGCGGAAGTTATTTGAGTGAATTTGTATAGAATATTAAGCAGATTGCTTAATAGATTGCTTGGTAGATATCTTGATAGATATATAGGATTGTGACGAACTTGTCTGATTGCTGAAGAAGGAATAGGAATGTGAATAAAAAGACGGAGGCATCCAGTCTTTATATGAAGTATTAAGAGAAAGTACTTTACCTTACACTACTTACAATAGAAGCCTGTACATCAAGGACTATCACATGGCGATATGAACAAGCTTAGCTCCAACACGCAGTGGCCGGAGCAAGCATGAGCAGTGCCTCAGGCTGACCCAAATGGGGGCCTATCTGGCGGTGATGAGTAGCGACAGAGTCGAAATATCAAGATACACCGAAGGGGTGAGTCACCCCTTAACTTCAAGGCAGAAATGGAGAGAGAAAAAAGGGTCGTGTTTGTTTGCAGCTATTGAGGCAGCAACCTTATTGAGCAATTGAGCAATTCAACTACAAGCGACAAGAGCCGTAAGTGGATGGAGTCCGAATGACTAACTGAGTGGAGACCTTTTACCAGGGTAAATAAATTGGTACAGAGTCAGAGAGTATGCCTAGGAGCTATTGAGGAATCAGGTAGAGGCTGTGTGGCATCGTGGAAGTCGAGGTGAAGCAGATGGAAGAAAATACGATAGTGACTGGTTGGTTGGAACATAGGTAGCTAAGGTAAAAGATATGAGTTACATTGGAGGTTAACTTCTAGCGGTCGTAAATTACTAAGGTATTGTATGATGGATCATTAATGTTAGGCCTAGGTATGTAGTACCTAGGTACCTAACCTTACAATCCTGACAATCCTGATAATGGGGAAAGGTAGGTCAGAACGCGGAGAGTTCTAGCGTATTGAGGCACGATAGGCACAATTCCATATGTACCTAGGTAGGTATATATGTACATGCGGCACAGCAGCATGTGAACTGTAATTTCGAGTATACAGTGCAGAAAATATACTTCAACATGCATACTGTGTGGCTCAGATATACCGACCATAGATACATACCTAGAGTACATAAGGTACACGAAGATTACCTGCTTTCATCATGTGTTAAAGAGTTTAGGACGTCTAATCCCTAGATATTTACCATTAGATCAAATGGAGAGGCCTACCAACTAGGTTACATTAGGTAGTTGTTGGTATATTTCAGGGGCGTAAGCAAAGGCTATGCCAGCTTGCTTGACCTTGTTTGGCGGCGAATGGTTATTGGCTGCCTGTTTGCCTAAGAGTTCTGGGTTAGCCAAGCTGAAGTCCTAGATTTAGTACTTGTTACCTGTTCTATAGTTCTATATTAGTACCTCGATACAACTACCTGTTTCCTTATATAGGTACTTGTAGTTTTATATAAATCGCTTATAAAGTTTGCTTATGAGCACGTATGTTTGAGGCCCTATGTAGGTAAAATCATTGATTGCGTATGCAGACAAGTCGTTGTTAAATATGTATACGAAATGCAGTAAGAATACCTATGTAACAATACTGCAAACATTAGGTACTTTATTCAGCCTTGTATGTTGAACCATGTCCCGTTCAACCGCTAAACAACTCCTAGCTGGCTGATGAACGGGGTGGCTTGTGACCTAAGGGTACCTGAGGTTCACCGAACTGCACGAATGAAATGTAAAATCTAAGGTTCATTATGAGCTCGAACGTAGGTATGTGGCAAATCAATACATCATACTTCTACCTATGATGGGGGTGGCTTAAATTCAATGGTGGATTCAATTCAAATATATACCCCACCATCTAAATACTACTGCCAATTAAAGTTGTGCTTATGGACCTTTTATGACCTGTTCACCCAATTGAAAGGCATTATGCACATAAGATATGCATATAGGAAATACCCCAAAATCTTGTCCCGACGCTGTGCCGCCCGCAAATTGAATACAATGAAAGCTGGTGATGATTTTACTACTATATTCGTGCACACATTTAGCTACACCTCGTTGATATTTCTGTATGCTCTCGTGTCAGAATTATCATTCTATACTAAAATACAATTCCGATTGGATCTTGATATAGACAATCGCATTCCAAGTCTACATTATGCGCTTCCTCTTCTCCTTGTCCCTCGTGGCGTCCGTCGCCGTCGGCGCCTTGGCTTCGAGTTCCTCCGACCTGAAGATTGACGTAACCCTCCCCGTCGAATGCGACCGAAAAACGGCAAAGGGCGACAATATCCAGGTACACTATAGGGGCACTCTTGCTTCTAATGGAAAGAAGTTCGATGCTAGCTACGATCGAGGCACTCCTTTGAGCTTTAAGCTAGGAGGCGGTCAGGTCATCAAGGGGTTCGTCGCCATTGTCCTTCACTGCTTGCTACTTATGGGGTCTTAACACGTATACAGATGGGACCAAGGACTTTTGGACATGTGCATCGGGGAGAAAAGGTTAGAAAACATCCTCTCTAGGGCATCGGACGGAGGCTGACTGCTTATTAGGACTTTGACCGTCCCTCCCGAGTATGGATACGGAAACCGGGGCGTTGGGCCAATCCCCGCCGGATCTACCCTTGGTATGTAACAGATTGGACTGTTGTGGGTGATCTCATACTAAACGGCTATTAGTGTTCGAGACGGAGCTCATCGGCATCAAAGGCGTTCCCAAGCCCGAGTCCATCGTCACCAAGGCCACCAGCAGCGCAAGCTCGGCTGCCAGTGAAGCTGCCAGTGAAGCCAGTGAAACTGCCGAGAAGGCAACGGCCAATGTGGCTGAGAAGATTGCGAGCAAGGTCGGAGAGGCTGCCGAAGTCGTTGGAACCCTACTTGTCGATACCGACGACGTCCAGGACCACAACGAGCTATAAGATACAGAATAAGTATTGGCTGATGTATATATGCGGCGGAACATTATCGTTCTTCTCAGCTAGCATCTTGTCTTGGCGCAAGTTCAGTTCAGAAAGACGTGAGAGCTTACCTGCTTAACCTGTCTATATACCAACGCTTGATATAGAACGAATCAATGCGCTTTAGTTATCATATATGAGTGCGTGGATAGGTATCTTAGGTAGATGGGTAGGTAGGTATATATGATATTGATATTGTCTGTGTAAACAATTGCTATTCATATATTGGCCTTGAAGACGAAGTAGTATATTTCTGGGATACAAGTCGTCCTCATAGTAAGATACATCTAATCATTGAATGTTTACCTACATGTATCCATATGCGTGAAGCTGGTTTCTCCAATAGATGTGTATTAAATACATCGTAAAGAGGTACCTACCTACGTACCTAGTGGATAGAGGCGGGTACGGCACACCGCAACTTGATATACTAACGGCAAGAGCATTCCCGTTGTTTACTTCCTACCCAGGTACATAGTAAGTATGCCTCAAGACATACGTACATACCTAGGTATGTAGGTACCTACCTAGGTAGGTAATGTATGTTGGCAATGAGCAATATGTACCTTCTTTTTGAAGCTCTCTTATCTAACACATGCAGTAATATTGTTCTAGCCCCTCTACTATCGCACATGTGGCCGGGATATACTACCTTAGGTAGTTAATGTACTAAAAGTACATAAAGTAATATTTTCGTCGCATAGCTCTAAAAACTATCGTTGCACGACCTTATCTTTCTCAACATCTGCAGAAGGACAGAATAAGAGCGAAAAAAAAAAGGCTTCGTAAAGTCGAATTGAGGCTGAAAATTGTAAGATCCGATTGAAAACCATTTAAGAGTTTCTCAATATGTTGCTCAACTAAAGATATTTATTTTCCGCTCCGCTAAGACCATTAGCACGAAGCCACTTCGTTTTTTGCTTTTTTTATTCACTATTCCTGTCACCCAATTCGTTAGAATTTTCCTTGGAAAATCATAGACGACGGGGATTTGGCAATGAGCAGGCTCCGATTACTTTTACCACCATTAAATTTTATCACTATACATTATGTATACTTTATTATTGTCCCTCTAATATCATCTGTGGTGTTCTGGGGCTCGTCGAATCCCAGATCTAGCATCAGTTATGTCGACAGCTTATTCCTCGTCACCTCTGCCATGACAGAGGCTGGCCTAAATACTGTCAATCTAAGTCAGATGACCACTTGGCAGCAGGTACTTCTATGGCTTTTGATCATCATCGGCTCTTCCATCTGGGTGTCTATTTGGACCGTCTTGGTACGCAAACACGCCTTCGAAACGCGCTTCCAAGAGATTGTGCGCAAGGAGCGTAAACGCAGTCTTGACCGGCGCAATGCGAGTTTGACTCTCCTCCCCATTACTCACAGGCTTAGATCCTTGGGTAGGAGTAGGACAGTACAGGACGGCGGCGAGGGTGCTCCTTGGGGCCAGCGCCCAGCTATCAACCTGCCCGTCATATCTCGTCCAAGTGACAGGAGGTTGGTCTCTGCCATTGTACCTCCACACCAGCAGTCTGGCATCCGTACCAGCGGTTCCTTTGCCCGCTCACAGAGTGTGACCGCAGTAGAGGATGTTGCGCCAGCTTTTGGTACTGCGGATGCCGAAGAAGCAAATACAGGGGCTTCAACTGCCACTGAGCACGTCATTTTCGCCGACGATCTTCATTCCGCAGCCAGGTCGATGTCTATCCTCCCTAGCGGTACCACTGTGCAAAGACACCTGTCTAACACCGACACGGCCGTTAATCCTCGCAGCTACCTAAAGGGACATAAAGTCGGGCGCAATGGCCAATTTCACAGCCTGACAAGCGAAGAACGCGAGGAGCTTGGTGGCACTGAGTACCGAGCTCTGAAGCTTCTTTCTGTAACCGTCCCGCTGTATTTTTTCCTCTGGCAGTTTCTCGGATGCATCTCGCTCGGTGCGTGGATTGCTAATAACTTTCCGGAACCTGCTTTAGAGAATGCTATTTCACCCTGGTGGAATGGCATCTTCAATGGCGTGTCTGCTTTTAATAATAGCGGCATGAGTGTGTTGGACGCAAACATGATTCCCTACGGAAGCTCATATTTCGTACTCATCGTTATGGGTACAATGATTCTCGCTGGTAATACAGCGTATCCCGTCTTCCTACGATTTATTTTGTGGAGCAGCTGTAAGTTTTACTTCCCATGGCCTTTTCATATGGTGCTTATGCTCCTATGCATCTTTCTATATTATTAGCTTCCCGTTCTCGCGTGCCTGTCTCTGCGAATATAAATCAATAACCACTGACCTAATATCCTACAGTGAAGATGTTGAAGTGGATGACCTATGATGATGATTTTGTAGAATGGAAGGAGACGATTGAGTATATTCTCAAATACCCCCGCCGTGTCTATACCAATCTTTTTCCGTCACGTCAGACCTACTGGCTTGTTTTCATGCTCTTCGTGCTTAACGGTACTGATTGGGTGGCGTTTGAGGTTCTCAACCTTGGCAATTCTACTCTTGAGCAAATTCCTCTCGGGTCTCGCATCATCGATGGACTCTTTCAAGCTCTGGGTATGATCCGTTGTGTTCACGACGCGTTAATTAGCGCTAATCTCTACAATAGCTGTCCGTTCAGGAGGCTTTTACGTTGTATCCATCCCGACTCTATTCATCGGCCTACAGGTGCTTTATGTTATCATGATGTTCGTCAATACCCTAAAGGTTTTCTTACTTAACCTCATATAACAGCCTCCTCCTCCTGTTTCTCTCGCGTCAATAATTCTGCGCCAGTGTGCATAACCCCCCTAGCTGTTTAAGCTATTGAAAATTTCTATGGATTGTGAATATGTGTTGACTTTCGATGTCTACAGGTATATTTCGGTGTATCCTGTAGTGATAACAATGAGACATTCCAATGTCTACGAAGAACGATCGTTGGGGATCTACGGGGAAGATCCGATCTATAGCGACGCTTTGACTCGTTCTGTCTCGCGCGGTCAGTCGAGCAGTAATTCCCAGTCTCTGAGTCGGATGGTCCGCGTCGCGTTTGCAGAATGGTATGGAGTCGAGGCTGCGCCGAACCAGCTAGAGAGTCGGATTAGCTTCATCAGCCACCAAATTCGTGGGCAGCTCTCTCACGACCTGTGGTGGCTTGTTTTGGCGGTCCTACTGATTATGATCATCGAAACCAAGCATTTCCTTGAGGACCCGGTCACTTATTCTGTCTTCAACGTCGTTTTCGAAGTGGTCTCCGCTTACGGATGCGTGGGCATCAGCATTGGATTTCCGAACGCAGCATACAGCTTCAGCGGTGGACTTTATCCTGGGAGTAAGCTAGTCCTTTGCGCTGTCATGATAAGAGGTCGACACCGCGGCTTACCGGTAGCGCTTGATCGCGCCGTCAGACTTCCTAGCGACGACATGCATATAGTCGAAGAGGAAGATCATCTTCGTAGGTCCATCTCGGTAAGGCGACCGAGCTTTAACGACATGGGCATATGATCCGATGACCGCCGCCAATCAATGTGGATGCGAATCCACAAGTCGTTGCTCTGCCTTTCTGAGTAAATGTCTGCTTCTCCAAAGATTCAACGTAGCAATTGGATATCTCTCACATGTTACCGTAATCTACACAAATAACGCCATACTACTCTCTTAGCTACTTGATTCTTCGGCAGTCAGTATCACTCAGACTTGATTTATGCATGTCTTTAATCGCTAGAAGTTGTCTTCTGCCCCTTCTGTCGTCTTTAATGATACGTTACACGCCACCATCTGCGATATATTCCTCGTTCGCACCCGTGCTATTCCAAGAAACGCGACCTTACAGCACTTATATCGATCTTATTCATATAAGCTTAAAACTATCTCATATTAGCCTATCCCAATTTACAAGTAGCTAAATTCGGCAATTTTACAAGACTATTAAAAATAAAGAAACCAAACCCTCGGATAACTTCCCTTACCGTACTGATCCTGTTATCTCCGATCACCTTAGAAGAATTCTTAGAAACGTAACTATGCCATGAAAAATGTGATATACACTGACGCTTGTTCTGTAGATGCTATTGGAGCTATCAGCTTCTCAAAGCCGTTCGGATACGTCGCGACTGGCGATGACGAAGGGGTCTTCCGTCGACTTCAAACGGCTTTCGAATCTATCGGCTAGGTTAAACGTGCTCCTATTTTTTTTCAATTACACCAAAAACTAATGCCCTTCATTGGGAATTGGCTGGCTAGCAATGACCGGAATACCTACTTTTTTGAGCTCTCGAGAAATCAAGGCTCGAACCAACCACGACGGTGATCTTAAGGACATTGTGAACCAGCTCTTCTCGGTACAGAAGGCGAAGCCTGAGCTTAATGATACTAATATCCCCTTCATGGTGACTTCTAATGTCTTTGCTGGATCCGATACTACGTCAACCTTATTACGAGCAATCTTTTATTTACTGCTGAAGAACTCGGAAACCTATAACTGCCTTATAGAGGAGGTGGAAAGCAAGAAACAGGTGGGTGAGTTAAGTAATCCTGTTACTTTCAAAGAATCTGAAGCTTGTCCATACCTCCAAGCTGTTATGTACGAAGCAATACATTTATATCCAGTGCTTGGAGATCTTCTCGATCGAAATGTGCCGGAGGGCGGTATGATGATCGATGGACACTATGTTCCAGCTGGAGTAAGCCCCTACCCCACCGTGTGAATTTAACCCAAACGAATACTGATTCAGTAGACTATGGCTGGAACTAGCGCGTGGGTCCTTCACCGTTCACAAGAAATCTGGGATTCCGATGCAGAAGAGTTTCGTCCGGAGAGATGGCTAGATAAGGAGAATGAAGGCACACTAAGTATGTCTTCTACTTAGAAATTTAACTCTTTCTAGAGCAATTTTCTTCTCGTTTGGCGGCGGCTCTCGAACCTGTATTGGAAGACGTGTTTACCCCTATTTCTTATGTTATCTACCTAGATATGAAGACGGAAATCTATTTTTAGATATCAGCTGGCTTGAAATCAGCAAGGTATGTGAACTTCTCAAAGATATATGCTTGTCCTAGTTATTGACCTGTCCTCAGCTCGTCCTAACCCTTTTTATGTGCTTGGACATTAAGCTAGCCGACAACGTAGAGATGAAAGGGAACCACGGGTAAGCTCGAATATCCACCTCTTATGTGTATATTCAAACTAACACGTGATTTCCAGCAGTGTTCTATTACTTGATGGATTAACGGTTCATATTGCATCGCGGGAAGTATAATACTTTCATGTATATATTTTTAGAGTCCTTAGTCTTGGAGTGATAGGCAAGTCTAGTGTATCTATCTTGTCACGAGCCTCTTCTAAGTTGGAGGCTATTTCCCTGTTATACCCAGACATAGCAGAAAACTATGCAATGTCGAACGAATAACGAACTATCACGAGGAATTTCTTTCATTATTATAGGTAGATACTAGTAGGCTGAGCGTTGTTGAAATACCTGTTTAAGATATACCGCTAAGCTAGACGGTGACGCGACTAGTAACTAGACATTTCAATCCCGCAGCCAAGATGTCCGGATTCTTTTCCTTTCACACAGAAGAGCGAGTTTATTCGCTTAGCCCGTGTACGAGCAGACCACAGTGCTGGATCCAGAGGTCGAGCATGAAGTCAAAACCTTGTTGCTCTGCTGGATGTCAATGATGGTCGCGCCGCTGACCCCAGTACCGCCGTTGACTGAAGCTCCGGTGAACTGCACAGTGCCGAAGTCTGCGAAGCTAACTAAGCTGCCACCGCTTGAGTAGTCCTCCACAATCCACTCGGCGTTGGTCTGGCAGAGCTTGTCGGACTCGCCGGAGAAAGAGTGAGTAACCTTCTTGCCGGTAGTCGTGTTCTCGATAACGGCCGTGCCGGCCGCCGTGCTAGAAGAAGTGACGGTCTATATATTTATTAGCGTGTTGCTTTTATGTTGGCGTGTTTATAAGGTAGGCAGGTACTTACGAAGGTAAGGGTGTCACCGGCCTTAATTGGGATACCGGAGAAGTCATAAGCCTAGAATATCGAATTAGTTACTAACTGTATTAAGTAGAAGGCGGCTCTAATTGATCTAAGGTATGACTTATAGAGTGCATGGGTAGGGCTGATCTGAAGGTTCGGGACTTAAAATCTCACTTACATAGTCTGGGTACCACTCGTACCAGGCATCAAAAGATACCGTCGATCCCTGGACAGTGAAGTCGACACCGGTTTGCAGAATCGCAGTCTGGCAAGTGTCACCGTCAATACCGACCCAAGCGGATGCCGAGTACTGTTTGGAGCTGCTACCGCCGGACGGAGTCTTCGGGGTGGGGACGACAATGCTGCCGGTCACAGTCTTGTAACCACTGCCAATGAGGACGGCACCAGCCCAGTTAGAGCTGTACTCGACATGGGCAGTGTCATTCTTAGAGGCGATCCCAAACTCGCTGTCGGCGGGCTGAAGCGTGTTCGAAGTACGGGAAACCCTCCTCTCAGCAAGACGCTCAGCGGCCCGCTGGCGACGCGCAGCCGTGCCGGGAGCAGCAAATGCCAAGTTGGCGCATAGGAGAGCGGCGACAATAGGAAGCTGCATCTTGAAGTGGATAAGGTGGTTTTCAAGAGAAGTCGGGGCGGCGTATGTGTTAGTTGAACCAACAAGGTCCTGGAATGCAGAGGATGCTATGCTATAAGAGCTAGAGCTGCGGTGTCTTGTATTCAGAAATGATTGACAAAAGGGAGGACGTTAAGTGGTATTATATAGGCTGAGCATGGCTCCCCAAGTCTCCCACGCAGTTGGGTGCGAGATAAACAGAGCCAAGAAGTATACGCCAATGGCACGTCGATGCAAGATTCTCTCAAGGCACCATCACCCCCCAGCAATGATAGAATGTGATGTGTCCCAGGTGTTGTCGTGACATGAAAGATAAAAGACACCTTCCTGATGTACTTGGAGGGCCGCCTCAGCTGCCCATGATTCGTATATACATGTCAACGAAGACCGTATCATCTGCCATATTGAACTTAGCGGGCGCTTAGGCTTCCATCTTGATCTAGGAATAATCTAGGAATACTTGAATATGCACGCGGTGCCTGGTCAAGGCTCATGGAGATGCCGGTGGGTTGTCAGTCTTCATGTCTGCCATGTTGATCTATCTCGATACTGACTATGTCGGATAAAGCTAGTCCGGTTGAACGGCGTTACTCGGAATGGGTTGGAACGTGGGTGGAAAAGCTACGTTGGCTAACCCCGGGAATGTGCCAAGTCCAGTTGTTCGGCTGGTCATCGGCTGGTCATTGGCTGGGGGAATACACGCAAGCCTTGGCCGTAGAGGAAGGTAGCATTGCCCAGCCGGCTCCTCAAAAGCTAGATGAAAACGATATGTAAGTCGGTGAGTGAGTGGGTGTAGGTAGGGACAGGCAAGTACATAGTATGGTCGTCAAGAAAGTTGTTCCTAGGAGATAATCGAGGGGAATAACTTGTGATAAGGAAAGAAACCCGCGAGAATGTGGAGGGGAGCAAGGGTCTTGATCCAATGAGGGGGAAGATGGGGGCGTATGGCGTGAGACAGATAAGGGAGAATGGAGTACCAGAGTCAACCGGGTTTGGAGCACTATTCTTCCAAGAGTGTTTGCAACAACATCGAAGGGAGGTTATGGGCTATGGAAGATATCAAGAATATCAAAGTCTCACGAGCCTCAAGTCTTCAGCACGATTACTATATAAGATATCGACGTCGAAATAAGCTTTGATTTACAGTACCGCCAAGCGATTAGGGAATGATTTACAGACAGCGCCGAGGCATAGCCAAGCTTGCCAAGTGGGATTTTATCTTTTCAGTATTCTTCGTTCTTTCGTTAGGCAAGTGATTTGCATGGCACATGCGAGACACCTGGTCCAGTCGCGCTAACGTGTGATCCCCATACCAGGTATCTATTCAGGTATCTATTCCTCGATCTCCTTCCCAAACCGTTGGAATGCTATCGAAATCGTTTTGGTCTAACAGATATACACTTCATACGCTGTCCTGGCCAAGTTATCCTGGCCACGTCTTAGCAAGACATAAGGCCAATCATTCGGTCCGACTAACGGCGTCGCATTTCGACCCAACCGTCCTTAGGAAGGTATTCTTTGTAGGTGGCGCTACCTACACATAGATCTTGTTTATCGGAGCTTAGACTTATTCAAGTCACGTAATTATCTCAAGCCAGGATGTTATACGCAGATAAGCATACTCTATCGGGATTTCAGTTAAAGACCGTTTATTGGTCCATGCGAAAGAAGATTCGAGAGCCAAAGTAAGATGTTGAAATGATATATCAAAGGTTATCGCGATTTATGTCCAGACCTCCCGGGGAGCTTCCCTATACGATGAGATTATATAATTCCCCCAGATTCCAATGACGGATTAACCCGCTTTCCTTAACTATACTACACTTACATTATAAGGTCCTATTAATTTAGGAGGGTGGCTACATACATCTCACTCATCATCCAAGCAGTTATTGCCCCCTTGGTCCAGGCATTTAAATTGTTCTCCAAATGGTAAACCATACAGATCTATAGAAAGTAACAACTAGCCTATCGATGTATAAATGTGCTAACTTGGTTCCCATTTCCGTGCCAAGGGACTCAAACTATGCTTAGGTTTTCAATTAATACCTACTAGACGGCCCGGTCTGGACTGCCAAGATACGATACTTAGAACAATGCTCTTTATGGGCAGGGTGGTGATATCTTCAACATGTTTCCAAGCCCTTCGTGTAGCAACGAATATGGATTCCCATGTCTTGGTTACATTGTGCGAATATCTTGCTTGAGTTCAGTTCAGCTTATACCAATTTAGGTTACATTCAGCTCTTTATGAGTCCACCCAGAAATATTGACTGCAGGCCAAGAGCCTCGTATTGAACTACGAACCAGGTAAAAAATCAATTGGTAGTTCTCGTAACTATTTAGTATCTAAAGTATAAATTACGTATTGTCAATGTGATATTCTAGCCTCCTTATGGGTGGAATTTCCTGATGGGCTTGGAATCTGACGCGGCGAGTATTTAATTCCGGTTATTATGATACTATGCCCACGGATTTCTCATCCTGATTAGGCGTTATTCCGACAAACTGTTATGAGTATCTTTATTGCGAGTCTTGCAAGTCCAGCAGGTATCCAACGCCTCCTCATAAAACCCACCACCTTCCTTTTCAAGCAACGCAACAAATATCTGCAATGAAGCCACTTAATTTTTATCGCTTGTTGCTGGGGCTGTATCGCTCTTTACATGTTCATGAACCTTCGCGAAATCGATGGCTGTTTCGCTGGACCCAAAAACTCCGAACACGTCAGCAACTTCGGCAATATGGTCAATATCAGTAAACTTACGAGCTTCCATTTCCTCTAAAGATTTGTTCTTGGTCTTTCCACTCTATTAATAAGCGTCCTTGTTAATGTAGTCCATATATGTGGTATCTCACCTCCTTAATAAAAAACCAAGTGTATACAACTAAGGCCCAGTTGAATATGCAGAACATCAGAAAAGTCCTCCAACCAATATTGTTTATAGCATGTGGAGTGACTTGTGAGAAAACAAAGTTGAACAGCCATTGGGTGGCCGTCCCGACTGGTAAATGTCAGTACCAATAACAATACCAGTAAAGGAGTGCAAGTTACCTGCCACACCCGCTTCTCGTATCCGGGAAGGGAATATTTCACTCATGTAAAGCTGAAAAGGGGTATGTATTAACATATGGTAAAGATAAGAGTAGCAGCGACGGGAATGCTAACCCAAGGAACCGGTCCCCATGATATATTATAACTCACTATTCGCATGAAAGAATTAGCAGATGATCCAAAGATATACTACAAACTTCAATAAAGGGTTACCAACTGGCTTCAAGATAAACCATGGCCACTGATGCAGCTCCAGTACTAGTCAGAGATTGATTGGCAACTGGTGGGTGAGTAGCTGTTAAGCAAGCAATAATGAGCATATAAACCCCCATCAGGAACGCTCCTCCAAGAAGCGATCCGCGACGGCCAATCCTTTCAACCAGGAACAGTAAGAAAAATAAACATGAAACAACTTTGACCACGCCGAAGAAACCGCTGATTAAGAGACTTTGGTTGCCGGCGCCAACTGCTTTGAATATCTGCGGAGCATCTTCAAGGGGTCAGCTTCTAATCCGGTGCTGAGGGGAGTCACTTATATGATCCTACAGTAAGCCAAACTGGTATTTCCGGTTAGTTGTACGCCTACATTATATGTTAGTCCGAGTTTATTGGCCAACAGTAGATATGAATCCATGTATACCTATTTGAAGCGTTATGACGATGAGAAAGCGGAAGCGATTCGCTGGAAGAAGGTATTCTTTCCAAGTGAGACCCTCAGTGACACGTTCCTCTTCTCGGATACCCGCGATGATTTCCGCGAATCTGTCGCTAGATGTTAGTTGCTGGAAAAAGGCGCTTTTGGTCTTTTGTCATACTCTTCTTGTACTCTGACATTATCGCCGCCACGAACCCATATGAGTGACTGCAAAGCTTCTTCCGTTCGACCTGATTTTGCGAGCCATCGGGTACTCTCTTTCGTTAGTAGCATTCCTAGTCCCAATATGCCGCCAGGAACAAGCTATTATAGAGTTAAGCCGGCGCGGCAGACGACCAGAGAAAAGTAACTATGAATCAAATACTAACCTGGAGGCCAATAGGAATCTGCCACTGTTGTGTCGTTGGACCTAAGTGTTGTGACACACCATAGTCGACCCAGTACGATGTCATTACACCGAGGGTGAAGAAGAATTGAAACATGCTTCCCAGTTGACCCCTGATATGCTTTGGCGCCATCTCCGCGCTATACACTATAATGCTAGAGTTAGCAACTGGTGAATCATACATAAATATTCAGGGGCAGACTTGACTCGGTAGAAGAGGATTATACTAAGATGATATACCACGGAAAAAGTGCGAATAAAAGGCCTGTGGCTTACTCGGAATGATAACAGTAGCCATCCCAACCCCTATCCCTGAAATAACACGAGCTACATAGAAGACGGCCAATGAGTGAGTATTAATGACTTGGATAATACCCCCAATGCTGAAGATAAGCGAGGCCAGCGCAATTGACCACCGACGGCCAAATCGAGCTGTAAACGGCCACACGAAGAAACAGGAGAAGAAAGCTAATTTAGTAGATGATCAGCCATCTCTTTTCCCGCTCTCGCGAAAGGTGCAACTGGTATTAACATACCTCCAGCCTGTAAAAGGCTCGTTGCATTGGAGCCGACGCTTGATGAATTATGTTTATTGATACGGAAGTCATTTTGGAAAGAGGGCAGCGTAAGAACGCCTCCGACGACACCAGTATCATATCTATAGACCTAGTGTAAGAAATCGCACATAGAATGAAGAGAACATGGACAGTCGAGCGCGGGAACTTGTAGAGTGGCATTTCTATATATATAAAGAATTGTCCTCGATGAAAACCGGGTGTATAAGTAGAAGAGAGGAACATACGCGAACAAGAAGCTGCCAGTACAGCATAGAGCAACCAGATACCAGGCCCTGAAGGTACCCAATTTCTCTCCCATGGTATTAGATCTTTTTGGTGCAAACCTTCTATGTATATTCGTCGAACACGTTCGGATATAACGACGGTTGATAGAGAACTAACAGCGTACCAACTTCGACATGAGATTGGCTGGCTGTTGGCTTAAATGCGACACTGGAAAATGAATATGCGCAAGTGCTTGGATATCAGCCGAATAAAACAGAAAAGACATACGAGAGTCTGATATATATCTTATATAAGGTAACTATGCCTTGGGAATGTGTGTAGAAACACATTAGTCTACACCCGTATGTTCCTATATAACAACTACCTAGTGTTCAGAGTTATTCAGATTAGGTACACAGTCGTTAACAAGTCACATAATTAGGGATCCATGCCATCCATATTTGGCAACATCAAATAAGCACCTAACACACGTCAATATTAAGGAATAAAAAATCACGTGTAAGCATGCTCCTGTCAGATGTCAGCTAACAAGCTGTCGTACTGTATGTAGGAACAGAGGGATTCATTGCGCTTCTTGGTCTTCTTGGTGTCATTTGCGCTAAGAATTGCGAGCTCCAACCCCTGTGCCCTCGACCAATTGCGTGCCTGGTTTCGTTCGCTTGGCATGATCCTACAAGGCTGATCGTATGTATGTAAAGTGAAGTTCTGGGCGGTCTTTTCAGTCAGGAGAGCAAGAAACCAAAAGGGGAAGAGAGCACAAGATATCTTGTAGTATAACTTTGCCGTCCCGAGGGTTTTTGTCAGTATAACAGGTAATGGTTCTATATCGTATGAATTAGATACCTACCTATGGAGAATAGCTACTAGTCGAGTAGCTGTGCAAGCAAGATATCATCCATTCTTATTGGACACCCCCGCAAACGCTCTCAATCCTCCCCGCAAGGAACCCTGGTGTAGCGTTTTATTTAATTATATGTATGAACCCCCCGACTCGACCCGTCGTGTGGTTGCAGCCGAGTGGAACGCATTGCGTCTTGCTTACGGTACTCGGCTCTGTCGGCCTGTCTTACTGATGATTGGGTATGTTAACCCCCATCGACTCCTTGGATTCGAGGAACATTTGATACCAAAAAGACCGGCAGTCGTTAAAAAAAGCATTGCCAACGGCGACCCGATAAGCTAAATTAAAGGGTATCCAATGAATGAATAAGGAGAATAAGAGGTCCCCAGCCGCAGGATTAGTTGCCACCAATGACCGAGGCTCTGCGGCCTCTGCGACCTTTGCAGGCACAGGTTTCTAGCGATGCTCACGATCCGCAGAGTCCGCAGCTCGGGCCAGGGCCGACACTTAACCCCATATCCGTACCAGATCCGCTGGCGAAGCGAGCAATTTGCTCTCAATGCAGAATAAGAAAAGTAAGTAGGTAGTTATTGCGTAGCATATCGTCTATTTTGTAGCGCATAAAGAAAGAGGGACTTATATAACGACCTATTTATTCTAATCTTCTTAGGTCCGATGCGACGGCAGACCAAACCTCTGCCAAAACTGCGACCGGCTAGGCTTCGAATGCTCGTTCCAGCAGTCCCCCGGCAAGACGCCGGGCCAATACGTGGTGAAGCTGCCGGAGCGGCGGCGGCGTATGCAGGCGTGCATCCCGTGCCACTCCAAGAAAACCCGGTGTCTCGGCGAGCTGCCGAGCTGCTCCAGCTGCGTCCGGAGAAATCGCATCTGTACCTATCCCCGGACCAGGAGAACCGGGGCTACGGCTCATGGCTCTGACGCGGCGGAAGGTTCGGGGACCGACGATAGACCGGCGCACGCATTTCCTGGCCAGGACATTGGAATGGTGGGCCAGGCGGAAGGGTCCGCGCTGGATTACGAGACGACGCTGGGTTTAGTCGAGGACTACTTCCGGCATTTATATCCGCTGCCGTCGTTTTCTTTCTTCCACAAGGCGACTGTTCTTCAGAGGTGTCAGGACCAGACGATGAACGAAACCCTGAAGCTGTCAATATGCGCCATCACGGCGCTGCAGCTCCAGCGCACTTCGCTATGTCACGACCTCTGGATCCAACAAGCCGAACAGTCGATCTTGCAGCAGGTAGGCCGAGCCTCTATCTTCCACCTGCAAGCACTGCTCCTCGTGATCCGGTATAAGATCGAAAGCGGGGATTTCCCAACGGCATTCATGCTAGCAGCGCTCGCAGCGCGAACGGCGTTAGCCCTCCGTCTGAACTACGAGCGCCCCGAGCTATCCGACGTCGCGCAAGAAGCACGTCGGCGGCTCTTCTGGGCGTTATATCTGCTCGATGACTTCTTCTGCGTGGGGCTTAGAGAGTTTGAATTATGTCCGGAAGAGACGATTCACCTCCAGCTACCCTGCGATGAGGATTACTTTGAGATGGGCCGATTCGCACATACAGGCCTGCTCCGGCCTGGACCCTCGGAGTCTTTGACGACTGTCGGGTTGCGCGGCGTATTTCTCCGTTTGACATCTGTTCGACGGGCGGTTATGAGGTAAACTTACACCTAGTCTTATAAGCCTTACATACAAGGACTCCTTTCTTAACCCCCTTTGAAGACACCTCGAACTTACACAATGCTGCATAGATTCAACCGCCGCGTCGGACTAGGCGAGGAACTATCCTCGACAATCAGCGCCAGCATCCGACGCATCGAAGAAGAGCTCCAATCGCATAAAGCGACTCTCCGGCCAGTTGACCAATACTCTGTATCCAACATGGCATGCAGCAAATGGCTGGCCCAGTTCATCATGCTGCACATGTCCTGGCACCAATGCCACTGCGACCTATACCGCCTCTGCCTAGACGGATACAGCGAAGCGGCTCCGTCCCCGGTCCTAGCAGTGCTACACCCGCGGGACCGGGTCGCCATGCAGTTCAAGTGTCTCGAGCACGCCGAGAACATCATCCGGATCGTGTCTAATTTCTTAAACTACGAGGACGGCGACTGTCTTCTCGAGCGCGATGCTGCGGTCTGCGCGTTTGAAAGCGCGCGTCTGGTTATGTTTGGCTCGCGAATACCGGGGGCAGTGTCGAGTCTCGATGTTGCGATAAATAAAGCCAAGTTGTCACTTAGTTTAATAACACGATTCTTTCCCTATTCTGCTTCGACACAACCCTTAGTAAGTTCCTATTCACCTCCCCTAATTATCTAAACCCCGGACACAATTACTAAGACCTCCCAGCGAAAGGACCTAGAACGCTTAATAGCCAGCTACTCCGTGCGCCTCGCCCTTCAGACGCAAGGAACGCCCTCGGAACCTGACCCGCCACCCTTGGTACGCCCCTCAACAAAAGTCTCCCAGTGCGCCAGCTCACGCCAGCGGCTCTCCGTTCAAAGCCTGCTTCTCCAATCAGATTTCGTCGACGACAGCAACGAGATCGCGGGTCCAACGCCCCCGCCCGAGACGCATACCCTCCAAGCTACCGCCCAGACAACCCACTTCTACGGCCAAGGCAGCGAGGAACCCACATCCGCCGCCAAAGCGCAGCAATGGAACACGGCGGGGAATGGGCAGCTACCATCGCCTGGGTTGTCTCTCGACGCGGGGCAGGAAGACGCGGGGTTGATTTTCAACCCTTGGATGGGCTTTACCGGCACCGAAGATATGTCGGGGCGACCTCCGGGACTCGACGACGAATTTTAATGAATGGGTGGGGATTCTATGATATAACATGATGCATGAGTGGCAAAAAGAAGCGATGCCGTCGAAAATAACGTATATGCCCGTGACGAAGATATCTGCTACTAGAAACACGGGCGGGCGGCAAAGAGCCAGACTAATGCGAATATGTTAAGATATCTAACCTAGGTAGGTATCTATATATAAGGATCTGTACATAAGGGGAGAGTCATGGTCCATTTCCATGTATCTGGGCTACTATGAGGACCAAACATATGATATTTGTACAATAAGCTAAACTAGAGTTTGGTATTTGGTCTTGTCGGAGTGTAAGAATAGGAGGGGAAATTTCATAAACGTCAATGGTAATGATAACAGTGCTAAGTTACTATGTAATACTACCACTACGAACTAATGTATTAGCTATATAATTATTGCTCCCGCCTATGCTATGTCTAGTATGGTCTGATGCTTGTATACCCAACATATCCTAGAGTTTAAATGTATAATTACGGACGGCTTTGTTGTTTTCCCGCAATAATACTACCTATGTAGTCTGGCCAGTTAACAAGTATGCTCGCCTTGTATAGGTATTGTTTTATGGCTTGTGTTGTTAAGCACACTATTCTCGCCTCCCTCTTTTTAATATTTCTAACTCAATTAGGTATATACCACAGAGCAGAACGATCCCAGAGCCTAAGACAAAGTCTGGTGTGTTATTATAGCCTATCTTTTGTCTGGTAATTTCGTCTTAGTCGACAAGTTGCATATCCCTAATGTTGAAGTTTGGTATTAAATAATTATACGTCACTAATAGACGTTGTTATGCGAAATTATGTGCTTATGGGTTGACTGCGATGCTTCATCATCCGTGTGGCTATCGACGTCGGCGTCTGAGGTGTGTAAGTCACTAGTCTCGAGTTCAGCGTCGTAGTGAGGATTCTGCTGTGGTGAAGTCATGGAAGCCGTTTCAGCATTGGCTAGGTCACGAGCACCGTCGTCGGGAGATATCGTGACCATTGACGAAAGCGCCGACTTTTTCGGATTCGACGCATTGGTATTCTTAGCTCCGGTAGGTGTTAAAGGCCGAGAGAAGTCAAAAGAATCGAGATCCGAGGTGGAAGATAAGACGGGACTAGTTTTAGGCCCCGTCTGGAATATATGATTTTTTGGAAATCTCTTAAGCTTTATTTTCGGTTTCCGGCCATTATGGCGCATTGCCATCTCAAGACGTTCCTCTTCGTCTGTTTCGTCATCCGTTATTTTATACGGATTTTCATTGGCAAGGATGTGGTGGTATGGATTCAGTAAACTACTTCCACTTGACCGGCGCCGGTTATGCTTTAGTTTCTCCTTCGTGGAAGGGGGCCCAACCTGGTTCGAACTCGGTGTCAAATGATTGTACGTTTCCTCGTACATACTTGTTAGAGACCCGGTCGCCATCCTTCGTAAGTTAACTTGGCTCTTACTAAATACAACACGAGCTCTCAATGCATGAACCGCGCGATCTAAAGCCAATTCAATGGCACACCGGTCCCGGATGCGAGCTAATTTGGGCCAGGTCGCACGCTCGCCTAATAAGCACGAGCGATGCATGAAATCGGTCGTCGGATTCTTCAGCACCTTAGGCAAGTCCCAAACGCCCATAGCCGGGAAAATATTGATATCACCCGAGTATTTTTGGCTTAGGATAGACCGCAACTTACTGACGAGCGTTGGGAAGATACCTATTTCGGCCATAAATTGCATTCGATGCAGAGCTTCACTTTTGGCCAGAGTCGTAAACTTGTGCATCCAATCCGATTCCTCCTTGAAGATTGTCTCGTGACGTACGCTTGCCGGCCCCTCGTCCTTGGTAAGGAAAGGAACAACATGCGGATTGACCTGTGACACAATAAAATGGTTGACGTTGAACATTTCGGCAAGTCTCGTCATAGGGAGGTCATTATCGACGGAACCATCAATCCACATCTGTGGAGTAGGATTCCATGTACTGTGCTCGCCTGTTAGAGGATTCTTGACTAACAACGGCGCAGCGCTAAAAACGAACGGCACTGAGCATGATGCTGCGACAGCAGACCATATCATAACGTTGGGTGCTGTAACGTAGTTCAGCAACCGCGGTAGCTCATAAATAGATGCTGACGAGACACAAATGTTGCATATCCGCCTCGTTCGATTGTACGCTTCCTGGAAGGTAATGTCACCAAGTAAGTCGCGCATTACGCGTGTCAGATGCTTGATATCAGACCAGTTCCCCTCGGTGAGCAGTCTTCGTAGATGGCCAAAGAGGCCTTCTTCGTTACCCTCCTCTTCGAATACAGCTAGATCGCCATACGGAAAGTCTGCTAATAGTTGAGGAATCTCGTCGTCTGTCCTCGAACAGACCACAGAGCAGACGATCGAACCCGCCGACGCGCCTGAGATAATACGCGGGAGCAATTTTGCCTCGAACATGGCTTTCAAAACGCCAATATGTGTCATGCCGAAAGTGCCACCACCGCTGAGTAGGAGGGCGCTCCGTCCAAAGCTCTGGCGCGCGTAAAGTACCGCGTCCAGCAAGTCCTTCGGACCCGGGTCGTTTGCTCGGTGATACACGCTCTGCTCTACCAGAGCTGTAATAGTCTGCAAGGCAGAATCGACGTATTGCGAAACCAATTTCTTAGTACCACAGTAGGAGTGCCGGTATAGGTCAATATTGCCCATGCCGCCCAGATCGCGCGAAAGGGCTGTTCTAATGATATGCATCATGGATCGTATATCACAATTAGTGCGGGCATTATCGAGCTCTCGTAAGCGCATTTCTAGAAGATCGGGGTTATAGTCCCCAGTTGAAATATCGGCCTTCCATTCTTCATTGCCTTCGAGAACATCCAATTCTTGCGCTGCCGCCTCCCATTCATTATAAGATTCAGCACCCTGTAACCGCACCGATAGAATTTGTTTGCGCTCTTCCACTCGTCTCCATTCAGCTCTCTCTTTATGTGTTAAGCCATCTTTGAGATATAATAGACCGTCTACGACCTTATACAAGGGAGTCGTATTGGGTAACGACCCGCTAGCCTGTCCCTTACCCTTCCGCGGGAGTCTAACGCCGGAGGGCTGGAGCAAAGGGACGGGTGGGAGAATGCCTACGAGGTGTCCCATGATGTAGGTACAAGTGGCGGCAGTGTCGATTCGATGTGAGTGACAGGAGGGCGTTGCATTCTAACCCATCCCATATATATACGTCGGAAGTACACGTCGGTTAGGAGGACGTGGTCAGCTTCCGGAGAATCTAGATCGCCGTCGGTACGGATCGGTCGGAGGTAGTACTGATTAGGGCAAAACGAGGAGATACTACATAAGGACGGCTAAGACACAATGTCTAGAAAATATATCGAAATAGAAATTAAGTAGCGTATTATTCAACCTCGGCCTTGGATGAAAGCTATAGTACAATAAGAAAGAGGTAACCAGGGTACTCTTGAGCTACGGAAGGGGGTGAAAGTGTGAGACAAGAGGCTGGTTGGGAGAAGAATTAATTTGGTAAAACGCAGAACCTGTTAGACCAATGGATAGAGAAAGACGTCAGAAAATACGGAACTATGCGGGACGCTAACCATGTGAACAATAAGCATTAAGATCAGGTGGGTCATAGAACAGGGGGTCATGACCCTAAATAATGGAAATCTCCATTTACTATGCTAAATCTATGCACATTGTACTACGCACTATCACAGAAAGATTGTGGGGTACATGAGGGGTATAGTATAGAATACGGGGAAGTGCTTATAAAAGGTACCTTATATAGGAACGATATGTGGGGTTGAGTTGTACATCTGACATTGCACATAAACCAGACACATTCTATGTAAATGTAAGCAATTAGAGGACCACAAGACTCGATCTAGACTGGTTCTTTATAAGCCACAAGTATTACAAGTATTACAAGTATTACAAGTCCTACAAGAATTTATGCATCGAGAATTTGACTTCAAAGAATAGGTACCTTTACAACCAAGAATAGAACCGTGTCTAATATATTATATCCAAAGCAACCAAAATTATAGCCCTGGTAAATCAAAGGCGCTACGTCTGGACCTCGGAAATAATAGATCCATGTCATCTTCTCTTCCACATAGGCATCCGACAGCCATCAACCCCTTACGAGTCGGGCTGAAAAGGAGTAAACAGCCTCTCTAAGCTCGTGTGCAACGCCGTGTTCTACCCAGAAATGTCCGGCGGTTGAGACCTCTACGTAGCGGAACTGAGATCCTTCAGCACAGCTTAGATGCGTAGCCCAATCACGCATTTTCTTCATAGATAAAAGACTATCTTGATCTCCATATATAGCAAGGGTAGGGTTGGCGGTGAGCTTCGCCTCGGCCTCAACCTCACCCTCTTCCCGCTTCCTATCGTCCTCGTGGTCTTTGGCAGGCCCACCTTTCTTTTTCTTTGCCCAGAGATTTGAAAAGGACATAGTTGCCAAATTCGTAACGAAGCCTAGCGGGGGTGACACTAACAGATAGGCAGTACGAAACCTGATTAAGTTGTTGACATGTTCCAAGCATGGAATTTCGATATCGCCTCCTGTACCTTGATCGATAGGTGGAGTGTTACGTCTCCTATGTATAAACTTACTCCGAGATAATATGTCCCTGACGCCTCTCCGTATCTTCTCTTCTGGGTCTGGGGAATGTGCTCTTTGTTTATCACGGGCTTTTGGTGATATATCCTCACTTCCACCGACACGCATGCCCAGCGACTTTCTCGGCGAGGCAGGAGTAGTAAACATGATTACCTGCTCTTCGGCAAGGTGCTGTGCTCGCAGTCGAATATCTGCGAAGGCGGTGTGTGTGGCAGGCGAGGCGAAGCGAGACAGGTAGGAATCGAGAGGGGGGAGTTGGAGCGTCACCATGGCGCCGTATGAATATCCAGCAAGTAACAAAGTTGGAGCCGAGTTCTCGTCTACTTCGATATGGCGCGGTTGGTTCTGGGGAGCGCCCAAATAGTGTAGGTAATAAACGAGAAATCCGGCGACGGACATGTAGTCGGCTCGCTCAGGCTTCGATGTCCACGACGTGCGACCGTTGGAGGACGAGGCGCCCCTATATTTTAGCACAATAATTAGTTTCATAGTTATACATATAAAATCACTTCAACAACTACCTAGGGGCGAAAACTATACGAACCTGAAATTAAATGTCGCGACCACGAAACCGAGATGAAGTAGTGTACTAGTCACAAGAAGTACAATAGGGTCGTCGTAGGTTCCTCCGAGTGGTGCATATGGGTGGGCGACCACGGCAGCATGTCGAGGCCATGATGGATCGGACAGTGTAAGCGGCTGATCAGAGCGTACCGGATGGTAGATGCGACAATCGAGTTTGGTATTATCGTGGATGCTAGGGAGCGTGAAGCTCAAGTTGGGTCGCGGAAGCATTGTCTAGTTTTCCTCGGATGTATAACAAGGCAATGCATCATGTTAGACTCACAAAAGAGCCAGCTGACGAAGCTTGAATAATAAAATAGTTGAAATGTTTAAAAACACATTGTTATGTGTCGTGCGTGAAACAAATATTTAGTGTCTCTTTGGTAAGAAGTAGATAGTAGATAGTTCCGTTACACGAACTATATATTTTTACAGTAGCCTCGATGACGTTGCCCTAAGCTTGGTACCACTCCGAGGTTAGCTCCCGGTTAGACTCCACACGCCTAGGTTAGACCATTGGTTCATTTTATTTTTACAGTTTACATGTGCATGTATTTCTGTACCTACAGAGCTAGAACATCGAAATATTCGATATCGAATATATTAATATCAGGGACACCTACATCAGCGGATAAGAAATCTTAATATATTGTTTTTAACGTATACATGTTTATTAAATATCTCCACTACAATATCACAATACGGATTATCTAGGAAAATTGTTTCTCTCTAATAGATATAGTATTGCGGCTTTCTTGTATAATGTGCAAGCAGCTAGATCCTCTTCGTAGTGCAAGCGATGTTGGTATCTTAATTACACATGTAAATTCTCCCGCTAGGTAACTTGAGTATTATTCACGCACACACACAATGCACCCTGCCAAACCCAACTCCTATCCAACCAATGATATCGTGTCTCATGCCCGAACTATGCTTATGAGTGATATTCCTTCTATGATCCAGTGTGGTCCAGCTGATCCCTCCTAAGATCCTGCAATCCCTAAGCCCACCCTCGAGCCGAGTCTCTCTGTTCGGCCTCCGTCTCGTTCGCGATCGACAGTTGCTCTCATTCGTCGTCCCTCCATCAACCCTCTCAATCCCCGTTTCTGCAACCCAATCACGCTGCTTAATTCCCCGCTCCAGACTTCTCTGGCAGCTCCATGCTCGCTGTCGCCACGCTCACTCCACTCGCTACCCGATACGCTTGTTGTTGCGCTTAGTTCATCGGGATCCGGCCTAGACCTAGATACACTGGTATTGATTCGGAGACCTTCGAGCCCCCCTGCTGCTTCGCCAGAGTTCGATTGTGACACTGACATTGACCGACCATGGTAAGGGCTAACGGCACCGCCCCCTAGAGACGACTCGAGACCCATATATAAGTTGGGATTCATGCTGCCATCGATTCCGCGGCCCCCGCCAGCTGCCATGGCAGTAGCGTTGAACACGGCGGCGGCATTACGTGAATCAAGACGGGCATGAAGACGTTCGACCACAGCCTCCAATAGCCCGTCTACCTTGTAAGGCCGGGCAATCTGCAGTAGCGAGCAGAGAATCTGAGGCGTGCAAAGGGGTGATGATGGGGGAGGTAGTGCCGACGTATAAAGGAAGTGAAGAAGAGCCTGGACAGTCGGGCAAGTATGTGGAAGGTAAAGGCATCTCGGTCGAGAACCGGGCGGTAGTGACGCAGGAGTTGGCGCAGAATTAACGTGGCCAAGATCTGTTGAGCCACCACCGCCACCAGGTGCGTTTGGTTTGTAAGATCCAGCAGAGGAATTGTTTAGCGTAGTAGCCATCGAAAGACTGCTGTCGCCGCCGATGCTCCTAGTTGACTGAGTAATCGTTATGACAGAATTACGCGCGCCCGCTTGGCCCGACATGCCTGTTCTTAGGGTTGCTGAATCGCTACCGTCCTGTGTAGCAGCACCTTCGCGCAACAACTGCACAAAGTAAGGACCCCATCTACGCGCAACGATGCGGGAATTGATAGGTATTCGCTCGCCATGGAAACAAAGGATGTCCATGTCTGCTAACTCCCGAAGCATTAAAGCCTTCTCGCCCAACTCCTCAGCCGCTCGCATATGTGATCTCCCTCCCCCGGTCCAACCAGCTTTCCTAGCCGTACTGAGATCAGGAGCTGTAAAGGGACTACTGGCAGATATAAATCCCGACAGAGGCGATATCTTACGGGGGTTGTCGTAGAAGCCAAAGGCTTCCAGCTCCACCATGCAGACATTAGAGAAATTAATACGACGGTGATTATAATCATCGACCAAGCTCCTCTTACGATTGCCCAGGATTACAAAGATATTCCGCCTATTCCAGAGAACACCTCTGTTCCAACTACCCTGGCTAAAGACACTACCGCCCGTATCAATACGTACCCAAGTTAGATTTCTAAGGTCCAAAGCCCACAGGGCGTATTCTTGCTTAGAGCTTGTGAGATAGGTGCCGCTAACAACAAAGTACGTATCAATAACTCCACCGTTTGGAAATCGCAACCCAGGCGGGGAATAAGTTCCTGACATCGGCTTCTCAGCGAGTTGCCCGTCTGGACCTCGAATTTGGAGTTCCAGTTTTACATCTAGAAAGTTGTAGTTCGAGTAGATGAGCATCGATGAACCTGGTTCCTTGGCCTCGTAGCTGACCGCACTGTCTTGACGTGAAGTCTTGCCTATCTTGGCGGTAACGTTAGGGGGTAAGGGAGCGACGACACTGCGATAGGCACCACAAGATTTCCCGAGAGATTGTGTCGAAGTCCACTTTAGACTTCGGAGATTAAATACGCTAATCTGTTCAATGTAATGATTCGCTCCGTCCTGGCCGCCAACCACAACCATCTCGGCTCCCCCAGCACCGTCGATGTTGATACCAATTCTACCTTCGTTCGGGTTCCCATTCGAGGGATTATGTTGCAAAGCCGATAGAGGGGCCTTGTGCGACGAAAATGTCGCGGAAGAGGGCAAAATACACGCGCAGTGAGCGTAACGGCCCTGCGGGGCATCCTGGGAGGGAACATAAGTCCACTTATTTGTTATAACGTCGTAGATGTATATATCAGACATCACGGTTACTTCAGGTTGCTGATCGGGGGCTGCCGACGCAGGTTGATTAGTCGTAGGTGACATACCCCCGTAACAAACCATCTTAGTATCGCCCAGAGCACACATGGAATGGAAATAACGAGGTGGAGGGATATCCCCAGTGGTCTCAATCTTGCTCCAGTGTCTCCGAATAAGATCCAACTCGTAAAGATCCGAGGTAAGGGGAGCCGGCCGACTTCGCGATAGAATACGCCCGCCAAAAACGTACAGCTTATCCCCAAGTATCGTAGTCGTTGCCCCGACTAGGGGATGAGGCTCTTGGCCAGTAGTCCGGTGAACATTACACATCAACCCGGACAGGTGAGCGGAAGACGCCGAAGTCGCAGGAGTGCCGACAGGGGCACTAATAGAAGGATTTCTACCCGAAGAGGCCACCTGCGGAGAGGTGCCAGCCGAGAGAGGTCCATTACTTCGAGGTGTCAGATTATCCCTCTGGCCATCCCCACCATCAGTCCTCAAACTAGCTATACTGCTCTGGCTGCTGCTCATATCCATGCCACCGTTATACATCTGGTTTGAGAACATTGAAGCGTTGGAATCCATAGCTTTCGTCCTACTATCTACGTTTGTGTCGTCGGTGCTATTATCCTCAGCTATAGTAGTCAGGTTATCTTGCGGAGCATTAAACGAGATCGCAGGAGGTGCGAGACTCGAGGGGGATAGTGAAGGTGGTGGTGGTGCTGGAAGCGGTTTCTCGAGGCTATTTTGCAGACTCAGATTCCTGACATGTTGCAGAGGTGGTGGTCTCGTTTGAACGGGTGTCCCGCTATGTTCTGACGACACAGGACTCGAGTTGTGCGATCTGAGAGAGGCCAGTCTTGAGGGCACTCTTGCAAATCTTAAAGAATCTTCCCGACTGGGAATGGCCTTTTTGAGACCTCGATAAACGTCGGAGAAAAGATCGGATGGGGATTTCGAGTGAGCGTGTCGACGGTCGTGGTCATCTACTTCGCTCTCGTAGATGTCGTCGAGGAATTGCGGACTAGGTTGACGGTCTGGTTGACCAGTAGTTAGACTAGCACCAGATGTAGACATTTTAACCCCTCCCTCTTAGCCGCAAGTTACACGACGATGTTCAGGGCTGAAGGAGAGATCTAGAAGACGAGAAACAGAGCCTCAAACATAGAAAGGTGCCAGGAACCCAGGTGAGTACTACTCAAATACAATACCGGGGTAGCTAGGAGGTAGAACCGAAAAAGTATTATTAGGAGACGCAGCACTAGGATTAAGATAACAGGGGATATTTCTTCCGTCGGTCTTGGAAAGACGCGACGACGGTAAGGCTAAGGCTAATGAAAGACCACAAGGCGGCTCTGAGCCAGGGGTGCCACGAGAGCTTGACGACCATGTGCCCGAGACGGTAAAGGAACAGACGACAAGCATTGACCGAATGTCCGATGACATACCTTGGGTCCTTGGGTCCTTGGGTAAACCAAATGAGGTCTTAAATATCGACGTCGCAATTAACAATCTTAAATACTCGGTCGAACACGATGCGTCTTCCCTGTCTTCTGAACCCTGGCTCCGTCTGTATGTATGCCGCGCGCTTTCTTCCGAGTCCCACGGTCTCTTATTTCCTCTTTACTATGGGTTTCTATAGGTTCGTTTCTCCGGGCGCTCCGAAAGGATATCTAATTGCACAGACTTCCCGTATTTCTTGCCGATTATTAGCAGTGGTGCCTGTTTGTAAGGGGTAGGAAGAAAAAAAGGGGGGTGGAGGCCAGGTTGAGATTTGGGTCTATGTATGTACTCCTACGCGCGGAGGAATTAAGGCTGCGCAGCCTGCATCCGATTAATCGATTGACTAATGAATTTATTCCTTTTTATTTCTTTTATTTCCTAACCCCACCTCCTTTTCCGATGCTCTATGCAAGGTATTTGAGCAATGAGAATTGAGTAAAATGTTAAGAGTGGAGATAGATGCTTTAGACGCTACGCTAAAAAGACTTGACTAGTACGTATCTGGTAGGTAAACTCACCGAGTTGTTTACTGTGCATATTTCACGCTAATCTTCCTATTGGAGCATAGAGGAGAACATCTGTAAGGTACCTAACCTAGCGTTTGTACAGTATTTCGCTCATATGACCTATGTAGGTACTATCCACAATATAAATAGATGTATGTATCCATTGCAGCTTAATATACCTAGGTAATGCATACACGAATTTATGGTAAACTCCATTATATCTAATATTCTCGCATGAAGCTTGATTTAAATGTCGCATCTTCATCTTATCTATAAATGCGCTTTATTACGTGTATTAACATACTACTGTTTCAAACAAAAAGGATCTTCGATTTGGCGCGTGCCTTAGGCACATAGTTAA